AAGACAAATTTAGTACTGTTGGCAGCTAAGGGTGATGAGGTCCTTGATGTAGGATAGAATCTGCTTTTGGAAGCTCAAGCTGTGGTGCAACAGGTGATACTATACTCACAACAGCAGTATAGATTTTTTTAAACCAAGTACTCTTTTAGTATAGAAAAGGTCTAGCTCAAAACTGCAGGTCTAACCACATCAATGGTGTTTTGTTGTTTCATTGAGGACTCATTTACAAGAATAGTCTCAGCAATGGCAGTGTACGCTTTCTCCTCATTACCATAACTATCCAATTGGTTAGATGAGACAATGAGAATACATACTAGAACAGCCCTCTCCTCTACTTATACATCTTTTATAGGTGACTTTCTTAGTTGAGCACTGTATAAAGTATCAAAATAGAGTATCTATTTCAGACGTCTGTACTAGATGACCATGGCTACATGTCATTATTAGTTTCATTAGTTTAGTTTAGGCAAGGTCAGCAAATGGTGAAATTCGAGTTAGTGATAAAATCCCTACACTTAACTTTGAATTTCAAGCTATGAAAAAAAAAATTAAAAAAATTAAAAATTAAAAATGGATTATTTCTGAAGAGACCGAGAGTTTGTATCCGGTTTCACACATAATTCATCATAAAATTTGTATATGTTAGTGCATCCAAAACTTTGTGGATCTCATGAAAGCAAGACAATTTGATGACTTTGTGTGGAGATTTTTGACCTCCCGATAAACACATAAAGTCAGCATGCATTTCATAGTAGATAAATCCAAGTTATACAAGCTAATTACTATTCTAGACTCTTGCTACAAGTTAGTTTTGGCTTTAATTAGCTAGAAGAGTACGAATGTTAAACAATTTGGCAATTTTGTGCTATGTGGAACATGCAGTATCCACACTTCTTGTTAAAAATTTTGCACAATTTGAGGGAATTTAACTGGTTGTTCTTTTAAAATAACTATCCGTTTGCTGTATATATTGTTTAGTTAGAATAAAATTCTCAACCTCATGCATCTTTGTTTTCCATTTTCATCAAAAAATATTTGAGTTTTTAAAATTCAAAACTATTTAAATTTCTACAATTATGTTGAAAGTAGTTAAAGTCATTTCATAAGTGATTGACACATTTTTTATCAATAGTGAGGTTCAAAGCATGAACTACACACAAAAACTAGAAGATTTCAAGCCTAAAGTGTGGAATAATATATATATTCCTCTTCAAAAGTGTGAGATGTGAGACTATAACAAGAATATATACTTCTTCAACAACTTAATAGCTTCAAAAATAAAATACTTCCGCAAGTTACATCTAAAGTCCAATAACTTCAAAACATTGTATTGTTTCAACTTGACATTCATACTTGTTGATTCACCAACTTTGTTGATTTGGCGATTTTTCAAATCTTCACTCAAGTATTGATGCCTCAAGTATTGATGCATCAAGAATTACTTTTAAGATTTATGACCTCAATATATACATGAATACTTTCAAACTAGATGAAAAGGAATCAAACAGATCAATCTTTCACACAAGATGCAAAATTATACTATCTTGAGCTTTTGAAAGACAACGAGATCTACAACTGGTAGTCAAAGAGACCAAAACCTCAATAATTTTATATAATCATCTCCATAATTATAATAATTGCAATCATCATACACAACTTAATGCCGAGATTATTAGAACATGTTGCAGTCTTCATGAAATTCCAAAACATCAATGAAATTCATTCATGTTTTGTGTACACAATAATAAAAAGAAAATATTGCTCTCATATCAATTTTGTCGCACTTTCAAATAAATCAAGAATACAAAAGCATACATACCAACATGATCACATTGAGAAATGTAATTTGTCAGTGCAAATTACATTCATGGAAAAAAAAAATTGTGTGAGAAAATGAGAGCTTGTTTTAGTTATATTTTTAAAATTCAATCTAAATCTAATTAAGCTTTAAAAAAATTAAATTTGAATAAAAACATAACACATTTGATTATTTAGAATTATAATGAACATAGATGCTTAGAATATTAAAATTATTTTTAAAACTTGAATTTGACATCAAAATAATTTGAATGTTCATAATTTTAAATTAAAATAAATCATCTTGATCAATTTAAAATTATATAAGATGCAATTAATCACTAGTTTTTAATTAATAATAATTTAAAAATATTATTCATATTCTAGATTATTTCAGTGATGTTTTTTTGATTCTAAGATTATTAATATAAATTAATTTGAGATTAAAATTATTTTTTCTTATAAATAATATGTGAATTTAGCTTCAAAGAATTTACTCAAGAGTATTTTAGTCATGATTTTTCACTTAACCAAAGAAAAAAATACTCATCATAAATAATTATATAATTTTAATGTAAATATCTATGTGATTTTACTTCAATATGAATACAATGTAGCAAATTATGTCATAAGCTATTCAAATCTATCATAGATTAGTACTTGATTATTGCATAATAAAAAGTTATACATGAAGTTTTAGATATTGTGTTGCCAAGTTGGTGCAATCGTAGCTAATTTGGAATCCAAATGATATTTATTTGACTATCCATACTCCAAACGCTTCTTTGATTGACCTTACAATATACTTTGTTGAAATTGCTGACAAAGAAGTTTCTGAAGACTTCTTTGGTTCTACAAAACTTTGTGTTATATATATCCAAGAAACTATTTTTTGCCATGACATAAGCAACCAAACTCGGTTCGGAGGTTTGCCAATGAAAACTACAAATACCAACGTAAATGTATGATATTTTGATACAATATTGAATTGAAATGTTTAATGATCCATTGTAAAATTATTCGTCATATTACTCCTCGTTTTTTTAATATTCATTTATTTTTTCCATTATTTTTTTCATTTTTGAATAAAAGAAAAAATTTAAGTAAACCATATGCATGCATGATGTGCATGTATGATGTGATTTAGTATATGCATGATGTGATTTATGACATTCTGCAGAAAAATATTCCTTAGAAAATTTTAATTTGTTTTGATAGTAACAACTGAAAATAATCAATTTTCTCGCATGCTATGAATTAAATTTATTTTTTGAAATGTTAAAAATATAAATTTTAAAAATTTTATCTGAAATGATCTATCTTTGAACAAAATTTCACATAAAAAATTTTGGTTCAAATATTCATTGTTTGTCAATCAATAAAATAACTCTTCAAGCTTTAATATAAAAAATAAAAATAATAAATGTATAGATCCAAGATTTTAAAATATAAAAACTGAAATGATAAATGTTATTATAAATCTTTCAAAATCAATGATAGAATGAACTTTTGTGAAACTAATTAAGTTTAAAAAAATGAATTAAAGCAAAACTAAGTCTAACAATCATTTTCAGTGATTTAAGATAAAACTATTATAAAATTATTTTACTTTATTGAAAGAAAATACTTTGAGCATATTTTTATATGCATAAGTAGGATTATATTTTACTTCTAATAAAATAATCATGAAAATCGAAAATCACATTTTTTTGTTATGAATAAGAAATTTTTATAGGAAATCTATATACTTTTCATAATAAAATATCAATTTTTTAATTTATACACTTAGAGTTAAAATTTAGAATTTAGAATTTAGAATTTAGACTAAAATAAAATATTTGATCTTACAGTGAATCTTGATCTTTAAATCAAAATTAATAATAAGATGAATTATTTTTGTATATTTTTATATTATATATTTCTTGAGATATAATTTTTAGATTTTATGAAGATGAAAAAATAATTTTTTGAAGGATTTTTTAAAAAATTAAAAAATTTGATCATTATCGTCGAAATTCTAAAATTTTAAGACATTTTAGCAGAATAGATGTTATTAATTAATAGCTTACACATACATCTTGTTTATGTTCGACACACATTGCGTAGAATAAGATAGAAATCCAAGAATTTATCACGATACCTTAAATCTGTTATGGAAAATTTGCATGTTCATTCGTATATTCGTACTTTCATGATTAGCTAAAGATAGATATGTTGTATCTATGACCACTTCGAAAGTTGAGTGAATCATGAGAAGAGTGAACGCAATCGTTCTTTATCCCATTCAGTTTGTTTGTGAAAGTTGGTATTTTAGACCTAAATCGTCCGATGATTATGATCCTTGTTCATTCAGTTCAATGCCGTCAAATGAATAATTCAGGTGAAGTTGAAGATCGCCCATTCATGTAGATCTGCGTTCATTCCCGCTTCCCGTAAATCTTTGCTCCCCATATTTCTAAACTATTCCGCATTTTCCATCCTGACGTCGGTCGGTAAAAGGAGCGTCTCTTCCGATGGCCAATCACTTGCGCCACTATCGCCCTCATCATGTCCACATTTTTGGGCTTCCTTAATCCAAGCCTCTAGAACACTGCGTGTGCGTGGAAGAATTTCGTCTCCGCGGGGGGGGAAGGGGAACGTGAGTGTGCAAATTCAAAACCTTACGAATTCAAAGGTAATAATATGAATAAGATGGTCAGATTCAAACTCAAGCACAGAAATAGCGTGGGGTTTGAATTGCCGAACGGCGAAAGTCGAGATTCAAATGCTGCTTCAGCCCAGACAGGGCTACAGTGCTGGGCGGGTCGTGGGTGGGTAGGTAGGAACGGCGAACCTGCGGGTTCGAAAAGTCTTGGGCGGACGGAGGGAAAGTCCGCTGTCGGTCAGATTGAAAATGCTCGTCGGTTTTCAAGGAAAAGTACTTCAAACTGATTCTGGCGGGAAGCTCGTTTGTCGGTCATTTTGTTGCGGGAGAGGAATCTGACAGTCAGTTGTCGTCCTGATTCCACCTACTGTACTGTACAGCGGGACCGTATTGGCAACATTCTTGAGTCAACCGCGACAACGATTCCAGAACTTTCTCGTTGAGCTAACGACTGCGATGCGGGGCGCCTCGGTCAATCTTTCGTCGACGCCTCGCTCCGCGGCTTGCGACGTCTGGCTCACGGAAAGATGCTCGCGGGCCGCTGCATGGCACATTTCGTCGAAAGCTTGCGAGGAACTCGTGGATTGAGTCCCTCTAGCGACAGCCGTCCTACAGCGGATCAGACTGCAGTTGCGTATGAACCATTCCCACTGTATTGAAGAATCTTCGCAGAAGAAGGCCCGAAGTCTTCCTCATACACACGGGCGCTTTATCTAGCCGCACTGCCCATCGGCGTCGATGGTAGCTGGGATCTACAAGCGTCTGCTCTCATTTGCCTGGGAAACATGAAGGCTCGAGCGGCCAAGCGTGAACCACACTTTCTTCCGTTTGTACTCCATCTTTCACATATATAATTTGTGTAGTTCACGATTCGGAAACAGTCACTATGATTCTGGCAATAAATCGATCGCATGATGATCCAGTTGTAAACAACAATGCTAGGAACTGACATGCGCTCCAGGGAGAGCCACAATTATGATCTCGCTACCGCTGAAAAGGTCTGTAAAACGTCCTGTTGGCCACTGGAAGGAAGTACAGGTTCCCAGACAATTAATCATCACCAGCATCCATGGTCTTAGATGGCACGCACTTCATACGGAAGGCAAACTCGCGAGTCTTCGTTTGAGGTACTCAAAGTGAACGCATCATACTCGATTCATCTGTCCTTGTTGCAGTTCTACAGGCTCTGAGGACCTTAGGCTGAGAACTACCGCTGATCGACCTGAAATGTAAGCATTGCCAGTTTGGGCGTCCTGTGAGGTAACTGCTACAAATGCGTTTCTCATACAATCATGCCTACGGCGTTCAGATCGAGAAAAGTGAGAAATACAAGGACAAGCCCGTCGAACTCCGTGGTCCAGGAAGTTTCTCGGTCACCGGGGCGGGCTACTGGTCGTTAGTCGGTCCTTGTACCTTTCACCTATTGATCTGGAAGTCTGACCGTTTCGCCTCAAGGTGCGACCGACATCGTGGAGACATTCGAAGGAAAGACATGCGAACTTGGGTCACTTGTCAAGTTAGTCAGGCATTTTGTGGTCACTCGACCATGAACTGCTCGAGGAAGTCGGCTTAGGGTTAAGAATATTGAATCTTTCTGCCCGAGAGAGACTGGAATTCGGATCCCGTGTTTCCTTCGGGATAAGATTCTTCGCTGCCAACATGCAGGCTTGTGTGCATAATTTCTCGATAAATTTCTTATCCCTCAGTTGCCGCAATGAGCTCAGTTAAAATCTGCAGAACGCTCGTCCTGGAAGACTTCCTTGCCCTGCGACGTGACCTCGCACGAAAATCTCAAAAGGCAGATTGCATTCCGTGTCATGTTCTATCTTTTTTCTGCTTGTGTCAAGGCGGGAAACTACCGCGATCTTATTTAAAGCGAGAGGACGAGTCTGCGGGAAGCACGATGATGTACAGGGGGAGCAAGGACAAAGTGGCAAATAAAATCTTGTCCTGACGTGCATTTAATTGTCTACGTTCTTCTCCGTCGATCTTTTCACATTGTCCGTGATTCAGTGACTCGGTTTTTTGTGCGTAAATCTGTTCTCTCTTAAATGAACATCAGACTTTGTACGTAGTTGGACGCAGGCGTTTGCCTGATCCGCAATGCAACTAGTATACATTTCAAGTCACGAAAAATTATAATAATCTGCTTCAGAGAAGATATTATCGAACTTTGGAGATAAGTTAATATCGGATACATTATAAGGAAGGTCCAAGAGACATTCAAGCTGTTCCTAATCATGTTGGCAGAGAAGAGATCACATCCAAGCTATGAACACGTATCTTCATAGATTATTCAGCTCATATTGACGCCCGACATCTCCTTTCATTTTTTTATTCTATGCCTGGGATAAATGCATGGAGGCAACTTCAGTTAGAATTTTATATCTATGTTCAGGTGATGGAGAGCTTGAAATTTTCTATATCCTGAATTTTTCTGAGAGTGGACTTCGTTGAGGAAAATATGAAAAATGAGAATCACTTGGAATGGAGCTCATGGATTATCTTTGGGGGGCACGCCTTGGGAAGTTTGAAAGGAGGAGAAAGGAATTTACCTGGAGTACAGGTAAATCTGACAGTGCTTTTCTTAAAGTTTGCGGATCTCTTGATAAGGACAGATCCATATCAGAGTACCGCAACAACAGAGCAACAGATGGGAAGGTAAGCTACCCTCTACCTTAGCATGTGCCTAGGCGTGGTCAGCTTTTCTAGCTTTTGGAAGTTGTTGTCATATTTTCTATTCCAACGGATGCATGTCATCGCAATCAGTCAAAACATTGTAAGTTCTGTGGTCAGTTGTCGTCAGATATTCGCAAGTCAGGTAAAGTTTGGTCAGTTTGAGGGGATATGATAGACAGATCTCATCCCCTTGCACTGACAAGAAAGTTTTATCCGCTTGGTCACTTCTTTTTGTAACATTTAACTCCGACAGAAATACATTGCTGATTCCTGAAAATTGAGTAAAATGGCTGTTTAATGTGTACAGATGTGTTCCTCTTTGTTTGCTTGTTCTTACCTCCACGCTAACATGGGATGCCTTTCTTCTCTCCTGTGTTGCAGTCTCATATGATGGAGAATTTTGTATGCATGGTACGAGAATGGAGGAATTGCAAGCCAAAACCCTAAACAACTAAAGCCCCTTGCCCCGCCCTCAACTTCCGGCCGATGGTTGCCCTTTCAGATCTGGAGGGAAGTGAAAGACGAGTACGTTTCCCAGATCCGACCTTTCTATAATTCCAAACATTTCAGTGTTTGATGTAAAACGATGGCAACTTTTACTGTGATAAAGTGTTATCTCAATTCATAATGTACATAGCGAGTATCTGTAAAAAAAAACTTCCAAATTCTTAATATACTGATAATTTAACATAGGTATAAATATGATTATTTATCGGAAAATTTATAACTATTAGATGTCTTACATCTTATTGTCATCAAGTGCGGGAAAGAAATTTCACTCAGATTTTAAATGGGAATTTCCATTAGAAGATATTGATACGAATCTTTTTACTTTTTAATGGGACTATCCAAGAAATTCTATGTATTGAAATATCACCAAGTCAAATTCAGAATTTCCTATCAAAGATACACACGAGTGGCATGAATTTTTCGATTTTTCTTGCCACCTTGCAATTTTTCTTCAAATTACTTATATAATAAATTTGAAGTGCGGAAGAGAAGTATTTCATTCTCTTCAATGGAGAATGCAAAGGATGTGACCCACATTTCTTTCATCATATTTTCGAAAACAGCATGAGTCCAAATATATGTACATACTTAATATAAAACGGAAATCTGGTGAAGTACTTCAATATTGTTATAATACGTCCGATTTTATGCGTATCTTCAGTTTCAAACTGACCATAAGAGAATACCATGCACTATCGTTTTTTCTTATCAGCTAATAATAGCAAGATACATTTACAGTGTCGTAGACGATGTTCTTTCCACAGGGACATCGAGTTCAGAATATATGCTGTACGTCAAGTACAGAGGAGACGATAAATTGGGAAAAAGGCTAGTTGATGAAAAGTAGGCAAAAAGGTTTTAAAGTGAAAACCTGTTAAATATACGGTAGTAGAACTCGACTACTTATTATAGATGTCTCTCAAGGGCCTGTGTGAAATAAGAATTCGAGTAGTACATGTTGATGTTCCATGAGTCATACCAAAGGAGTTCCGGTCAGCGATGTAATCATTCTCATCAGTTGGGTTTTGTCAATACTCCGCGCACACCACAGCATCAGAAAGTAATGCAGTAATCCACAGGGCAAGCGGGCGAGCTCTTTTGAAGTGCACCGCCATAGAAATTCTGCTCCCTCAAGATAATGAGCACGCACGAGTGAGAGTCTCGTAGGACTACGTCGTTTGAAGAAAACCCGACCACTCCTCGAGACGTCCTCGCGAGCAGAAATAGTTTTATGCATTGTGATCGATGTAATCGACGCTCTTCTTCACCATCACCGCCACCACAACCACAGAGGTATGTCAAGCTCTGGCAAGATTGACAGTTGTTCTGCACAGCCGATTCAACGAGCCTCACGGTTTGCAGGTTTGCAAGTATGCACTCTCGGGGAGGTCGCGAAAGGGTCTCGGGAGAAACCCCAGGCGGAGATGGAGTAAAGCTTATAATTCACATGCGGGTTGTGCACGGGCAGATCTGCCAATAATTTATCGTGACTCAGCACTTCTTGTACCCGGACGAGGCATAGTGATACGTACGTACGAGCACTGCCGATGCGACCGCAGACACGGCCGCAATGCGCGACCGCTGGCTGCGGCCGGTAAAAGGCGCGCCCGGCTGTGGAGCGGGCAGCAGCCTGTGAAAGGCGAGCACTGTGCAGCTTTATTTCTCGGCAGCCATGTTCTGATACTGGAGCACAGCGGTTCCCAGTGGTCCTGCCATCCGCCTCCCCACTTGGCTGTGTAGGTCGGATATGATCGCCCAGACAAGATCGCATCCATGGTATCGAGGGTTCAATTCCGGCCGATGCGAGGGTCGAAATCGTGGTTTGGCGTTCGGGGCGAGAGCAGTTGTTTCGCCGAGAGATGGGTGAAAGTCAGCCATGGCTGGGAGGTAGCGAGGTGGGGGTGGGGGGGGGGGGGGGGGGGGGGGGGGGGGAGAGAGAGAGAGAGAGAGAGGGAGAGAGTAGTTGGCACACTTAAGTTGAAAGATCCTCGGAGTTAAGGGGCACTTCCGTTTCGGAAAAAGTACTTCCCGCTGCAAGGACGGGCACACGCCATGGCACTCGGTTTCATCATTGCCCTTCCGCATGTGAGCAGGTGATTTAGGGTTTGGACGCGGCATCTCAGTATCACAAATCCCCAGCACAGCTGTGAATAGTCACTGGGGTGCTATAGATGACACAGAGCGCGCCGCGTACTCGGACGTAATTCTGACAGAGTTGCTCTGTCTTTATCACAGGACAACTTTCCGTGACAGTACCACTGTCCTCCTCCGGTTGCAGCTGGCGCCATCAACTAATCACTGTATACACGACAGGCGACTGCGTTTTGTCATAAGCCAGCCCGAAAGCTGGGGCTGCGCCCCCTGAAGGCCTACATCAGCCTTGGCTTTACCTGGCGTGATCCAGGACGTGATTTTCGACGGCCCGCGACTCCGCCATGTGAGATGGCCGTGGGCAACGGCCATTTCGCAATTCTCATCAGCAGCGATGAAGGCGGCTTTCCCTTCATGTTTCACGCGCCATACCGGCGGAAGAGTGAATGTCGCTGCGATCGTCACTTCGGTATTGGGCGTGTTTAGTGGAAGTGTGAGTTTTAGCGGTTCCTTCGCTCCTGCTTGCCACTTGTACGTGTTAAGCTTCCTACGCCAGCATAGCTATCAAGAACTAGATGTAAACCCATACAACGACTGCTGGGCTCATCCCATCACTTCATGGTCCAATTTCGAGCTGCCTACGGGAAATAAATGGGGGCTCCGTCCACCTCGTCGGTCCGATGTCTTAACGTGTTTAAGCGCAACTCCGCACACGTACTCTCATGTTTTCATCCAAGGGAACCCACATTATGCAATCATTCGTGCGAAGTGGTCGGTGTGGGAGAGCAAAGGACGACCCTCGAAAACAAGAAGTATTGTCAAAGGCAAAGGTTGCAAGGGTTGAGAAGCTGTTTGAAGCAACAGAACACGACACCAGAAGATGTATCCAGCCAGAGCCTCTACTCATTTAGGGTCAGTCGAGGAGCTGGCCGTATAAGTAACAAAACAGACGAAGTGAAGTGGCACCATTGGCATGTAGCTTAAGTGCGCAGTCCTCTTAATTCTTCTTCAAGCTAGACAATCTGCAGCACAGAGAGGTGGCTAAAATCGTCTCAGGAGCTTTCATCACTGGACATCCATCCCTACAAGTCAAAAGCCAGTACACACATGATCTTCCAGGTACTTACTACACTTCCACACTACAGGCGTGCCAATCCGACTCGGAGCATAAAGGCACAAGTTGGGAAAATGACACCCAAATTAAGATGGCGTATTAAATGACCCGATATGTCGCAGTTCACACCGGATGCAGGACTCGCGCCATTTGTGTACATCTCAGCATAGACACTGATCCCGCCTGCTACAGAAATCAAAAGGCACGTCCAGGACATAGTAGAAGAGGCATGACCTCATGATCGTCAAGGCAAGGCAAGGCAAACAGGGCCACAATTTCGATCTCGACTCAGACCCGTTGAGTGCTGCACAAGCGTTCGACTTACGGGGAATTTGACCACCTGGCCGACGTGTGTACGCACGACCCTGACATAACTCTCAAGAGAGCAGCTGACAATCTCCCGCGACAGAAACTAGGAGCTCGACACACACGGGCAACAAGAGATGGGGCACGACTGTGTAAATTGCCGAAGGTACAAAATTATATCAGTTTTCCAATGAGGAAGTTGGAATACAGTGAACTTTCTTTTGAAATCAGCTGAGTTTATTCTAATGTACACACCTTGGGCCAGGACAGTTTGTGACCTCATTGCTTCTGACTGCAATAGTTCCAATATAAGTAGAAAAAGAGTTCCACGTTACAGCACAAAAAACTCCAAGCTCCACTTATTCTGCAAAACTCATAAACTAAGGTTTAGAAACTCCCAATCGGCTCATGACTGAATTGAGAAACTCCCAGTACGCTCTTGACTGTGTACAATCCTGAATAGGCGGATTCTTGATCCCTCCAAGGTGAATTGAGTACTGCTCAGCGGCTGTCGACCAACACAGTATGGAAATCCATGTATGTTCTGGGAACGCTTACGAAGGCTCAACAATAATTGATACAAATTGTCTAATGTAATGGGAAAGAAGGAAAAAAAACCCCATGCGGCTCCAAACCCGTGCAAGAAGGCTTCAGAGAGCAAAACTGTTGAGGTCCCTGTGACAGAAGAGGAACCTGCGACTAAGTCTACTTGATTTAAAACGATTGCCGGGTTTGGACAAAATCCTCGTACGTTAGAAGCATCGAACCTACCTGAGGAGTGCAGGCTCTTTGATTCTGAAAGACTCGATGCACCCAGAACCTCATTGCCTACAAAACTGTGACTGTATTAAGTTACCCGAGGAAAAAAAACGTCGGTGACACCCTCTCCCGCGACTAGAACGTGGATGAAGGGAACGGGGTGCCCCATCCGGTAATCTGCTGCCTTCTCTTACCACAGGGGCGACCTGTGGGGCGTGCCCTTTCTCCGGTTGACCGACGGCAGGATGACGGACTTGGGCGACGATACCAGCGCCGATGGTCTGCTGCTTCTGATCTTTTTCGGCGGCGGCAGCGTGGTGGCCGTCGAGGTCACCGTTCCGCACCCGACTCCCTCCGTGCCTGACGAATCGGACGACGTTTGCGTCGGATGATCGCTCAGAGTCGAATTCGGCGACAGGTCTTCCTCCATGTCGAGCTTCCCGCTTTTCAGGCTCTCCGATGGCGAGCAATTGAAGAAATCCGACGATTGTAGGCTGGTAAACCGGGGAAGAAGGCTGTGGATGTCTTTATCTTGGGTGATGTACGAGTCGACCTGTGCCACGAAAGAAAGAAACCCCAGTCAGTCGAAATTTCACATGCAGCTCTGCGATTCGCAAATGGACTTCTAGTTTCCGGCTGCAATTGCCGCAATCGGCAAATCGAAATCGGCGCTTACCTTGCATGCGACCGAGCAGTATCGGTACGAGTCTTGCAGACTTCTGACGCACGTCTCGCATGCGTTGCCGAGTCCCTTCGACGGACGCGGCTGAGGTCTTCGGTTCAAGAAAACAACTCTTGCGCTGTTGATAATGTACGTCTGCACCAAATTGGACGGAATCAGTACCCTGCGGACAATGGTCGATGAGGATCGGACCGGACGGCAAGAGCCGCTCTGCGTCGACTAGACGGCCTCCATGCTCATGCATCGCTCATGGAAACAACAACGTGCATGCCATCCTCCAAACTCGCAATTCGCATCACCCGAGCAATTTCGGAAGTCCACGACAATTCCGAGCCCAAGCCGAACTTCTAATTTCGACTTGGAAAAAATGAACTCGTTTTGACTCAATGTCGCCAAATTCGGTACAGAAAAATGCCAAAAGCAGTGATGCCAACCGTGAGTACCCCTCGAGGCAGTACCTGGACTTGGGCGCAGTCGACCAGTTTTTGAATGTCTTGTAGGCGAATTACGTCATGGTAGACGTATCTCCGGATCTGCGTGACAATAGGAAAAGGCAGCATACAAGAAGTTACATTTCTTTCCTCCATGGAATTCTCAGATCCGATAAACAATGCTCCAATCAACGCCATGACTCATGTCATATCGCTTCTAGACTCCACCAATCCGGACTCAAGAAACCCAAGAAAGTCGCTACCAAGAGCATCTGCTGAATTTCGCTCGGCCAAGCCTCTCGAATTAGGCTGATTGGCGGAGGTGAGTCACTGGCCAGAAGTGCATAAATTGGACAGATGCGAAGACAATTCGCGAATAAAATTGCTGGATCCTGCCTTTACCTGCAACAGCCGATGCGTTCGGTGTGCTGGGAGACAGTGCTGGCAAATACTGTCACTGCAGTCGACGCAGAAAATGTTCCTCTCGTTCTTTTTCAGAGCGGCATGCTTTACGCAGGCTATGAAAAATTTCTCGTTCAGGAGTGCCTCGAGCCAGGCAGGCCTTTGAGGCTGCGCTGGTGAGAGAGCGTATCCCACCTGAAAACAGAAAGAAATCACGTCAATTCCCAAGTCCAGAGCAGTGCAGGTGACCAAACAAATCAGAAATTGATGCCTCGAACGCCAATTATGCCACTCGAAGCCAATTTTCCCACAGTGAGAGCCAATTGTAATCGAGTTCAATTTATTCATTCTCTAATTCTTCGCATACGCACGTAATGTTGCTCGGGTAACATGAATACCCAGCACAACAAACGTCCTGGCGCATGATGCGGCACCAGCTTCTTGGTAGACTCAAATTACAGCCCCAAGCCGTCTCTCTTCCCTACCACAAGAGATGACACACAAATTGAGCTCTTAGAACTCATACGACACCAATCCTGGCCAATTCCCGCCATCAATTTCGCGATGAATTGCGTTCTTTCACCAATTCCAAGCTAAGCTCAGATTCCGAGCAATTACGATTTCAGCTCACGAGTTCAGTGTGACGCACCATAGCTCTGCCCCGTCACGGAGACACAGAGAATTGTGACAATTGCAGCCGGTGCCGGTGCGAGCAGCTCGAATTCAGCATGAGCACATCGCCGTGTCGGCCTCAGACCACCAACTCCGCCACTTCACTCCTCACGAACCCAACACTTGGTCGCCGGTCTGTTCGTGTGAGCTGACGGCTTCGTTGCTCACAGCATTGCCTGGAAATCCGAAATTGGCGAGACAGAGGCGAGCCGAGAAAAGGAGACTGAGTTCACCGAACTGCCCCTCATCAAGTGTGCTCCCGTTCATTCCATCCACGTCTATCGTCGCGCCCCCCGGCCGTCGATCGCGCGCATCCGACGGCCCCCCTATTGCCGGCTTTTCCCTGGCGGGGAGCCTGCTTGCGAACGGGAGATCTAGTATTGCGGCGCAGGTATGTCGATCCGACCGACCCGATCTATCGTATCTGGGTCTTTCCTCAAGGCAAAGCAGCGCGAATCGACGCTGTCCGAGCGATCAAAAAGCTGACGGTAGCGATACACCTCGCGGCACACAGTTCTCCCTCCGCCTCCCTCGGTCCTGGTTGACCGATTCGCGGCCGCGGTACCTCGCTGTCTACTTCCGTCAATTTGACGTACATCGAGCGCGGCCTCTGCCCGCGCCTGGACCTGGAGATCTGGCCGCAGCGGCCGGTGTCTGTTCGATCCCGCTCGTACCGGACAAGCGGATCGATCGAGTGTATCAGGATCCAGGAACAGGCCGACTTGTCCGCGACATGTGCCCGCTTTGACATTCGGGCGCTCGATGACTGATTCCCGGGCGCTCCGGTACAGTTCCGTCAATTTGACGTCTTTCATGCTTTCATGTCTTTCTTCCGGGCTGCGTCGTGCGTCCGCGGCGCACGATTCCATGCAGCCGCATCGACGGCCCGCGCGTCCCAATTGGGCATTTCGACGAATCCCGGGCCGATTTCCGGCTCCGGACCGTGGATCTGCATGGGCTGTGCCGCTGCATGGGCTTCGCAGCAATTCAAACATACTTGGGGCTAAATTTGCTAGCCTAGGCGGACTAGCATTAACGACTAGCAGGCGACCGGCATCTGGACCAGGCGCCGGTGATCGATGGTCGACCGCCCATCATTCCGAATTTGACCGCTGACTAGAACCACTGCTCGAATTTAGCGACATCGATTATAGTTTTGACCGCTGCATTTGGCGACAGAGCGCTGCCCTCCGATTACCTTTTAAAGCAACAGCAAACAACAGAGTTCGGCTGACCCGAGTCAAGTTCCCTCGGTCGGAGACTTTAACTCGACGCAGTGACCCGTGGTCAGATGCCCGCGGGTGCGGTTAGTGTCGAGGTAAACAGCTGGCTCCCACTCAGCGATCATAATGGGAAAAAAAGCGCAGACTTTTGCCCAATCACGAGCACTGGTACCTCGCACCTTCGGGTGACTCAGCATCCATCGCGCCAATGAGATCTTCCGTCTAGTAGATATCTTTGAACCGGTCGCGAAGCGGGTTTTTTAACTTGACCCCGGTATTAAACGGGCTGAGTCACGGGTCGAGCGTGTTAAACGGCAACCAGTGGCTACCAAGGCCAGCTATTTAATTAATAAATGAGCGTACTGTGGACTTGATCATTCTATTCCAATGTATTCCTGCAGCCATTCCTATGTTTGTGGTTCTGGTTAGTCCCTTGCTATATGTTCTGTCAACACGTACTACTTTGCCTTTGACAATGTTGGAACACTGGCCGTAGTCGTCCCATCCGTTTCTCTGTTTACTTGGTACCCTGTTTTCTCGAACTCTTCCCACATTATCAACGTGTTCCTTGGTAGGATTTGTTTAATTTGCAATGCAATTTCACACTGCAGACAAGTACATTCCCATATTATAATGTCATCCTATGAACAAATGAACGGCAAGCTGCGGACTAGCACTGCCAATCCAGCCAGAAACAATAGGATTAATTTCTTACAATAGGATCGATGCAACCACATTCGCATCCTTTCAATGCTCAACCGCATTCTAACTCGTCCTCGGTCAAATTGCTACTCAGATATTGTATATTTCAATCAACCTCAGGTTACATAGCTCTACTTTGAATATTCAAAGTCATGACGCAATCCATTATCGACGATCACATCCTTTCAACTAAGTTAATAGCACGAAGTGTATATATGATGAATTAAAAAATGATAAGAAACTCTGATATCAATATAACCAACATTCATAGAATTGTTTGGATTTATGATCATTCGATACGGTACATTGTCAATGATGAATATGAAAAGCCAAAAAAATGTCCTGAATGTGATATATTCAGCAATGTAAGCTGGAATAATTCATGTTTCTTCCATTTTGATGTAGTGTGATGGTGATAATGTTCATTTATTCAATGCTGGAGTAATGACTTTTGTGTGTATCTATTGTTTTATAAATAAATTTTTTGTAAAAATATATTTTTTTTATCGTAGTAAATGATCACTTTCAACAACGATCTCATTATCATTCTATTTTTTAAAAAATATTCTATCCATTCATGTACAACTTGGTAGAAATTATCAACTTTGTTGATCTCAATGGCCATCAGAATATGTTTTCTCAAAGTGGTAGATCTAAATCATATGATTTTAAAGATCATTATTTGAGACATTTAAATTCACTTATGTTGGTTTGTTAAATGATATTTATCTTATTGCATATAAAAACAATTATTTGTACACAAACAAGATTCGAGTGACTTATACTTTACATGAACCTTATGTATCGTAGGTTTATTATTTTCCTTAATTAAGTGTTATATATATATATATATATATTAATATTAATATTAATATTTCTCTCTCTTTAAACTGTCAAAAATATAGTCAATTAAATTTTCAATTTTAATATCTATACACGTTGTTAAAATAACAACTAACAACTTTTAAAAATTACTAACTTCATTCTTTCAAGATCTTAATCAAGATTATCTTACATAATGATGTTGATGATTAATCTAAAGCAAATAGATTATTATTTTATTTATTTAGTTATTGCAGAGTTGAAACACTATTAAATTACTATATATGGTTAAAATGAATGAAGAATAATGTATATTACAATATGACAGTAGTATGAAATATTTCGTATTATCTATAACTCATATTATTTGAATTATTTGTTCATTGAAATTTATTATTATTATAGCTTATAAGTGAACTTCTAAAAATGGAACTTAAAATTTTAATTAAAATATTTCAATAATTAAAAATCTATATTTAAAAGCAATCATCATATAAATATGAAGTCTTAATCATGTTCTTCTTTCCCATAAACATATACACATACAATTCATGACAAACATTGTAAATTTTGTTTGATAAATTTGAAAACATTTGCCCAATAATGAATAGAATAATATTATGATAATGAATACTTATTTTCACATATGTTTATTACGCTTTATTAAATTATATGTAAAATAATTTCTTATACTAAAAAATTTAATGAATTATATTTTATGCTTCAAATATATATTAATTCCGAAATCTAATTGATAAAAATATTATCTTCAAAATTTCAAGATTGGCATTTTCTATTCCGAAAATGAAAATTTCAGCCTTTAAAGAAAAATGAATGAAGTGTGAGCATAATATCTAAGGTCAATGTGTTTTTAGTAGGTATATTCAATAATTTAAAACATACTTTTTAAAATATTTTTATTTTTTGTCTACCAGCAGGGAAAGTAGTACATATGTAAAGATTTATATTTAAGTGTAGTCTGCAAAAAACCCCATAAGCTTTTATTAACACTAGGTTTTTTTAAATATGATTTATTTATTTATTTGTGCATGCACTATCTTTCAGCTTAGATTAAATATTTATTTACATTGCTATGGCTATTAACCGTGTGTAACAATGATGAAAATCTTCTAAGCATACTCAGGTTATGCAATGTTTCAATTGGATAGTCTGTAAAAAAACATATTGCAACAATATGAAGAATATTCAAATTATTTTCCTTGTATGTGACAAATTCAATATAAATATGATTACTCATAGAAATAAATTGATTGCAAGTAAAGTGTATATAAAATTTACAAATTATATTTATATTATAAAAATAAGGGAATAATACAACACACTTATTTTTCATATAACGAATGCAAGTATTTCATCTTCATAATATCTTATCATTCAATATTAAGAAGTTTACTCAAACACTTCGGATGTTATGATCAAAAGCTATAGTTAGCCGTAAAACCGTAAAACATTCACAAATGCGGATATATGTGACTTACAAAATTCAATGATTCTAATATTTGCAAAAAAAAAGAGGTTAAATTGACATCAAATTACTGAAAAATTCGAAGATGATATTTGTAAAATATTATCCAACAAAACTTATGATATAAAATAATAACTACTTAAAATCATGCATGTTAGTGAATCCAAAAATGCACATGTTGAACAAACTATTTTTTCTTTCTACCAAATTTGCACACTTATTAAATATTCATCCATTCATGATATAAATCTTACTTTTATTATGATTTTTAAGTTTATTATTTCAAAAGTATATAGGATTGCATAATTTATTCAATTATTTTATGATCTTCAAATGTAGATGGCTCATTATAACTATGCTCATATGTTATAGCTTGTATGATATAAAACTTTGTTGATACATTTTTTTCTTACATCAATGAAGTTCAAGTATTGAGTATGATTGCAATTAATACTTATATCATAGTTTCATATTTTCATTACATTAAGCTTAGATTTATTTAATTTTATTAATTAAATTTAAAATTATGATTAGCTGACAAAATTTATGTTGCAACACTCTTTTTAAGCAATTTGAGGTTTAGATTGTGTTATTTGATCGTATAGTATATTTTTTCTTAGCAAAGTGTTGTATCACATTATTGATATGTGAACAAAATGTTATTGATTAAATATATGACATACTTAGTATTTGTAATCATTGCTTATAAAACTCAGATGTTTATTCATATATGTATAATATATATATATATATATAAATTGAAAATAAAATATACTTATAATACATGTGAAAATTGTACTTTTTTTATTAAAAATGCTTATTTCTTTCACTTATTGGTCTTTTTATAGAAAAAAATGTGTATACACGTTTTTTTAATGCTTAACAATATATACAGATGTAAATGTTAAGTTTGTATAAATAAAATATCCAGAAATATCTTAATCACCGAGTGAAATTTATAACTTATTATATAAGTTTAGAAAAAAATTCGAACATAAGGATTTCATTGAAATATTATCTTATAATTAAAAAAATGTATTAGATAATTGTGAGACATTCTTATAAAATTTTTTTTGCAACTTATTTGTAAGATTTGAACAAAAAATTTGATATAAAAATTTTAAATGAATTAAGTTTTTTCAACTTTGATTCAAACACTTCAGAAAATAAAATATTTCATAATACTTTCATTGTGAGTTTGATATCAATTCTTAAGAAGTCAATCTTCATGACTTTAGATTAATGTCCAATATTATTTCAAAACTTTTATTCACATGTCAATGTCAACAGTTAAATTTTGTACAACTGAACAGTGAATTTTTGAATGAATGTTTATGCTTATTTACACTAAAATGAGAAATTATGATACGATGATTGTGGCTTTGCATGCAAAAGCAATTACCAGATTAATAATGTACATTTTGCAATTATTTATGCGTGCAAGTTAATCTTTCGTTCAAGATTTAATGTATGTCAGATTTGCACAAGCAATAAAGAGATTAAAAAGAATCTAGCTCAACTATACGATATGATAGTCAAATATTGTTATCATGCGCGTGAGGAAATTTGTAAACGAGTTGAAAAAATATCAATTATTGATTATTAAATTTCAAATTTAATTGAAATTCTATTGCAAGCTTATTTTTGTATAATTTTTGTAATATCAGTGTTGAAAATGGGGAAAATTTGATAAAAAAAATATTTAATAAGCAATTCAACTTAATCAAATAACTTTAAAAACATATATTGAATGAATTATGTTAGTCTAGAAAAATAAGTTTACTTTTTTAAAAGCATAAAATGTGCATATGGATGTAAATACATTTGACAAGAATTAAGTTTTTAGTAAGCAAGTTTTACTGGTTTGGAAAGGTTTTTTCAGAGAATAAACCTATGATTTTAGGAATAAAATAGTGATTTATATGAATATTTAAAAAAAAAGTCAAACTAAGACATGACACGTAAAGTTACCATTGATACTATGAACAATAATAATCTAATAAACATGAAGTGAAAAGTGAATTCTTATATTAAGACCTTATCCTAATTCAAAGTTCAAAGTGTATGTGATATATTTGTGAGGTGGTTTTTACCATAACATAATCGAAATTTGTGATACTATGAATTTGTTCCTCATCGTTATCCTTGAATTTCATTGCACAGCGTTCATAGGGTTGTTACATATTGAAGAGTACGAACAAATCTAGCAAATCTTACAAAACTGGGTGAAATCATGATATGTCTGTTGATATGCAAATATGTTGTAACCGATGGCAAACAGCACATGAAAGCTGAATCTAGTGCACCCGCGTGATGCATCCGAGCAAACTTGAGCGGAAGAAGTTGCCTCGCGCCGAGAAACAATATTCGCGAGAGGCTTCGCGAGTCGGGGGATTCGAGCAGAGCAGACCAAGGAGGGCGCCAAACAATAATATGGGAGCGGTGAGAGAATGTCCGGGCACACTGTACAGCAATGTTCTCTTGTACGGAAGGGTGCAGCCGCATCGGGACAGCGAAAGCGACATAGAATATGAAAGCGCCTCGACCACTCCAAGGGATTAATCGGATGAAATAGGGGATGGGGGAGGGGGAAATAATTAAAAAAAGCATGAGTATAGATAATCATCCACTCGGCGAGAGAGCTATGAATACGAGGGAAGGTAGGGACAAAGCGCGCAATAAAGAAATGCAATGAAGGACGCGAGGGCGTGGGCCCCGCAGGCCCGTGGGCGCGGAGGGGCGCGCCTTGGGGCCGCGGCAGGCCCCACAAGCGCGTGTGAATCAGCGTGGGCCCTGGCGAGGCGAGCGGGCCTTCAAGGCAGTCGATCATGAGGCCAAGCGCCGAGAGACGACGGACGGAGCGATGCGCCCGGGACGAGGACGAGGAGCGAGTAGAGTACGTCGAGCACGAGTACGATCGAGCTTTGAATACGCTCGATCATGAGCCTCAAGAAAGCTTCGACGCCAAGACAATACTGCTCAGCGCAGAATTGGGCTACGGCGATTTGGTACGTGTAGAGAGGCAGATGCGCAGAGCGGGGGCAGTTCATTCGAGTTGGGAATCAGCGGACTCTCTGCCCGAGGTAATCAGATTGCGCGCAGCAGGCAGCAGGCAGCAGGCCAAGGCAGAGGCAGCGGCAGGGGCAGGCAGGGCGAGCGGTGGAGTTAATGCAGGAAGGTGGAGCTCGGTTCTCCTTTTTAGAGTGTGCCTATCTCTGCCACTAAAAACGAAGTCAGCACTGGCAGAGGTTCAGATGTAAGAACATTTGTGTCCTTCTCCCTCCGCGATCTTCTTCTCTTCAAGTCAGGTTAGTTGCGTCCGCAAGTACGGGTCGAGTATGTGTCGTGAGCGGGCGCCTCCTGTCGATCGATCCGTATCTGTGAATCTAAACGTATGAGGAATGTTGCATCTTGCTTTCCCGATTTTGTTCACGTTTACTTAATTTGCAGCCGGTCTGTGAACCCTTGGACGCATGCTCGTCTGCTGCCTTTAACCTGTGCGCTGCACTGATTAGACATTTGACCTCTTGTAGCCGTTGCTGACGGCTCCCTATGCTGGGAATCCTCTGGGCCATTCAATCGGATTCTCGCCTTTGTCGTCTTCCCGGTTAATTTAACTTGCTCCATAGGTCTGGAAATACTTCCAGCCACACCCGACTGCTAGGCGAGTCCTCTGTTTTGTTTTTCTCCGTGTACGATCTCGACCCTGTCCCACATTTTCCTACTAGAGCACTTCTTCTCGGTCTTGTCCTCCGTCGTGGAAAGTCGTCCGAGTTCAAATCCCTTCCCGCCTGAAGTACTTCTACTATATTCCCGACACCGACTTGCGTTCCTGCGGGTAAGTTAAGATCGGCGAATTTTGCTTCACTCGCCAAGAGAACATGAGTTGGCGTATGGGTTCATTCTTGATATTCTTCTTTTGACAAATTCCTCTCCCCGGCAGGACGGTTGAGAAAACATTGCGACTTCTGCTACTTCCTCTTGTCTCAAGCCTTAACAAGAAGACAATTTTGGAAAATATTACAAGCTATCAAGCAGTTAGGCTTCATCATAGATTACGCGGTTTCCATGTTTGAACACGATCGGAATTTAAACTGAAATGCCAAGCTAAATGACTCGACATGGTCCCATCCGTGAAAGCGTAATCATGAACTTCCTTGGAGTTGCGTTGCATGTCTTTAGCAGATATACCTGTTGGAGATCCCAAATATTTCCTTCACGAAATCGGGGCATGAAACTCGTTGGCAATGGGACCTCTTAGGTGGGACCTTAATACACCATCAGCTTTCAAATCGGGGGACAAAAACAGCTAACCCTTGATCTGTGAACCTACTCCAGATCGATGGGACAGCTAGATCGGAGGGCACAACTACGACTACGTGTGTGCTTGTAACTTGCAAGCTTTTCCTCCCTTAAAAAATACCATTATGGCCATAACGGACTTAGCTTTTCCTCCTTCGAGATAATACATCCAGGTTTTTTCTTCATAAATTGTAGTTTTCCGCCTTTCTCTTACGTAAAGGGCTTTGCATCTTGCTTTTATCCGCTTATATGCTTCCTCTTACTGTAAGAATCCAAGAAAAATTTTCGTAATCCTGATTGCTCCAGGTTTCATTTATGTAACCCAAATATCATAAGCACAAGAAGTTTCTGATGTAGCTCAATGCCTGAGGCATGTGTGGGAAGCTGAAGAGAACATTATGTGCTATCTGTTCAAAAGTCTACACTGCTTCGAATTACTTAGTGACCTATCCTGTCCATGAAGTCAAAATATGATGGAATACTCATTTGAACTTCTTTCCCTCAAAATATATTATAACTCATACTGGTATTGTACAATTCAAAACTGGACGAAGCTTGAAAGTTCGTATCAGATGAATGATGACTTGTCCTCACGAAATTCAAAGTTCCTTGTAACTCACATGCAATTAGATCACCATTGAATCTCCTAGTCCTTTGAAAGAGTCTGTCTGCAACACACTTGTGTCAGCAGCATGATATTAGCACCTGGGCTAGCAGTACCTACTCTACGAAGTCAGTGGGATGTTTCTGTTATTACAGAACCGCCCTGTTCTATGTCAATCTGATTTCTTCATCTTCGTAGACTTTTCCCTCGTTCTTAGCTGGATGTGTCATATTCACCTCTAAGGTTGTCAAGCTACCAGACGTGCTTATCTAGCAGCTGACTTAAATCGCTGTATGCTGCTTTTCCAGCTAGAAACTTCCCAGATCGAAACTGTAACCCGACTAATATTGCCAAAAGGATGTGAAGAACACATCAAGTCGTACAGGGATGAACCGAGGGATGGGATGGGGCTAGGCTATAAATTAGGGATCACATGTATGTAAAAGGGGGAGTCCGAGCTAGCCATTCGTGCTTTTTCCTCAAAACAAACTAGGACTTTGACATAAGAGAGGAATTTTCTACAGCTCTTTTCGTTGCTGCTTGAGAGCAAAGACCGAAATTTCTTTCCGACAACATTATTCGGGAACCTTTCAAACATATGCAAAGTGAAGAGTTGAAGCATAACGGAATCCGCTGATATGGAAGAGTCCAAATCAAATATCGTCAACGGAACTAAAGACTTTGCCTCGGAAGTTGTTCCGCTTATGTTAGCATACTCCTGCTCGGGAAATTTACAAATGAAGTCTGGTGAGCGATGAGAGCTTCTACATTCATGTCAAACAAATCTCCACAGGATAATCTGTTGTGGGCCGCAGCCCACACTGTTCCTCTGAGATTTCTTATTGCTCCTCGGGGTGCGAGCCATTTCCGTGAGACGCGGAGTTATCTTTTCAGCCTGCTTTCGGTAAATAGAACAAATCTTGGTTTCCCAGTTTACAGCCGAGCCTGGCTAATTGCTACCTGCATCAGTCTTATTTAAGCATACTTTAATTCTAAAATAAACTCCCGATTGCTGATTGAATTGGATTCGTTACATGCTTAATTAACTTGGTTGCTCATTTTCCCGTTCGCCTATTTCGTTTGAGCACACATGTTTGTTCAACATTCCTGGAAATGACAGCAATTTGCCATTTTGTGCCCAAAGTGAAACTAGTGCACTTGATTCAGACCAAATTAATTATTCTCGTTGAACCTTGTCTGCTCGCTTGAAGTGGTTTTTCACATTTGATATGCATATAGAGTTGTTTTTTATTTGATGTATGAGTCATGTGTGCGTGTGTCTGAGAATGGATGTCTGTTGAAACAGTCGGTCTTGAGATATTGAGTAATTCACTATACTATAGTGTGAGATTCTCGATTGATTCATTATTGTCTACTGACTGTACCTGTTTCACAAAATAGACAGCAAGCTTGTTGTCGCTCTACAATAGGCTCTTGCATGAAGATGAAGAAGAAGAAGAAGAAGTGCTAGAGTACCTCGGACCGTGAGTCAGTTTATTGCTTGGTATGTTTGGAATTTTATTATTTCATTTCACGTGCACTTTGCAACCCGTGTCCTTGCCTTTTGTCCCGTTAATGGAGAAAACGAAAACCTTGACCTGGAAAGGAATGGCTTTCAAAGAGGGAACCGCGAGAATCTAACGCACACAGGCAATATTACGACAATACATAACTGCTAACAGTGCAATAGTACTGAAAGATTGGAAATTGGAAGCTCTCACGAATAGACATCCTTAGATGATTGTGAAGATGCAACGAGTTGGTCTGTCTGGTCACTGCATCTTGACTACTATCTCATTTAAGTCAGCATAGGTCTACTGGGAGACGCTTTCCTTGGGGTCGACCATTGGGACTAATATCTTCATGAGGACTAATCGCTTCACAGAAGTGAAGCTATTAGTCCCCATGAGCTCATCAGGAACCCTGTGTAGTATATATCGATGTCAGAAAAGTCCGTGGCATTAATAACTGGAAGATAGTGTTATGAATGAACACAGTAAATATGTAAGTGTACAAAAGGAAAGAATGGAAAAATATTAAATAATCTGACTGAGCAATCGCTTTGTTCAAGTTACAAGTACGAGAAACCTGCTAGTTTCCAGAGGGCTGGGAGATCCCCAAGTTCCGACATTCATATGGTGCATGGCTCCATCTGCTTCAACAATTCATACTGTATTTCGTCCCCCAAAAAGCAGATTAACTTTTGGGGGACAAGCAGCTCCTTCTACCCGTACAGAGTGGACATGGGTTTATACTTTGTAGAAGCTATGCAATACCTGATAACAATTGGCACTTGTCGTATTGGATCAAACTTGTTCCAGCTTGCCACCACCGCACCGCGTTTTTCTTGGATTGATGATGTGTACCATGCATGTATCATGTCTGCTGTGGCTGTGCCCCACTACCCGCATTGCAGCGGCTGACCGTTTTTCTCCTCTCTGGTATCACCTGCAGAACTTCTCTCGCTGTGGTGGGCTATGACCATCGTTCTGGCAAGGTTACGCCTTTTCTCTTTATGCTTTGCCGTCCTTTGCCCTATGACTAAAGTTCTCATCACAAGAACCCAAAAGCCAAATTCTAACCTTCCGAGGACCCAAGTTAAAATTTACCTGTCGTAGATCTGTAGAACTACGCATGATCTGATACTGGAGAGCACTTTTCTCCTTTTATTCCTCTCGCGTCCATCCTTAAGCTTTTAACTGGTTACGTCTTCGTAAGGAGTTAAAGGTCCATTGAATTGGAGCTCACCAAGGCTCTGAACCCGGTCGCATCCTCTTTATCAAGGAAAGGTGCTCTGATAATTGTTAGCAGAATATGAAGGGTTTTAACACACTCGAGAGTCGATGCTATTCGGCCTGGCATGCACATCACACTTCACGTTGTTTGCGGAGCACGGGTGTTTTTGTGGAGCACTTTCATTCATCATGAGTACTTCGAGTTTGATTGAAGTGGTCTTCGGTCTCTTCCAACTTTACCTATAGGATTCACTACTTTCTGCACTCTTGCACCTCCATGTACCTTCCTCTGTCATTTTTATCGTACTTCTGGGCCTCTCTTCTCGCCTTTCTGATGGGTGGGGGTTTCTCGCGACTCTGAGTCCTGGACATGCGGTTTACTTACAACACCACTTGCTGAGACCTCTAACAGTCGATCGATCGATTAATCGACCGAACCTTTCGGAGTTTTCGTAATCGTTGAACAAACATAACAGCGAGAAATGGGATGGATCCCATCAGAGTGTCCGAAGAGAGCCAGAAAACACACTACACATAGAACGACCCGCGTGGCTCAGGGTGATACCTCCTCGGATAGCAACTTCCCCAGATGAGTCTGAGGTCAATGGCCTTGACAACTAAGTAATACTAAAATGACGGTCGTTAAGTGTACTCTAAAGAACAAGGAAGTACAGTAGTTAGGCTGGTACAGCACTAGAAGTTATCTCCAAACCTCTTTTCCTGAACCATTCACGGAAAGGCATGGTGCAATTGTGGGTGCACAATGGGCAGAATTCCGCTACCAATATAAAATCCAGGCTCTGATTAAGAGTTGGTGGTATCCTGACATGTGTAGCCGGGAATGGCCATGTGCGTTGTAGATGGTCAACACCCCAAAACCGGGAACAGATAAAGCGGAATAGTGTTGGCAGTCGGATCAACGGATGGACTGTCAGGATGTTGATATCCAGCTGTGCATGAGCCAGAACCCACCTCCACCACCACCACTGCTCTGAGGTGTACTTTGAGGGACCGCTTTGACATAAAGGTCCACCAGGAGGAGAGTGCACTGAACTGAGCTGCAGTTGCCTTTCCTTAGCTGTTTGTTAGGTGTTGCCCTGTTGGAATCTTCAGTCAGCAGTATTGCCATACGGCGTCACCCATCACTTCTCTCTACTTCTCTGCGCTGCGTAGATCATTGACACAGAGCAAGTAGTTCGCCGGGCCCGATGTGTCATGCACGAGTGTTTCCCGGCCGGGTTCTCGACTCGAGTACCGTCGACACCTCCGAAGACAATGTGAAGAAACTGCGGTGTCATTCTCGGAATTGAACTACACTAGCTTTTACTGCACGACTTGAAATCTTCATTGGCAACATTCCGAGTTCGACAAAACAGCTTCGCACTCATCCTGACCATTCGTGTAAAACCTCAGAGCGTTGAGTTGACCAAAATTCCGCACCCTCGATGAAACGCTCAAATTCACGTCCATGGCTCTTGGTATATTCGTGCAGTGATCATTGTGAACAACCCTACCGTATCCACGTCGATAGCTACGGAGTTTCCTCTGCAAGGCGGAATCTCTTCCTAGTGATCATTGCGTTTAGTACGTACGTCGGCTCCGAGGGTAGATGCAAAAGACATCCTCGCAGCCCTGTATGCTATTTACTAGCATGTTTGAATACATGCACTTCAGGTCACGTTTCTCGGAAGTGCATTGTACGCTCAAGGAATGCTGGAATTCGACAATACGTCATGCCCGATGACAAGTATGCTGATCCAGTTGCTAGGATGCAGCAGGATAAACTCAGTTGCTGCTTTCGAAAGTGATGAACTTGATGTAAGAGATTTGTGAGAGTTAGGGTTACCAGGATAAGAGTTTTTCTTATTACTTAAAGTCCGACTTCCACCGAACTAGGAAGGGATATGGGGTAAACATGAAGTGAACAACGTCAGGAGGCTCTATGAACCATGTGGCCTCCAATGGAAATGTACGCCTACGAAGGATGTCGGTGACTTTCGGTGACTTTTGCAGACTTCAAAGTTTGCACGAATGGCAGAATCACTAGCATTTGTACTGGTCCTCACACTGCAAACGCAACCTTTGGTCTTTACGGCCAGACTGGCACACATACACTTCTTGAGCTTTCATGACTTCTGAATACTTCCGGTGACAGATTCGATGCATAACTTCAGTTCGCAACCTGACGAGAGACTAAAACCTTCATAGAAGAATATCGAATCTTTACAAATGATTGAGTCAATCTGTATAAGTCTGCTTCTAAGGTCCTAATTATTTGTGCAGCAGTTGAAAATTTCCAATAATTTATCTATCTTCTGTAGAATTTTATTACTTCATCCAAGAATAGCGTAGAGTCTTTTATCGACCTAAATAGCTGAAAAAGAGTAAGATGAAAGCAATTTGTTTTCTTCCCAGCACAAGCAAGACCTATACAATACTGAAAAAAGGTATTTCCCTGAAGTCGGCGGTGTCAAACAGCACGACTTCCAAAATCTGCATCAAATTGTTCATATCGATCTGCCAGCAGATGCGCCGAGGGTCTTGTTGTCTCAAGAGCGATTCTCACATCCTCCTCAGTTATGGGGCCTATTTGTGGAAGGTCTGCAATTAACTTTCACAGGCCCATCAGTACAGAGGTAGCTCATTAGAGTCCACATTTTCAGACTCCTCGTTAACATCCTTGAGAAAAATGACTGTTGACAAAGTTGATGGTTGAGGGAGGGAGGGAAATCAGTAGAAGGAAGAACTTCGGAGCTCTTTCTCGTGGTTTGAAAATGAAAAATTTTAAACAGTCACAAGCTTGAAACTTCTCGTACAAAGAATAGATATCTGAATCATAACATGCTACTTTCAAAGAAGAAGAAATTGACCTTCTTCAGTATGTGCTTCCTTCTCGAGCCTTTCGAGTTCAGTCATTAGCCTCCTCAAAGGCCGCATGGCTGCCTCCTTGCACACGATACGTATGTCTGAACCCGAGTATCCCTCTGTCAATTCCACCATAGCATCGTAGGGTAGATCTGCGTTAACTGTCTTCGGTAGAAGCGATTCACACATTGCGCGGCGTGCCTCCGGCTCTGGTAGGGGAACCAAAATCTGATTAAGAAGGTTAAGTAGAATATTTTTAGGGGACGGTTGTACTTATTTACAAGCAGGACTCATCTATCAATATGTAATTTCGAATATACAAGAATGAATAGTATCAGAATGGCATGCACGCAATTCTTACGAGGCTACAACAGATACAGAGCCGGCAAATGGATGAAGAAAAGTGAGAAAAGGGTCAGTGAGGGAGACAATTCAGGAGTCTAGAAATAAACAGAACCCTACATTGTTGGATTACTCTGCACGTTTGTGAGTACTTGAAGGTCTGAGTATAGTCATCTATGAGTTCTGTGTTAAGGGAGAGAATCTTCTAGGCAAACTTGCAGGTAATAATTTCAAGAGCAAGGAACAATAGCTGTATGGTAAGATCGAGATATGCGGAATTAGAAAATGTAAATCGAAGAGGATACACGCTTCTCAAGCCGTCGAAGCATGGCTGCATCAAGCTCCCACGGCAGGTTTGTGGCAGCCAGTAGAAATACCAAGTCATTAGACTTCATCAAGCCGTCCATCTGCTTCAAAATTATAACGTATCAGATATCGTTTCTCTGCACGTATTCACAGGTTAAATTATCACTAGAAGGTTGGCACATGGGAGTTTCTAGCTCACATAGATACTATCTCGTCTTATACTTAGCTATCAGAAATTGAAGAACTTGATGAGTAAGTCCTAGTAAACTAATGAGAAATGACCTGGACAAGCAGCTCTGTCTTCAGCCTCCGGCTGGCCTCATGTTCACTGCGTCCATCGCCACGCTGACTAATGATGGCATCAATCTCATCCAGAAAAATTGTGGAGGGTGCAAAGTGACGTGCAAGCTCAAACAAAACCTTCACTAGTTTCTCGGAATCACCTGCATATGACCAAGAAATGCACATTAGAACCTAGTGATACTCAAGTAAACTACTAACTCAAGCTACGAACTAGTACAATTTGAGCGCTCACCAAATGGTCAAATCTGTCCTACGCTTAGAGGGAGTTCAGTTCACATTTAATTCACCAGTCTAGCTGATAAGACATTTTTTAAGAACAAGTTTCCCATGGGTTCCTACCACTCATGTCGATGTACATTTTTTTAAAAAAACTGTCTTACTTAGCTGAAAATACTGCGTTCATACTAAGAAACAGACGGAATACAACTACAGCACACAACAATCCACTATGAATCGGTCCGGAGTATTTTACAACATGAATGAAGTAAGCCAAAGACAAATACAAAGATAAGATCCATGCCCGAAATCTCTTTACAGCATCCTCTGATATAGATGATTAGTTGGATGCATTAGTTGGATAGGTTAGTTTTCTACCATACTTGCCTCTCAAGGAAAATTTACATCCAATCACAAGCGTTTAAAACTTTCTTCGGGTTGATAGAGTTGATTTTGATGCTGGATATATTGGCAGTTTGGACAAGCCTAAGGCTTCCGGATCGGTAAGAACGTTTGTCGTTGATCTTGTTTTTGAAACTGGTGATGTTCGAGACAGTTGTTCACCTTCCAATCATTTGAATTTCGAAATGTCAGCTACTGGCATCCTGACGCTAAGATGACTATAAGTGGCCAGAGAATAATGTAACGATTAAACATACATGCCGTAAACATTTGTATCTGTTAGAACTACAGAGGAACCAAGTTGCAAAGGGCATTGATGGTTGAATCTAGACACTTCTAATCCAAACACGCTTGGTCAGGTAAGAAATTAAACAACTTTGGAGAAAAAGCAGTAGCCCAGGGCGAAAAAGTGCAAAAAGTAGTGGAGAAGTAGGCCTTGTGCACAGAGACGCGAAACGAACGGGAATGAAGTTTAATAGCAGATTTTGAACATCCCGAATGTGCACGACCACGATTGTCCAGTAAGCATATGAACCTAGCATCTTACATCGTGGAGAGCTGATCTTTCCGTTACACGAGGTTTTTAGCAAGTACTCAAATCAAACATCCATGACATATGAAGGTAAAAGCATTCCACTAAACATGTAGTTTCTGCAGGAAAGTGATCCGTACGTACATGTACTAAATACACAACTTGGTCTGATTGATATTTTATCTACCGAGTACAAGACTGTGTATTTCTTCAAAGCATATTAGTATGCGTGATATATTTCAGAATGTGGTTAGTACTAAGTATCCAACATGGGCGGGCATGGTTTCTAGAAAGATGAGTGGAACCACACAGATATGAGCGATTGGCTGCGTTAATATCTGTATTAGACCTAGTGATTATAGAACACAAAAGACTAGACTATACGGTAGATTAACAAGGTAGGGTCAAGACCGAAGTAAATTATTTGATCGCTAGAAGGACACGCTTTCTCCTCCACTCACTCCAATAGATGGAAGAAAGATGTACTCTCCTTGTGGGAGAAAACAACCAGATTCCAGTACGTGGGTCACGGTTTTAAGGTTCGTAAGCGTAAGAGATAAAGTCCCGGGGTGGGGGGGCGCTCGTGGGCTTATCGTGCAAGCGACTGAAGCAGCTCAAATCTAGGTCGTTCCCAATGATAACGATAGATTCCAGATGGAAAGAAGCATGAAGACAATAATCTAAAAAGCGAGAACAGTTATGCATGAACTATATTCATAAACAGAGGTGGTGACAGATAAAATAGTTGATGAGCAGCCGCAAGGGCTTACCATCTAAGAAACCAAAAAAACGAAAGTTAAGAGTTATGTCTCAAAGGTGCCGTCGAAATATACTACGTAGCAAGTAGTGACAAACCGATGCATGAAGTAATAAGGTGGAATACATGGAGGAGCATCACTGTCGAAGTGACAGTGGTGCTAAGAGTGCGGTATAGATGATCTACTCAGACGGCTGCTTCATCAGTAGATACCGAGGTGCATAGGTTTCTGCAGTGTACCGCGCGGGAGCGGAAGAGAGCTCGAAGCCTGACAAACCATAGTAAAATCTCTACTTGTTGCCCAAGAGAGGTGGTGGCAGAGTAGACAGTGAAGTATATGCGAGTGTTTCTATATACCATTACCTTCCATAGCCTGACGACCATAACCCCACGCCCTGTCTCAGCGGTGCTAGTATCAGCGGACTGAAAAAAAGGTGGAGGCTGAAGGAGGACTGATGAAAGTGAGGATCGTCTCTTTGTAGACGGATATCCTATAAGAGAGGTTCGTTCAAGCCTCCAGGTGTCAACCAAGGAACCCTACACTTACTAACATACATGTAAACCTTGCTTCACCCAAAACCAGCTTCTAGCTTTGCAGATCCCAATCAGTCCTCTGATCCCAGCAGATGAGGGAGTTTGTGGCTTCTTATCGTTCTAATTCTTCTCTGAAAGGTGCTACACGTCACCGGTTCCGTACTCTGTACAATAGTGAACGAGAAGTGGGTTAGTTTTCCATCTTGCTCTACTATTGTTCAACAGAATGAATGTTATCCAGTAGTTCAATGTTGTGCCTATTCGCGGAGCACGCTGAAAATATTGCTTAAGGACCACGGGTGTTTTATAATTGGACATAGATCTCGTCCATCTAAATCCGAGGCTAAAGTTGATTGATACAAATTTTCTGCTACTGACTCAACAAGCGCTAAATGGGCCTCTTGTATTTTGGAAATACATATAGACATACATAAGATTTATCTTATGACAGCTGATGTATTTATTCGATGCTATATGTATTTCCAATTACAAAAATCCGAAGGATGCACAACGTGAACCGTCTTCTACTGTTCAACCTGGAAATTTCTCTGGAAGGTTCCAAGAGACTCCAAACTCCAATGTTTCCAACCCAGGCCATCCGTATGAGTACTGCGAACATGACACGAAAGGCTCTCCACTGTACTGCTTGCAAACCTAGCTCGCTGACTGGTGTAAGCAATCCATGCTGGCTCCAGCGTCTCAAGTGAGGTAAATCTAAAAGTCTTGTTTCGGTTGTAATAGCTGAACATCGGAGGAGCATGGTTATCACCATTACCAGGTTTTGTTCTTCTAAACGACATTCTGATGTGGGTTTCCGACCTACAGTCTTCTGAGAGTTCAATCCCAAACGAGTCTTGCTACTCCAATTGTCCGTTAAATGCAGGATGTCACACCAATTTTTGATATGGTTACGACTTCTGGAGGCTTTCTACCTACTTGTTCTAGTCCACAGAAGACATTCGCCAACATCAACGACTATACGATGCAGTGAGTCCGACGGAAAGCCTAACCGCAATTTCTAATTCTTTCTGAAAGTGGGTTAACAAGTTAACAAGCCTCGGAAGAGAGGAAAGCCCTGTGCTAATCCCTGAAGGGATGTCGAAAGAGTTCACTTCATTGGCCGTTCACCAAAACCGTCCTCTTCGTCTTAAGATACAGCTGTTGCACCACAATTCACATAATTCATCGATGCTCGACCTCCATAAAGCATACATCAGCCCGCTGTGCTTTATGAGGTCCAATCGGTAGTAATAGTAGGGTTTCCCTTCCGTTCTCCCTCGAAATGGCGTACATCATCCCATAATGCTTATTTTGGTCCAATAAGAATCAACATGTACTTTTCATCTCCCTTTCGCGACCACCATTACCTAACTGAGAAACATAACCTCGAGACTGACGAAAGCCTGCTCGTCTTTGCCTGATGACAATCTGTGTCTATAAAACCTTGTGATCGGGGAATGTCTTGTTCGGCGAAATGATTCCGCTTTTACACTGAGGACTGTGATAACACTGTAGTAACCTGGGTCCTCCCGTTCTCTGTCTTTAAATAGCTTGACAATGGTGGCATATAGCCACCTTCAGGAATGACCTCTCCTTTTCCGACCAGGGTGAAGAGGCTGACTAACTAACTTCATCATTTCAGACCCATTTGATACAATACTCAACATTTAATTGCAGCAACCGCCTTGAGGTCAGTAGCTTATGACTAGGACTAATATGGTAGGAATATAGTAAGGTCTACAATCTGACTGGACTAACAGGGGCTAAGATGACAAAATCAGTTTCTCTACATGAGATCAGGGTTTAGGGTAGTAGAGATAGTCACAGTAGAGAGAGCTTTCTCAAAGATAATGTCAAATTATTTGCATTCATGTCAGTAATAACAATGGTTTTGACCCAAATCGAAACGCAAGACGTACGGGTTTATACTACTTTGCAACAAGATCAGTATCTACACAGTTGCATATGAACGGATCAGGAACTGCATGTACTAAGGTGTGCAACTTAGCATCAATCAAATAAACCTTCCCGATGGTGGATTTCCTTCTGTACTTTTGTATTCTCTTCATCGAGAGAGAATTTTCCATGTTTGGTATCAAAACTCTGTTCTCTTGAGATAAGTAGGGAGAGGCTTAAAGACAGGCTTGCAAACGAAGTTTGGAGTCCAACCAAAGAATGATGACATCCAAAGCTAGTAAGTCTCAAAAAGAAGCAGTCCAAGATACATATATCTACACTTTTACCTGTTAAAATGTTACAGTCAAACTATCTGAGCACAAGTTTCCTTGGTATGCAGTCAAGACTAAGATATCCTAAAACCTGTTAGCACTCATAGAAAGTAGAGTCACGTAGATTAACCACTTAAATAAATGGCTACAATCGGTCATGAGAACTTGGAAATGGGTATCATTGCAGTTCAGAGCCCATGTCTACGTACGTACCTCGCCATTTGCTGACAATTGAAGAAGCAGATATGTTGAAGAATGTAGTGTTACACTCGCTTGCGACAGCCTTCGCCAGCATAGTCTACACAAGAAGAAGAAGAAGATAAACTGCTTAGAATGTGCCTATCGTCATTACAGGAAAACTGCATAACAACTACATTTCCATCTTTAGCGATAGATCAGTTTGAGACTACTGCTTTAAAGAACAAGAAGACCATTTGTTTTAATGAAGTCGAAAATTTGTCAGGTGATCTATCTATGCTAAAAGCACTATAAGTCACATATCCCCGTGCCCTGGCTGATCGGTGCTAGAGATTACAAAGGCACACGTCAACAATTTGGTAAAAGATATCTGATCTTGTCTATCAGACAATCAGACTAGTCGCCCATAAAGTTGCAGAACTGAATCTTTACGACAAGATAAGCTAGAAAGCAACAAGTGACAATGCCATAAAATCTCTCAACGTACAAGTTGAGTTTACAAGTGTCCTAGTTTTTCAACCCTCCTACTTAGGTAGAGCAATACTGCGGTAGTTCCTCTGTATCCGTTCTAATGGCCACCACTACCAACAGGAAAGCTAAGCCTTCCATCCAGAGTTTGATTACACAAAATGGTCGGTGGAGAAATCCTTTCTAGCCACTGGCGATACATGAGCTCTGTGTGTCTGAAGATATTGATCTGCTTCTGTGGAAATCAACAAACAATCTCCAGAAGTAATAGCCTTGACTATTTTTTTATTTTTTTTGAGAGATACTGGTCTCCGATAAACCTTGAACACATACCTTTCCAGTTCCAGGAGGTCCAAACAGCAAAATTCCCTTCCATGGTGACAGAAGGCCTTTAAAGTATCTGTCAAAGCCAAGAATTCAGGTTCTGGCGTAAATCAAAAGCGGGGCTTGCAGTCGATGCTAAAAGTCTTTCTTTCACAATGAACTCAAAGACTCGTCCACCTGCAGTGCATGTCTTACGAACGAGAATGTGATTACTAATGAAAATGCATCAGACTTCAGCGGATCGACACTGATGCACAGTGCATGGATCCCGTTAAACTTGATGGTTATCATCCGTGATTTGGACAAATGTGCACTTTGAGGCTTTGAAAGCGCCCTCTGGTTGAAATCAGTAAGGTAAACCATTGATTGCACTGACAAATCGAGATCTACTGTACAGTAATACGAGTAGGAGAAGGAATTTGGATCTTACTGAGGGTACTTGATGGGCATCACCACTGCCTCCTTCATGAGTCGTTTGGCATTTTCTAAACCCTTAATACTATCCCATCGGACATCAGAAGTATCCCGCACAATATCTCTGCATATTAAGAGAGCAAAATCGCGAAAAAATCCGTGAAGTGCAAAAAATTGGGAACATCACGGATTTCACAGGTGCAGCTCACAGCAAGAAATAATGAGACAATAGAAAGCGTCCAGAATTTGGCTGTTACTAAAGCCTTTCCTGAAAGCACTGTGCCAAGGTAGCGTATTATTACCTCGTAATGCTTTGTGCCAGCTCGTTCATCTCCGGTGAACCAAAATCTGGCAGTGCCTTCGGAGGCCTGTTGTGAAGCAACATTTACAATTTAACAAATAATTACAGCATGATATAAACAACAGTTCTGTGACCTAGATCCATCGACCTGAGACGCTAGAACAAAAGAAGGCAATCGTGGATGTGGTTGTGACTAAAACTATCGGTGACCGGTACCTGTGCAACACTGTCACCTTTTGAGCAAGAATTTTGTAGGACTGGGAAGTTACCTTACCATGTTTCATCTTGTTTCTCAGTTGACGAGCCATTGGAAGCTTGAGTATCACCAGTCTTCTGAAAGCATCACACGGCAATCAAACATTTTGCAATGCCACACTCTGATACCAAGGAGCTACAGAATGTTCATAGTTTGCTAAAGCTATGAAAGTACGACCACTTTTCCGTGACTTTACAGCAGACTTGAAGAAAAAAGGCTTCTCTACGAAACGGCCGTGTCCAGGGTCATCCATGGGGGATCTCTCCAAAAAAACGAAGTAGCCCGAATAACTTTTGCATACAGATGTCAGGTAAAAAAAGTTTGCCAGCATAGATGTGTTGAGTTTAGTAAAAAATTTTGCCGATAAATGTCCGAATGTGTAGTGACAGCCCATATCAAACCTTCAGGTTAGCATTCATCTTTCGAGGCCAGTACTTATGTATCTTGAGATGCCAAACCAACATGCATCTTAAGTTGATGTTGGGAGCTTGAGTTTCTGGACCTGAGTACCTTGTTCAAGTACTGTTCGTAAACTGCCGTACTTGGAGGTATTTTGTTCCTGGAAACCACTCCATTTTCTGGAGTGGAGCTTGGGCTCTGAGAAGCTTGAACACCATCAGACTGTTGGTGCTGACCATTTCCGTTTGTCATCGGTTGATTCTCGGTGTGAGAGGAGCCCTTGATCCACTTGCTGGCAAATTTCATTTCATATGCGTGTTCAAAATCCTGCCACGTATTTGTATCACAAGGAACATCTGAGATATATTTCTGGTATATATATAAAAGGCGAACACAATGTTTTCGAGAAATTGAGCAGGTAAATTTGACCTAACGTGGCTTATAGTTGGAATTAGCTCGAGGCCTGATTCAGCTCGTGTGTTCAAAACAAACCAACTTAGTGTCCCGGAGCACGAAAAAATTAGCGTTCTAGTAAGATAAAGGCAAAGAGAATGCAGTCATCTCATACATGTCTTCGAGAAACACTTGTACCCAAGAGATATATCATAGCACAATAATTGGGCGTGGCCAGTGACCCACATTTGCCAGAATCATGAAACTTTCAAATGTTTTTTTGAAGTACTCAGTAAATTATTTGAAATATATTACAGGACAAATTGAAACCATTGGCCATTGAAGGTAGCCGATCAGATGTTGAAAGATTCACATAAGGCATCCACAAATCGAACTGAGTCAGGATCGGCCTTGAATTGACGAAAAGGTGAGAACTGATATTGTAACTTAGGGCGATGGCGAACTGCAGACAACAGCGTCTTCCTTAGGCCTCTGATGGTGGCAATTCAAATGTTTACTTGGTCATCACTTGTAGAAAGGACTTGAATTTAAAACAGATGGAGCAGCTAGATCCTCCGCCGGATTACCACACTCAGAAATGAAGTGTTTAAATCACTCATGCTCGACACTGGCTCCTACATTGCAGCAATTATGTAGCAGCAACGAGTGGCGCTAGAGATTGCAAAATTTATGAACAACGCTTTCCGAGCGAGAATTTGGCGATGATGCAAATGCCGTGAACTCGGGGTGCATCGAAACCGACAGCATTCCAAGCCACATAAGAATCATCAAACAGGTACGAAATCGAATCACAACATCGATCGAGCAAGTCAGTCACAACGAATCCCACCCACCTGAAACGACCACCGAGTCACAGAAGGTTCGGAGTCGACGTGCTCCGAGGACTGGCTAAAGAGGGGCATGACTGCGTGCACCGACACACCCCTCCCCTCTCGCCCGACCGAAGCACCAACGCCACCGAACCTTTCTCCGATCAATTCTCCTCCTCCCCGTCCTTCTGCTGCGCCTCCCTCCCTCCCTCCCTCCCTCCCCCTTCTCCTTCTCGACGAAGAATGGCCGAACCGCAGAGCTCCCTTTGCTGTCTGTCAGACTGGCGCCCGTCCTCCCTTTTCTTTTTCCTCGTTCGCCCTTCACTGGCTCCCGAGTTCTTGTCAGAAGCCCCGCCCGCTCCTTAGTCCCAGGAGCGAAGTGCGACGCCAAACTCGGGCCGACGGTCCCACACTCGACGCCACGGGTCGCAATTTCTTCCCGTCGTTCCCGTCGTTCCCTCGAGGGATCTCGCGCGCTGCTGGATTCCCCGCCCACTGTCGAGGGCGACCCGCGTGCCACGTGCGCGGTGTGAATCGATGCATTTGGCAGCCTGTGGCCAACGGCTCCGGCCTCGGCTACCTGCGCGCGACGATCGACTTCGTCCTGCTTCCGGCTGCGCTTTGCGGGGAATCCATCCTCCGAGTCTCCACTTTTTGCTTTTCGTGTGGCATTGCAATTATATTATTGGACGTCTTGACATCGTGACGTAAGTTTTTGTCGAAGCGTCAACAAATGACACCCGTTGGACGATAACTTACCACAACCTGCATTGACTAAACATTAATTTCTGAGCTCGGCCATTCGTTCTCTCGCAACGGCTTCGTGTGCTTTGGAGTTCAACTCTTGCTCTTCCCTTGTCTCAAATCCATACTTGTTTCATCTTTACTTCTGTACAGTTTGATTCCAAAACTCTACATATTTATTGATATACTGTGATTTGAGCCAACGCTATAAAGAGTGACACCAATCACTGAGAATCGAGTACTCAACTCAAGAAAATTACTTGATGGGATACCTCCACATTCCAACATTTTACTTAAAATTTGTACCCATACCAGGCCATACCCATCAACATCTAAGTATGACCATCCATAGCATAACTAAGACCAGCCATGTCCACCCCTGGTTATCACCCATGTATTAAAAAATTATGTAATATGTATTGTTTGTCACACCAAGTCTTGGTTGGATTAAAAAACAAAATATCTTTCACAATTGTTTTAGCCAGAAAATCTTCTTTGTTATAGTATTTCTTGCATTTGAGAAGTTTGACTCTCATTTGGAGCCAAAACAGAATGCACAAAACCGAACCAGACACTTGCGATAAGATGGAAAATGTGAAGACTACTCTCTGCTTACACCAAAAGAGAATACTGAATTTAGGAGTAATATATCCATTCCAAAACCTATGTAGTGTAGGCTCTTTATATTGTTCAAGATCCATAGTTGACTTATGAAATGAATGTCAACAAGTCAGTTATTTGTTTCAAAAAAAGCTCTCAGATTGAGACAATTTTTTGCACTGCATCTTTCTGCTTCAGTAGATAGATCACCTCATTTAGCATTCCAAAAATATTAAGCATGCAATAATATAGCGAGCTTCATCTAGTTGCAGTATCTTGTTTGAAGATAACTTTGATTGAAGATTTAACTTTTTGTAATATGCAACAAAACTTTTACATGCGTCAATGAAAATGTATAGAGTCGTCATGTGAGGTTGATCAAGATATAGGTAAAAATGCTTACTCTGGTTACCATCAACTTGATTTGTAGTCTTCTTGAGTATGTAGATCAAACAATTTGCGATCTTATGATCAATGCATACTTACAAGTCAAACTCACTTGAAATGTCATCTTTGGCAATGATGTTTGATCCATAATCCGCCACAACAATGATCCTATCAAACACCAAAATTTGTTATCAAAGATGTCCAAATCTTTTTTGAACTCATCCAAAATCATAATGTATGTGTGGCTCTCATCTCGAATATATTTCACATGTAGTGTTCAATCAAATAGAGCAAATTCTTCATCGATGTGATGTTCCGTAACATATATGTTAGTCACATTTTTGATATTTTCCGTCCAAAGATCAATGATCCGTGTCATAAATACGTCAGTATCAATGTGTTTTTTAAAAGTCTTTGCCACTATATCACGTCCTTTCATCGCGCGAGTTTCTATATTGCGTTTCGCGGTAACTGGTTGAAACAATAGAGCATCAACCATAAGTCGTTTATTGCTTGCAACACCAATGTCTAGAGTTGTTTGAAGAAGCTCTTTCAAACCATGTCTGGCTAAATATTCAAATGACCGAAGATCAATTGCGCAGAAGTTGGCAATCGCAAGCCTCATCTTCTTGTTCTCATGTGTAGTGGAAATGCATTTCGTCGCAAATAAGCTCATTGCTTGACTATCTCGACTTTCAAATTGAATACACTTATGATTATTCATGGTGTTGATACCCATGGTTTTCTTGAACGTGTATATTTTGTTACAGCTGAAGCACGCTTCATACTCGCAATCCTTACCATGTTGTTGCACAATGCCAAAATTTGTTTGAAGAGTAGAATTAAGATCAACACGGTTCTTGCGCATCAAAAATACACTATCAATGTCATTTGGCAATGTCAGATGTCTCCATCTCAATAGAATATTTGCAGGTAAATCTCAAGAGTTGGTGTTCAAAATATTCACAAGTATTCTTGAAAGATAAGTCATCAATCAATGTGTGGATGCTACAAATGATACAGTGATCAAAACTTTTGATACTGTAATATCACGCACAAATTTATCACATGCTAGTTATATCATCACATGTTGTTGCTGGAATGAAAAACTCACTCGTGCTTAGTAGTGATAATTTTGCATGTAACTATAAGAGCAACAACTATAAGAGCTCAAGTTCATCGGATGGATAATGCTCCACAACTCAGAAATTATAAACAACTATAAGAGTTCAAGTGCCTTATTCTTACTTCTTGTATTTCATAAAATTTGTTATTTTGCTCCAGCTAACAAAGTTTGTTCTGATAAAATCAAAGGAGCACTAATGAAATGAAACTTGGAAGATTTTGCAACTGCTCCCGAACATAGGATGAAGTCACATCTCAATACATATTGAATTGAAAGTAGGTCAATTTTTCAAGACATAAAACTCTTCAAGAGATCAAGACCAAAAAATGAATCAAGGAGATACTCTTTTGTACATTCCTCCGATTTAGACCAGTTAGATGAACAATCGAGTTTCAGCAAAGAATTCTTGTCTTATTCCTTGCATCTTTGTATGGAAAAAAACTCTCAAACTCTGAACAAACCAGTGAGCTTTAGGATCAAATAAAGTCAAACCGATACTCTTAATTTTATCAGTAAGTTATGTTCAAACGGAGTTTTGAACCTTTGTCAAAGTAACGTAAACGATTGTGTTTTTGAACCTTCTATAACAAAATTTTGTCCTTTGAAACTTCCTTATGCAAGCTTCTGAAATATGGATAGACAGATAGATCTTGGACATTTAAATAATAAGTTATGCTAAAATTCCTAGATACATGAGTAGATAACTAAAAAAATGAATCAATTTTGACTTTCGAGTATTATGTTAAAGTATGGATAAATAGATCCTAGCTGCAACAATCCCAGATACGTGCCCAATCCGTGGATTTTTACGCTGAAATATAACAAGTTCTAGATCTTAAGTTCAACTAAATTTTGATACCCTCATGCTCTTAGACTTCAATTTGTTGACCATAGAAGATCAAACGAAAGAGTGTACTACATTCTCTCGTATGATTATTCATTCGTTATCAGATTCAAAACTAAACTTAATGTAATTTTAAATCTACATCATTGGTTGCATGTAGAACTGGCAACTTAAATTTACGGCTTTCGAATGGTAGAATTATTAACATCGTTGACATTATCTCACTTTCACACTCTTCCTTTTAGCAAATAAAGCTTGCATCTGTGCTGGGAGATTTTGCTGAATTCTGAATGCACTTGCATTTCATCTAGCCTATACAAGGTTCGACAATCAAGGTTGAAAATCACCAGGTCATCCCGGTAAGGAGCCACAAACTTGACTTGAGCATTCTTGATTTCTCCGGATCACCCAAATGTCTCCAGAATAAATTCCGGGGGGTTCTCAGTGGATTGAAAGCTCTTGAAATGTTCCTGAAATTCATTGACATTTAAGGGGCTGTACCCGGGTTCTATCCTAAAAAACCTCCGGATGTAACCCCTGTTAGCAAGAGGAACTCAGGCGGTTTTCTCCGGTTGTCCCCCCATTTCACCCCCTATCCCCGAAGTAAGTTAGCCATTCCTGGGGGAATGTCAAATCCTGAGCCTATATCATATTGAAGTTGCACTCCAGGTCCGCAAGTGCCCTACAACTCGCCAAGTATGTGCTCGGAACATGCGTCGTAAGGCTCTGTGTTTGCATCTTATTGAACTTCTGTCGAAAGGAACAGACAAGAAACATGGCTTTAGTAAATGCTCTTACTATATTGTTTATAACGTACGCGTTGCATGGTCTTAACGTGTCTAGATCTCATGCATGAATTTAACATATTGACTTGTCAAAATCTTAGGGCAGTATTGATGGGTCAATATCTCATGGCAATAGTGATGGCATGGGTTTAAATCCACGTGAAAACTTTGTACATCCAAAATTAACTGTAAATATTGAACATCCATGGTATGACACTGTTAGTCAAAATCCATGGGCATGGGCATCCAATGTTGGACTCTCCATTACAACATCTCTTGATGGTACTTTGGATGATAAAATTGTCATAAACTAGACAATCAAATTGAAGTGAAAAAAATTAAAATAATTTGGTTTGTTGATTGTTAAAAATTTCATATGGATTGAAACAAGCTACCATGCAAAGGTGTGCAAGATTTATTGTGTTCTTGAAAACACAAGAAATTTCACAAAGTATGTTTAAACTATGTGTATACATAGTTTAAATACTGAAATCATGATTCTCATTGTTTTAATAGATTTTGTGTATGATATGCTCATGAAAACAAATGAATTGCATGAATATTTATACTATGTTTATGATTGATTTAGATATATCATAAGTCAACAATATGTAATTCATAAAAATAATTTTTTCAAAAATAATCATATAAATCATGAATTCTATAATCAACGGCATGTTTTTTTTGAATAACTTGAAGTTTATTCAAATACAAAATAGTTTGACTATGATTAAGGAACCTATTTAATTATTAAATGATAAGAAAATTGACTTACCTTTTTCATGATACAAAGTAAAATCTTCATTAAAGAACTTCTTGTTTTTTTAACTAAGTTGAAATTAAATAAGATAATCTTAGTATTATGCTTCAAAAATAATTATACATCAATCTTGACACACATATTTACTATGATTATTTAAATTTTGGTAAGTAATTTCTTTTTGAATAAGTTGATTGAAATCACTTGACTTATGTCACGCACTAGTTTTTAAAGCAACAAACCTCTTTATTTTGCGTATGATCATGTATTTTTGTGCTATTTTATTGTTTGTCAATGTGAACTTCAGATTTTACAACAATACTTTACTCAATTAATCTTTCATTAAAAACAAATTTCTTGCATATTACTGTGAAATAATTATTGATAATCATTTTTATAGTCATTATTGATATTGTCACTTTCATAATATGTCAAAGTATTATAGCTTGATTTTTTTGAATATTATATCTTATATTTTTTTGATACTCAAAAGATATAAGATTGATAAATATAACCTTTTCAAGAGATCTAAAATTTTTATTCAAGACTCCGCATTGACCCATCTTAATTTTGGAATGCTTATACAAGATTGTCAATGGTGATATTTTTCAGGTTACAAGCTTTTTTCTAAATTTTCAAATCATTTTAAGTATCATAAAGGATTAAAATAATATAGCTTTGCACTCACACATCATGATATTATACATAAAAAAGAATCAAGGTAAAAAAATATAATTACATGAGCAAATCTTTTTATTTTATTTTTACTTGAGCTCAATATAATCAACAAACATGTTCTAATGAAATTAATTGGTGTTTTATTTTTTTTTAAATTATTTCTATTGTAAAGTAACATAGGATTGTGACCAGCCAAGTCTTTGAGGTATATTTATTTACTCATGCTTGAATCCAAATAAAAAATTGTTACCCACTTGTAGAATTTATTTGTGCCATTTTCTTATTTCTGTTGCATTGCTTTCTATTTTGTTTTCATCACACTAATTTGTTCGTTCATGTAAAATGAGATTCAATCCTCATTACAATATATACAGCTTCAATCCATTAACATCGAGACTCTATTTTTTTTGTCAGAAATGACATGCAAATTTGTGATTGCAACTCTTATTCTTCAGACTCAATCCTTCAGAACCAGACCCGCTTGTCTATTTACCTCCCACAAATGTTTTACCTTCTGTGATGGAACCAACAATTTGTCATCTCCACTCACTTCATACAAGTATAGTTTATGCATCTGAAAAGCTCCATTGTTAAAATGATGCAACAGATACAGGAGAACTCGTGCATGAGAACTTTGTTAGTTCTCAGGCACGAGTAATCGCAGACATTGACACTACAATTCAATTTCTTGTTAAAGAGCTACAAACAAAAGGTGAAATGGGTCCATCTACCTAACCGATTACGTGCACTGAAGGGTCTTCCACATCTAGTTTACCGAGAGGTTCCCAAACTTCTGACCTTTGAGAACTGAAATGAACTTAAATTCCTTGTTTGCAGATCCGGCGAGGCAAACCGTGCTTTACTGTGTTAAGAGACTCTCTGCCAATCAGTATAAATACCAAACGTTAGATCGAGATCTGGTCTACGTTGGATAGGCTCTAAACCAAGTTGGATGACAATTCCACAAGTTCTGACGTTCCATGCTGAATAGTCACCGAATATGCTTCCTGAAATTAAAGTACTTTAGTCGTTCGTTCGTTGCCCTCGTAAAAAGAACCATTCAGTTCATCTACTGTACATGAAAGCATACTTCATACTTTTGGATTGATGCATCAAAGGCCCAAAGAAACATGAAACGTTGAAACGAAATGGTCCATCTAAGCAATGTACAGATGTGCAATCTGAGTACTGAAATTTAATATTTCTCGTTGAAATGCTGTAAATGAAAAATTCTGCGTTCAACACAGCAAGTACAATACAGTACATCATCCAGAGTTTAACTGCTGAGAGAAAAAAAAATGGATAAAAACGATTTGCTTTCCTCTTCGCTAAATTATATACTCGTAAAGCGATCCTTCGAAATCACCGCTATGAGCTCAATCTACACTGAGTATATCCAAAAAAGTCAATTCTATTCTCCTCTGCGTGACATCCCCATCCATTTATCTACAAACTCTGGTTGGTGAGAGTTGGTTCTGAGGTTTAGAAAAGCAGGGGTGATTCTTGCTCGACTATTCGTCGAATCATGACAGTGACATAATGAGAGAATGATCTTTCAGGTACGCGACTTTTTTTGAAAGCAATTGAATATGCTCGGCAACTAAACTAAACTATCAGGACTGCTGAGTGTGATTTTTACAGAGTCTGCCTCTACCGTTAGATGTTGATGTTCCTGGCGGCGTCGCTTCAAAATTTAGACCCACCAATGAAATAGGAAGAATCATACTTCCTTGACAGGCTCTCTCTAGCCATCGATACCCTAAGCCGTGTCATGATTAATATTCACAAGATCAGCTCCATTTACTCGCACTTGATTGCCCTATATATGTGCCGAACAAACAGAAGAGATGCTCGATACCCAACAGATCCGAGCATGAGGAAAAACCCATAACAGACACAACCCATGTATCCAAAAAAGAATGATCCCTGCATCAAACCAGTCATCTCGGATCGCGCAAAATAGTAGTAAAAGCAATATCCGTAAATGAAGAAGCCAGTGGATCCACCACAAAAAACAGCCCTGCAAAAACACGTCCTTCATGAGCAATGAACAAGGACACATCAAAGCTCATACAAAGTTTCGCAAAAACCGCAACAATAAACAAAAGATTGACACAGAGATGCAAAAGAAGAACAAGACAGGTCATTAAACCTGGCCCTGGCATTTCATCTTGCAACTAAAGGAAAACTTGAAACCTATATCAAGTTTTAGCAAAGTGTCTTCATTGTACCTCCACCACCACTCGTGATCCTCGATTGCAAGCTGGAAATAGGTGAGTGCGATAGTGATAAAAGCAGTGACTATGATAAGAATGATGAAGACGATGAACAATATGCTGTAGATGGTGTAGATCTTGTGTCCCCACATGCTGGCAAAAATGTAGTACAATTCGATATAAATAGCACTAAAAGGAAGGAACCCTGCCATACACATCTACAAACACGAAAAACCACTTCAGTAACAAAAATATTATAATCAGGGACAAACAATCATGTCTATATACAAAAACGTATTAGTTCCAATTCCAACCAAGTAATTGATCTCAGGGAAACATGTAATCATAAAATGTGAACGGAATATTGCTCCATGAATGAGAACACTTATAGAAGCTACAACAACAGCAAAAAAGAGGTGTGTAGTTTTAATCACACCAGGCTTTACCTGTGGTACTGCTCTTCGGTACCAGGGAAGAAAAGGTATTTCTCTGGGATACTTGTTTGTACGGCAGGGAGCGGTGAACTCAGACTTGTTGTTCTTACCGGCAATCCCGCCCAACACCTGACATTTGAAAGAAAGTCGGATTAGTTGAAAATAAGGGGATGTCGATGATATCGAGAGATTGGGACCAGAAAAAGACCACATCGAAAGTTTACAGGAACTGACCAGCGATGACTTTTTCAAGATCTATGTGCATTCAACAGCTACATAACAGTAAACCATTGAGAAAGTGCTTGGCCTAATCACAAACGAGAACGAGAACAATGAAGGAGAAAAAAATGAGGAGAAATAACAACATAGAGCTAACTCTGTGAAAGCGGTTCTTACTGTTAGCGGGAAAGTAACAAGCGCCCAGATGATGGCTATGATGACCATTGTGCCAAATGGCAATGCTTGAGAAGATCCATAAACAATAGCAACAGTGTTGTTGAAGCAAAACACCAGGAACATGGGTCCACAAAATAGCGAACCTGTGAGCATCAAGTTTCGCACCTGCGATGACAAGCAGATTCGACATTTAAATACATGTACAGCAAAAAAGAACAATCAGCATAATGTTGAGTCGAATACAAGCTGTGAAGGACTGAGCTAACTCAAGCTGCGCGCAACGCTTCTACAATGGTTAAATATGAGTGGTTGACCAGCTATTCAAAGCGTAGGAACACAATATTTGACAAAAAAAATGATGAATTAGAGGTAAACGGATGTAAATACAGACCCATTGCTCGCCACCCATTTGCCGATAAAGATGGGCAGACACATATCCAGAAATACCGGCCGTCAGGGCATAAATGACGAGGCAAGCCGTGTTCAGCGCTCCGCGGTTGTATGGATAGAATACTCCCACCAGTGATAGAGCAAAAATGCACAACATGAGGACCAAGAGTTGTGTTCCACTTCCAATAACCGCTGCGAAGATACTGCAATCATCGTAGACAAAAAACGAAACCAATTAGATCATCCAGCTTGAGTTGTGCATACGTAAAACTAAGAACATCCTACTTAATTTTGCGGCCGTTATGATCTCTCTAGAATTTAACCCACCGTTACTTTGTTGAGGCCAACAAAGAACATCTTCACATCGAACCCGCATGAAGAGGCTTCAAGACTCCACAGAGGCGAGTATGACGTATAGAAAAGATTATATGCTGCGGCAGAAAGCTGCGGTTGCACGTCCTTTCACGACAGCAGCTTTTCATAGAAAAATCTTGGGATAGAAACACAAGATCTATAGGATAATCTGAGAAGCTCATACGCAATATTGCAGCTTGGGATCACAGGGCCCGCTCGACATTACTTATACCAATAAGCTTATAAGATATAAAAATATTTTCAACTTACTTGGGATGCGGAGGAAATCGAAAAACATCTCCATGAATGTACTTCCAACCAGTTTCCTCGGGGTCTTCTTCATCTTCCTTTGTGTACCTGATATATAAGACCATCAAAGCTCGTAATGCTGTTGAAGCTAGATAGAATCCAATGCTGGTATTTACGTGGTGGCAATCCCCAAATCAGGATGCGTAGCAAGAAGTGGGTTTACTCGGCTGCCACTCAAAAATTCATGCAGACAAATCCAGAGCTTAGCTACGTACGAGAAATGTCCAACCCAAAGACGATACTCAAATCAATCGGTGCAGTTGCAAATTATGTATACTACACAAGCGTACTGAATCACCACTTACTTGATGAAGTCGTTCTTCAGGACACGCATGAGGATTGTCGCAAGAAAACCGGTCAAAAGCAGAACAGTCACACAGGAATTGATGATGGAAAACCAGTGGATTTCCAGATGCTGTGGTAAGAAGGAGTACTTCTGATACTTCTCCATACGTCTATCAAAAGTCTTCGTAGTTGGCTCCCACTTCACAGAATATGTGAAAGTCACTGTCACAGGATTATCGTTCGTAATATCCTTCGCCTGTTTCCCGTCAGTCGTAACAGCAATCTCTATGACACGGTCATCATTGTAAAAAACTTTGAAGTGGACGTGGGTGTACAGAAGATAGTGTTGTTCCTTCTGCTCCTCAGGGGCTTCGGCTTTTCCAATGAAACCCCACAGAGGGAGATCGTCAAAATACATCTGCAAACATGTAATATCTTGTGCAATTAGGAGAATGGCTGGGATTTTCTCTCAGATACATCAAAGGACGCCAACCTGTTCGACATCATGTGCGTCTCTGACTATTTTCAAGTAAAGTACCCCGCATAAATAAATTCATGCCTGAAAGTAGTAATCCTGCTCAACAGCTTTTCGGAACTTCTTCACTTGATCGACAGTAAGAACGGTAGAACATAGCTCTTCCAGACTCTTGTCAGTTTTAAAGGTCACATTGTACATAGTTGTGACCATGCGGTCTCCTTCAAGGACCTCTCCAAGGTCTTCAGTTTTATGCTTCATATCTTTCGGGGTGCAGAAGGGCAAGTCGTAGTACTGATACGTTTCGCTGTAAGGAAATCCACAAGTTCCAAGTTGGATGTTACTGATCAATTCCGAGATTTCAAGCAAGTACGTGTCTGATCTGGGGCGGAATCATCCCAACACATTGTTATCTTTCGCTCCTATGAACATAAACAAGGCTCAAATAACTTACTGAAACCTCCCTCATCTGTGATCTGTTCTTGCAATGACGTGCAACCCGGGTCCAGCCCCGGACAGAAAATTCAGATGTGAACGAAGCCATTCGGTGTTTTGATGCACTCTGATCCAACGAGTCTGATCTCAGCAGTGAAATCATAGAACCAGCAGCCATCGGCGCACGAGCTCACCTGGGATTGTGGAAAGGGCCCACTTTGTTGGCGTACAGAGGTACAAGTTCAGCCTCTTGATATTTGTGATCCCGACCTCCCAATAGACGTCGCATACCCGATCCCGGCTCCGATCTGGTGGCATCGACAGACATCATCGCAGCAAAACATAGCGCGAAGAGAAGGACAAAAAATCTGGAGTCCGCCATTGCTAGACAGACAAAGAATGTCCTCGTTTCGGCCTGATCTCGCTTCCTCTTTCACCAACGCGACTCCGGCTCTGCTCACTCTGCAAAACAAATGATCTGATCCATGAACTCAATCAATCACTCGAGCCCGATGTGGCTCTCTTCTTGAAGTACAAGGTCCGTCTGTCTGCCTACCGTCTGTCTGCCCAGCACGAGTTTACCCCCACGACACAAGAACCCTAGCCCAATTAAGAGACGCCCAGAACGTGAAAACCTCCCCTCCAAAGAACCAACGACCAAGAATTTGCTCAACGTCAAACCAGCACGATCGCGTCGAATGCGGGACGACCCACCCGACCGGCGCTCAATCTCCACCTCGGTCTCTCTCCAACCCACCCCAGCCAAGCCGAGCCAGCCAGTGCTCTGGTCACTCTCGCTCGCTGCTGTGCGATGAGGAGTTCCAAGTCCTGATCGCCCTCTGCTCTCTGGCAGACATGCCCAAAGAACACAAGACCAAACCGACGAGAGCTGCTGCAGAGCAGAGCACTATTACTCTTTCTCCCCTGCGAATCGAATCCTGCTCTGCTCTCGACTCGTCTCGGCTCGCGTCGCCTCTGCTCTTGCAACAACGACGAGCGCGGCACTCGGCCGACTTCGCGCAACCTCAACCGCCGCCTCGAATTGTCGCTGAATCCGCTAGCCAACAAAAGGCCGGATTCTCGTGGCCTGCGTAGAAATTCGACACACGACCTCGTCCTTCATTCGAGTGGAATTATTGCCGCGCCCCTGTTTCTGCTCGAGGAATCGCTCCCGTCGGCCCCTCTCGCCGGCGTTCTTTGTGCTGCTCCTGCTAACGCTCCCCTCGTCTCCTCTCCTTCCTTGCGGTGTCCGTCCGTCTGTCCGTCCGTCCATCCATCCATCCATCCATCCATCCATTTGGAGCGCTCTGTTAACTGTCCATGACCATGGTTTGCTGCACTTCTTAGCCAGAGCCTACGCACCGAACCTGCACTGCATCGACTGCAGGACTCGACCGTCCGATTCTCATCCATCGGTCCAGGCGGTACATCCGTCGATTTTGAGGCGTTGATTTACAATGCCCGGGTACACCATGTGGTGATTGATCGATTGCTCGGAAATAGATACTCACGAGGTCTCCTTCCTTCCTTTCGAGCTGTCCATGTTCCATACGACAATGTTGAATTTGCTCGTATTTAACGACTTTAATAATCGATCGATATCTGTTGATGTCTTTTCTCGTAAGTGACATTGAACCTGCGCTTGATCCGAGGACTTTGCTCTAGTGTTTGAAGACCGTGGTGGATGATGGAGGAATGTAAACTAGAAAGAATCATTTGTTGCTATTTCAACACTAGCGTGTCTTGCCACAGTCCAATTAGAGCTATTGGCACATCACATGTGCGCAAAGGCATAGAACATTCTACTCTTCAGACGAGACCTGGTGTGCCATGATTTGTGTTGTGTATGGATATTAAATGTGTTGTATGATACATAGTTGAAGCTAGCCAATAGTTATAGTGTATATACGTTTTTGCTTATTATAAGTATGAATATTCCAAAGCTTTTTGCTAATTACATGCACTCTTCAATGTGTCGATAAAATTCTCATTCTTTTAGCCAATTAACAAGGTACAAACCACTGAATATGCTTCTTCATACTGTGAAATTAACTGCAATAAGAGAAAAAATATTCCGTAATTGTCCACTTGTTATCAACAAGACATTAGTTTTTTTCATATTGAATCACTGGGATGAAGACCGGTCCCAAGTAATGACTTGATAATCGGAATATACTTCCATAAATAATGTTAATACACACTGATCTCATCATGATGATATCCCGATATGATCCTCAGAATAGCAATGAACTATTGTCGATCAGATCACATTAGACGAACAGAGCAGTACTGTAGTAGTGTTTTGAGAAGGTTGAGTTGGAGGTTGAGTTTATGGTATAAGATGAATGTCGGTCCAACGAGCATGTATCGTACGCCATTTGAGGTTTACGAGAAGTTCCTCAAGATTCTCCAGCGTTGCACCGTCTCCCTTGCTCACAGTCTGACATCCAGATTCTGATTCTCGTTACTGGTTTGCGGAGACTGATGGCCACGTGTCATCGAAAAGTGGCCTACACCGGCTGCGCAGACAAGGGGTTCAGATTCCACGATCCACACACCAGGGGTTCAGATTCCACGATCCACACACCGGCTGTATTCCCCTGATTCCTGAACCCGTTTTCCTGAATTGGAATGCGAAAAGGTTTAGCTAGTATCAAAGTCATCAGCTCTATTCACAAGACATTTTTTCCTTCGTTGACCTTGACCACGTTGCACCCCTTCACCGAGTGATGTCCATCTTATTTTCTCATGGTCGACATATACATGGGTAATGCTAAGTTTTATAGCAGAAGACGCTAATATGTTTAAAGAAATTTGCGCAGGCTACTGAATTTAAGAATGATACTTTGCTACGACAAATATAGGAGAAAGAAGAATATAGCACATACTCTATGAGTTGTAATTTAGGGAGGGGGATGTAGATTGAAGGAACGTAGTGGCCTTCGCAGTCAATGCCTCTCCCCCAGGTCTCGTGTCCTGTAAGACAGTGCAGTCTAAGAATCACCGACTTTTACGAGTAGACAAGATGTCGGCACTTTCCAGGAATTGCAAACTGACATCAAATAAGATTTTGAACAATTGCATCTGCTTAATTTTCCTTTGTACTTAGTCATGTTCTTGGACTTTTTCAAACCTTCTTCTTTGCTGTATATGAGTTAAGAGAGTAGGACTAAGAGTTGAGAATTTCCTTTCAGTTACCATGCCCTAGATGCTATCAAGCTTGCCGTAAGATAGTAAATTACTTGATGGGACCTCTTGAGGGGCCCAACAGGTTTCATTTTACCCTATAATTGTGCCTTGTTAAGCACATCTTCATCCTCAAGTATCATCAATTTTTACAATGAGATTGTGAAATGGTTAGGCATCAGAACACTCATAGATGTTATGTGGAAATCATCTTGCTGGTGAACATTAAAAGCGATATTTAAAATGACATATGTACATGAGTTGAATTTTTTTTCAAAGGTTGAAATTTATATTTTTCAATTTTTTTTAGTGTCGTTAAACTAATTATTCTGTGCAATCAACATGGCTATTCATTTGAGAGGGTTAAAGAACTTTGTTTTACGTTACGTAAAGGTTTTATTTGTTGAGCATGCAATGCATTTAGATGACATCATGTGGATACACTACATGTCATGCTGGTTCACATGTATTTTATTTGAATTCCAGAATTATCAGCATTAGGAAGCTTATTCACGTATTAATATTTATTAAGGTTCAAAGACTTTTACTATAGACACTAATTTTGATATGTTTTTGTCAAGCGATCAAGCCTTCAAAAAGAGTATCACGTTTATCTTTGATGACATCACAAAAAAAAAGAAGTTGAGTATTGAAAAAGAGACGAATCTTATTACCAATTTATTTGAAGAATTATTTTTTATGATAGTATAGCTAACAAAAAAACTTTTTGGCTACTTTGATATCAATATAGTTCTTTTCTGTATTAATTTGTGGTTGCACACATATTCATGATTTAGATATTTTCAAAGCATACAATTCTATAATTCTTAATCAATCTTAACAGTTAAGAAAAAAACAATGAGGATGATGGGTCCATCATGAGGATGATAAATCATTGTCATGATGCACTGCAAGTGAGTTCACAACTTGCTCCATGAGAATCAAGTTATTGTCGCATTTGTTAGAAAAAAGATTTTATACATATGAAACTGATTAGGAAGATTGGTTATCCACCATCTTGGATGAATATACATTCAAGTCTTTATTTTCCATCGCTGGATTTTTCTTGTAGTTATGGATCCTGACATCCTGATTCATTATGAGATATGTTGTGACAATCTACCAAAGAGTGCTGTAAAAATAATGGTTTTTTTGCTTATCGTATAATTCACAATAAACCACGTTAATACATACAAATTAAATCACATTAGTTGATGATTCTTTGTCGCTTCATATAATAAAATTTGTTGAGATGTCTCACGTGCTGCAAATCATATTTCTCATGTGATTTATTGGGAATTGGTCGCATGTTTATCCCTTTGGTTGTTGTCTGGTACTTCACGACGGGTTCATCTGTCGTTTTCCTGAAATACTTGGTTCCTTGTTTGTTCCATATTGAGAATATTTGTCATCGGGTTTTACCAGCGACACCCAATTTCTCGTGCGTTGAGGACTCGATGACTGGTCGAACGACGAACTGAGGCGTCGTCGAGAGAAGGTCGACGGGCAACGAACAAGAACGTGCGGGGCTGCACGCGAACGGCACGTCGAGGCCGAAGAACATCGTGGAACGACGGACGCAGCCACGGACGCACGGAGCGCGCTACGAAACCAGGCACACAAACTGTTGCACCGTACAGTGTCCAGCCGGTGCATCATCGTCTTCCTCGGCACAGTCGTCTTGCCCGACTGCGGCATTCACACTTAACCACAGTAGACATCCCTCCACTTCATCCAGAGAAGCTGAATTTCCCGATATAGTGCACCAAATTCGCCAGGAATTCCTTTACAGTGACTCGAGTCATGTGCCAGATTTCTTGCAACATTTCTCACTGGTTTCGCTGAGTCTTCGATCTCTCTCTCTCTCTCTCAACAAGACTTCTGGTACGGGCGGCCCACGAGTCAATCGATGCACTTGCCCGCCGGAGCACAAAAGTCCTGCTCTTGCCGTTTCGATAATGGAGGAGTGGAAAGGACAGATTGCACATTGGGAAAAAAAATTAGCCCTTAGATTTCCCGCACCCGCTTGGGATGGTGTTCTTTTAAGAATTGGAGAGAACAGCGGTGCCACGACGTAAGCGTCCAGGGACGTGAATGGCATGAGAGCAGGACAGAGGTTCTTTCGGAGCCGGAGCCTGTCGACCATGATGATGATTGATTAATTGATTGACTGACTGACTGACTGCCTGCCAGTTTCGGCCCTTTCCTCTCTCTCTCTCTCTCTCTCTCTCTCTCTCTCTCTCTCTCTCTCTTTGTCTCTCTCCAAATGTCTTGACGCTTCTGTGGGCAGTGAATCGTCCCCATTTATCAACAACCCAATCAATGACCTTATTTTGACGCCAGCCATTGTGTTTTCGGCTGGAGCGATGGTGTGCCAATTGGTTCTTCCGTGCGTGTTTACGTGAGTGTATGCAAGTTAGTCATATGCCCGACTCGGCCGGCCCAAACCCACCATAAAGCCGGCATATATAATTGGCTCACGTGTAACTTCCAAGATAAGAAGCGAACACATGGAAGTCAGACCCTTGTCGTTGCTGACGTCTCACAGACGAAATGCGTGAACAGGACGAACGAGGGATACCTCCCATGTCGTTGATTGGTCGGGAGAGCGTTAGACTCTCGCATTCAATTCGAGTCCAGGTTATTTTTTCGGAACTCGGCAGGAAAATTCATTTGCAGAATATTGAGCCCCGAGTGCTTGACATTTACAACTGACAACGAGAAGCGTCTCCAAGAGATTCTGGAGGACCGGCGGAGCTATGGCGGAACTTCTTGCTCTGCGCTGCTGTACATGTCCGCCGGTGTCATCGTACTACTCGGGAAGTGCAGCCTCGATCGATGGAAGGCCGAGAGGCGCTACGTCTCTGGGCCGGCCGAGGCCTTCCCTAGTACATCAGTTGTCCATTCGTCAAGGTACTGACCGCACGTCGGGACCTGCGAACTTGCGCACATTCAGCGTGAGAGCAGGGCTCGGGGACGGGAACGGAAATAATAAACCTCCATTGACTTCACTCGCGTCACAGGACTGGAAGTATTTGGGGAAGTTTATGGCCGCCTGTACCGGTGGAGCAATAGCCATAAAGTATGGAAGTGTTCTGGTGCCAAGTATCACCGAGCCCAATCTCGTGCAAGCGCTCATCATGATCACAACGCCCGTGCTGGTGAGCGTGGCTCTGTTGTCGGCTGCTTCTTCACAGCAGAAGTTGGGTTCCTAGAAGTAGAAGAGCTCGAGGAGGGTTTCATTGGCTTCTGTGTTCTGAGGCTGTTACATATACTTTGATTTTGAAATTCAGAGCTTTCATCGCACTTCCCTTCTTCGGATTCTGGTCAAAACATGTGGAGTCTAAACACATTTCCGGGAATTGTACCCGGAGAATGTGCAGCAGTGAATTATCCCGCGGCAGCTGGACACATGCCAAAAATCTTATCTTGTTGTGTTTGCTTATTTCTTTAGGGTCGTGTCGTTCAGTAGAGATCACCCGATGCTGGAATCGTCGGGATTACCGCCAGGAAGCAATAGAATTGTCTTTTTGTAGGACGCATTAGAAAATACTTGTGCCGAGGAATTTGAACAGGCAAAGAATCCAACTACTGTTACTGTACTCCATGAGCACATTGATCTTGAGATTCTTGCCAGCTATCGAGAGTGCAAGCCACGGAATGGTCAGTAGATTCTGGTATAAAAAAGTCAAACTCGTTTGTGATTTGTGAAAGCAAAGTGTGAGACTTTGAAGCCTTTCCGAGCGAGCTAAGGTCTGACGTCGACGATTTGTCCATTGGCATTCTGACTCGTCGTTGATTCGAACTGACTGACTGACTGACTGACTGACTGACTTCTCATTCATCTACCTCCAAGCCGACAGCAGAAAACCATGAACGGATGCGCTTAACCAGACCCAGAATGTAACGCTTGGAAGCGAATTCGGATCGTCCAACGTTCCTGTACTGTCTTCTTGATCGACCCGGACCATCCATGACTTCTTGAAGCTGTCGTCGGAGTGATGGGTTATGGACAGAGAAGACTCTCGTGGACACAATGTTTCTTGAGGAGCAAAATGATCTCCCTTCAATTATTATAATGGTAAATGAGCAATTTACATATCTACGTTCCTACGTCGTTCCTAAGTGCCCCACCTCGAGCAGAACCCTGCAGCTTCAGCCACTCCCCCGCAGACCACATCGATCGTGGAGGAGTCAGCCACCTCCTCGTCCTCGCCTCTCGACGCAGTGCGAATTATTGTAAACAGGCAATATTCTAATCTAGTCCAGTCTAGTTAGCGAGCGGCAAATGAAAATTTACATCGAGGCTGCTCACAGATTCTAGCGATACTCGCAATCAGAGCAACGACACCTGACGGGATCAAGCTTGAGTCTCTGCGCTCGAACAATGAGGGGCACGTGGTGAGTGTACACAGTCGGGCTGGTTGGCATTCCCCTGATTGATCAGTCAAACAGCCAGAAAAGAATTCAAGCCCGGGCGGAACGAGAAGGCGCTCCACTGAAATCCTCGGGTGATTCCTGCCGCTTGAGGGACAGGGGGAATACTGCTCCATTCGTCTTGCTCTACATTGTAGGTTACGACCGAGGTGCTGCTCTTGGACCCGAAGTAAATGTACGTGCCATCCGTGACGGGGTTGTTGTGCAGTGCTCCCACGCACAGATGTTCAGGGGGGCCTCGCGTCACCAGGGCGAGCTGTCGAGTCTTGAGATTCACCCTCATCACCAACAAGCTCTGCTGAGAATTTATGGACGAGATTCTTTGGCGGTAAGGCTTGTCCCACAGATTGAGCCAAGTGCGGCGAGGCTCCACGTCCAACGACAACACCAGCAGCAGCTGGTCTCCGCAGCGCACCGGGGTGACGGATGTGCACGGCCTGCTCAGAGCCGGGAACGACATGTAAAACATCTCCCACCGCAAGTCCTCCACATTCAGGGCCAGAATTCCGATCTCCCCGGACGTCAGCACCCCGAGCCCGTGTCTTGACACTATGTACAGAGTTTCATCAAGATACGCGCTGCATTGAGGGCTCATGTAGAAGTCATGCTCGATGATGACTTTGGTCGTTTTCCAACTGTGAACCTTGGAGTTGTAAACCTGTGCGTCGAAGGTGTAGGGGTCATTCTGTCGGCAGTGAGGATCCAGGCTGAACACGACCACGGAGTATCCATCGGCGCCCTGCTGCAACAAGTGCTTGCACCCGACCGAGGAAATGTTGGGCGGCAGAGGCAGGACTCTGTAGGCCCTGGTGAGCACGTTTGTCACGTACAAGTTATGTTCGTGCACATTGCACTCCTCGATCACAGATCCACACACCAGGCTGCCCTCGGCAGTGAGGTCTTGGCGGACGAAATCGACCGGGAGGTAGGCCAGGGAGTGCAGTTTCTGCCAGCAATTAGTCGTCCGATTGTATGCGATCACTTCGAAGCTGTCTCTCCGCAGAAAGGCAGGACAGAAGGCTTCCCAGGTGGTGTTGGACCTTTCCATCACCTGTTTGAGAAATGGGGATAGCGGAATTGTCTGGATCGTTTCTTGCTTGTGGTGCCCGGAAGACGGCGCTACGTCGCTATTGAACTTTGCTGCCCAGCCCTTGGAGAGCACCCTCGCTTTCAGAATGGAAGGAAACGGCATCATGGACACGATCTTTTCCACCAATTCATCTGGCAGCGGAGGCTGCCGAAGGTCCGCCCGTGTCTCTGGTTCCACGCGACCGTCCACACTCATCATCGTCGGGACGAGACGAGAGTGCGCGCTCCGAGCTTCGATCACAGCTTTATGGCGTTAGCCTTCTAGCGTTTGCAGAGAACCCGATCACATGTCCTTCATCTGCTCGTCAGACTCGAGCCAGACGCAAATTCCTCATGCGCACATATGCAGAAGACGATCGTCCGCTCGTCAGAGCTCTGCGACCTTGCAGCGAGAGCCAGAGCCAGAGCCAGAGCCAGCGCCAGAGAACTTTCAGACACAGGACGCAAATCGCGTCCTAAATGCTCACCAGGAAATATGAGGCGTTTCGTTGGTGAATTTTTAACAGTGAGGGTTTCAGGCGCTGTGGTCCCCAGATGAAGTCGGAAGGCGACATGTCGCTTGCTCGCCTGAAAGGGAAAACATCATCATCATGCCGGCTTGCCTGGAGGGAACCAAACTAACCTCGGCAGCCATAAAAACAACCTTTCCTGATTCCAGCATTGTAGACGCACACAAAGTGCCTCTTTGGAAACCACTCACACATGAGTGCGAGCAGGGCGATGATTAGACCCAAGTTTTCGTGGGTGGTAGCACGGCCGGCTTCATTTGAAAGGAGTAAGCGAGTGAGGGAATCTTACGGATCGCCGCGACAAAGTGGACAATTTCCAAGCAGTAGGACTCGTTATAGAAATAGGCAACAATTGCCATCATTCGTTCGCGAGGCCAATATTTTATTTGGCCTCATTTGCTAGAAGAAAAACGGCAGATTCGCACATTATGACCCCACTCTGGCCCACCGAATTCGCTGTCTATGCGAAGCTCACTGTGGGGATGCTGCTGATCTCAGTCACTCAATCAATATCTCAATCTCTCTCTCTTCCAGCGCTCTTCAATTGAAATTACAGAGCTTCAATTGCTCTGTAATTTCACAGAAACACAATTTCCCCACGGGAATAAACCTCCGGCCTTTACATCTGGTAGTCGCATAAAAGGGTCGTGCCACATGCCCGTCTTCCTCCATCTGCTCCTCCTGCCCAGTAACCGACATACATACATACATGGCGCTTGCAAATATCGGACATGAATGTGAGCCCAGAGGAACAGCCACAGTGCCTTAAAGGCATCTGGCGATGAGGCGCTTTGCCTCAGACTCTTTCAGCTGAGGCGCTCCAGAGGGAACAAATCTCACCCTGATGGATGGATGCGTCGTCGCTATGCTTGGCCGTCGGCCCCGTACAGCACAGCACATTCAAATTCAACGAGGGCACATCTCGCGGGTTCAAACGATTCTGTCTTCACTTGCTCCAAGGTCGGAATATGCGCAAATGATTCCACGAGGCTTGCCATCGGCGTGGTGGTTTTCAAAGATTCGGAGGAGGCCCACTGTGGGCGACCCAGCTGGCTCAAGCAGGTTCTGGCAGACGCTTCGGCTGAACCGGCTCGACCGATTTATTGGAAAACAATGTCAGCAAGGCTTTTGCTTATGGACAGAGCACTGGATTTATTCCTCTTCTCTCCGAGCTTTTCGCCGTCAAGCATATCATCGACCCTGTGACCAAATTGATTGCGCGGACCCAACATGTAACATGTGATCGCCGAGAAAAATACCTTCCCGGGCAACGTGCGATCAAATGCTTTTTGCTTATTCTAATCCCAGAGTCTCTACTCAGACCCATGGCGCTGTTCTTCTCACCGTGCCTGGACTCTGAAGTCCGGTCAGCGCCACCTTGCGGTTAGGTGCTCCGGTGACACTCGGAGTACAAGCACTCTTCAAGCTGTTGTAATTGCGACTTGTTGGCAGGTATCGCTAGCTCTGCAACGGAGGAATTGATTTCTAGCGTGGGCACATCATCACCTCATTATGCCTCACGGACGCAACGAGCGAAGAGCGCAGATTCTGCTCCATTCCCAATTCATTGAAAATTCTGCTCCATTCCTATTTCACTGAGAATTTTGCTCCATTCCATTGTCTCCTTGAGCAACCCAGGGTGCCGGTTTCTCTCGCACCCGGTCATCGGTCATCGCTCACCGGTCGACGGGAAGAAACCAGAGGAGGAGGTTTAGGCCAGGACAAGCACCCGGCCGAGGTCTAGACTGAACGAGCCCGTACTCCACTGAACGGCTAGATCTACACTATTGTTCGTCACATGAAGCACACCAGCTCCATGGCCCTTTCGGAGCTCAAGGCCAATGGGCTCTTCTGTTTATGACGTTTGTGTGTGAGAGCCCACTGGGCACATCACTTTCGCTCATCAAAACTGCCCTCGTTTGCTGGTGCATGCCAATCAATGGAGGTGAGCCCAACATGCTTGATTCTTGCAACTGCATGATGTGATATCCCACTACACAGTGGTCAAACATTCCAGATGGGTAGTAAGTAAAGGATCAAGCTCGGAGTCATGCCCAGAAGCTCTTTCTTCGCACATCAATCACAAAATCTTGTTGAGATGAAAGCTTGCAGAAAATGGAAATGCTCGAACGCTGTACATTTTATAAGCTTGTTCGACAGCAGTACTTCTCTCTCCTCAATGTTACCCACCTACCAAATTTGATCATGGGTTGAGGACTGATGGTAATTTCCAACAGTTTACAGTGAGGGCACCGTCTATGAATATTAATATTGCGTGAGGCAGTCGCTTAGCTTTTATCATGTTACATGTGTCGAATCTGTCTACAAATCCCCATTTTTTAATGCTGAGAATGATTCGTACCGGATTTTTGTGCACGACCTTATATAACATTATCCACCCATGTGATGGATGTACTTCACTGCTCATGTAAATAAATCGTTGAAGAAAATGCAGGCGGAATCTGGTATTTCAATGCACCCGAGAGGTTTACTGATACTTATCTCCCTTATTACTGGATGTGCGAACCTTTTAACCTGGATCTTGTTGTGATGACGATGTTTCAAGTGTGAGATATTTCAATCGGTTAAACACTTGTAGCAATATTGTTCAATATCCAATAACAGGCATTGATCGATGTGAACGGATGCGCAAATTACTATGAGTTTCAACCGTAAACCATCCATGTGATATCAACATGAATCGGAGATCTCAAACTGAAACTGAATTGAAGTGACACTGAGATGATTGCGAACTAAAATACACGTGTTAATCACATTCAGTCAAAATAGGTTACATTCGATTGTAAGGGGCTAAATGTTTCATTATTAGTATGTTTCATATGTAAACATAGATCAAACACTCTTGGTGATAATCCTTGGGTTTATTACTCGTCAGACCTTGCATTTGAATGCCTATGGTTTCCTTTACTTGTAAAGATATTGTAGCCATTCATAAATCACATTCTTGTGATCTTTCTTATTATAACCAATGAGTTTTCTTTGAAACAAAATTGAATAGTTTAACCAAACAAGATTTGCCCAAAGCTAAGAGATTTCCTATCAAGAACTTGGATTAAGCAATAATTCTTTAGGAAAAAATACATGTAAAAAGTCTACAAGAGATCTGACTTGAGATTAAAATGTTATAATGTATCACCAGTGCTTTTGAAAAACTTCATCTCCTCAAATACAACATTTGTAGGTCTGTTGAGACTCTTATTTTTGAGTAGGTTGAGCATCATGTTGCAGATTTTTGACTCTAGAATGCTGCATAAAGTCTAAGATTCAAGACGTTCTACCAAACTGTATAAAAAATTAGACACATCACCAATTCACTATATTGAATCTTTCAGCTTCAAAACATCAACTCCCACTTGCATTCGTAAGTTGCTCTTTCTTGTCAAAATAGTTATTGAGGGAAAAACAATCATCAATATTCCTCTCTTTTGAAATAAATGAGCAGCGCGCATATTGCATTGATGTTTGTCGGTTGTGGTCGCGACTTTCCTTTCATCAGTAGTACAAATGACGAATCTTGACGGAGAGTACTAACAATTATATTCCTTGTTTGACAAAATCACATATATGCTTCATAAAAGATTACCTTTGACAGTCTATACTCAAAACAATCACACTGATATATCTAGGCTTGATATCGATTGTTATTCAAGAAAGGTTATACTGTACAACTTATTCAAAAAAAATTAACAAAAACGTTATATGATTGACTTATTCGAAACTGCATCCATGGATTAAATAAAATCTATCAATGAAAAATCTAACTTGAGTTAAAAGAAACCTATATCATCATTCTCATATAGCAATCATTATCACAAAGTATTAAAAAAAATTCAAAATTTTATTTCATCAATTATTATTTTCATCAAAATTTTAGTTAATATATACATTTTTTATTCATATCTCAATTTTATATTGAATGTGTGCATGCATGAAAATTTAACTATTGATAAATAGAATATTAAAGAGATTTAATTTTGAAAATTTTAAGCACATTTATACATATTATATATAAATATATGATGCTGCAAAAATTTTTACATGGGAGGTTTTATGTATTGAAATTAAAACTCACTATAAAAATTTTAAACATATTTTTTTGATTCAAGTATGATTATAATTTATACACATAGTTTTAAATATCAAAATCACTTCTAATTTTATTGATTCATATAGTGATTGGTTCTCAAAAGCATTGTTTGGATAGTAAAATTGAATATATATTTTAAGTTAAAATTATGTTTAATTTTTATATTAAAATTCAGATGATATGTGTGTTGAAGATTCAAAAATAATCATTTTAGTTTTTGTATAATTTTTTTCTATATTTATTGTGATAGAGTACATCATTTGAAGATTTCTTTTGTTGAATAATTTACTTTATTTAGAATATTCTCATGTTTCAATATTAGAAAATAGGATTCATTGTTTGAATTTTCATCTGATGTTCTTGTATATTCAAATAAACGCTTAATATTGAAAGATGTAAAGTAATGTCACCAAATATATAGATATTCAAGGATGCAAGTAGCTACAGAGAAGTTGACGCATTTGAGAAGAATTTGATATGTTCTTGTTCAGTAATAGTTTGTGATTTCTTGTATCTACTTTTGAAGTTTAAATTTCATTTCAAGCTCTCATCTGAAAAAATCTATTACTCACGTAATATGATTAAAAAAATGAAAGTTTACCATCTCGACCGAAAACGCAGAAAAGTATTCCTGATCATTTCTGCCTTCCTCGAGAGCTCATTACTTTGATTTTAAACCTTTTATATGTACTTGTCTTATCTGTGCTTTGAGCTGAGTACAGTAGTAAGGATGACCCACACAATCTACACAAAGATCTCTCTCCGGGAGAAAGTCCAGGATCCTCAAAGGGTTTCGGAGTCCGGAGCCTTTGGGCCGTTGATGATTCCGGAAAACCGCAGGAGACCATGGAGCGATGAGAATGTGAAAAGTGAGACAAGAGTGTGCGGGAGAATGCCCTTTGCCCTTCGAGAATTTGGAGGCATTAGCAGATGCCAGTCATAAACCTCTGAGAATTTGTCGCTCAGTGATTTTACTCGATTCCACTGTCCTCCAGCAAAATAACTCTCCAGTAAGTCGTGACCTTTCAAAACGGAAACCAGGGTTTTGGGTTTTACAGTTCGAAACTTAGTGAAGAACGAATGCTGTGCTCGAGTCGTTGCATCTGCTCAGATACGTAGTTCAGTTCTCAACCGTGAAGGGGACCAAGCGTCGGAGACATAGTCGTGGTTCGAAACACTCCTGTTGCAGAAAGCAACCGTAGATCTCTCACCGGATACAGTACAGTCCCGTCTTGTGCGTGTAGTAAGTACAATTCATGCCCGACTGTGGTAGCTGCTTCTGCAGTATCCAGCGTGGTTGGAGCGGTGGTTTCAGAAATTCACAGGGTACAGTAGAGCATCACGAACTCGTCATTGGGGTCCATATACAGTTCGTACTATACGCCGTAGATGATGTTCTCTTCCTCCGGATGGATAATGGGGGCTCGTTGCCACTTCGAGATTTTAGAAGAGACCAAAGGTCTGGAAGCGGCAACACGACATCGAAGCAGTAAACTTGTTTATCCGAAACGAAGGACCGATGGGTAGAAACGTGACCTCGTGCCATAGCTTGCTCGTCCGACGCAGAGCCGAATTTTGATTCCTGCAGGGACAGGCAGACGCAGACGCGGATTGCTCTGCGATGGCTCTCGAAGGGGCCCTGCTCGGGGCCGCGAGAGCTGAATGCAAGAATTTTGGGTGCAGTGCACAGGGACTGTCTCGAATTTGCTCGCAGTCTAGTGCAGTATCGCTCAATCTCAGATTTCGGTGCTTAGAGAAGCTTGGCGGAGGCTTTTGGACGAAGAGTAGGCTTAGAAATTCGAGGAATTGCGGTCGACTGTCGTGTAAAGATAAGTCTTTGGGTTCTGCGAGACTTTGGGCATTTCGAGCTAGGGCGTTGGGCGGACGCTCTTCCGAGGAGCCGGATGAGAGTCAAAATGCGCAAGAGGGTGGGAACGAAGCTGTGAATGGTGCGGACATTGGGGGAGGAAAGACGGAGGGAGGGAAGTGGAAGGAGATTACATCGTCCGTTGCACAGTTCAGTCGTGATTTTTGGACCGAGTTGAAGAATTTTCAAGCGGAATTAGTTAGTGGTAAAGTAGAATGGAATGGGCAAAAGGCAGCCGCCGCGCTCATTTATGCCCTTATTGTGGGAGCATTTTTGAGAGGAGCATACATGGCCGTGTACTCACGAACACTGGGCAAGCAGAAAATGCTGAATCTGACAGACAAATATCTGGAGAGTATAATTCCGGAGCCAACTCCACGGAATATCCGCAGGTGCGGATTACTCCATTCTGCTGTTTTAGTTGCTTAAAGAAAGTCTGTTGGACTCAATTTGGTTGTCGTCATGGTCAAGGATTCCACTTATGAGAGACAATGTAGCATTTTCACAGAGTTCCATTACGTGTTTTTGTTTGAATTTATATTTGGCTGATGTTCGATAATATTTGGTGTAAGTTTAAGCTCGTCACTACAATACTCAGTCAGAATATTGCATTTATCTTGCTTGGTAGTTTGCCTTTCTTTCAGTTGCTGATCAACGCATGGAGTATGGACTCATAAGAAAATATCGTGAACGCATTTGTAGGATGAAAAAGGGAATTTGGAGAACAGAGAAGCCAGAAGGCTACAGAGTGAGGAAGTATAAGCTTGGACCAGATGGAGAATATACACATGATTTTGACTACCCAGGAGAGAACCCTGAAGAATCTGAGGACGAAGGGGATCTTGACAACAGTTTTGAAAATCTGATCGATAGCTCGCTTGAACTCTCTTCAGAAGAGAAAGAAAACTTGAAGAGAGATATTGCTGATGCGAAGAGAGACAAAAGGGTCAAGAAGATAGTTGACGGGGACGCTGTAGTAACTCGGGCAGAGGTAGACTTTTTGGACTTAGTGGATGATCTTGCGAACAGCCCAGAAGAGGCGGATAGGATGCGGGCGGAAGTTATCGCCGCAAGACAAGCTAAACAAGCGTCTGAGAAGATCGAAATGTCAAGTGGTGAGTTTCGTGTCTTTGTGACACCTCCTGCATCAAGAGTATGATGATGGAAATAGTGTTGGCATTGCCGAGTTAACAGTTCAAAGATTTTCCTCCTGTGGTTTTTATTGTGGCAACGTACTTCTGTTCTTGCAGTTAAAAGTGAAGGAGAAACTGCTATTCAGGGAGACGAAGTTAACGAGGATGTTCCCAAGACGTCTTGGAAGGAACGACTTGTTGAATGGGATCGAATCCTTGAAAACGCCAGTATGAAGGAAACTTTGGACATTTTTACCAGCAAGTATGCAATCGATCTAAGCTGGCCCGAGCTTGAAGCGAGTATTGAGAGGTCCCTCGCGGAAGACAAGAACGTGGAAGGGTCTAAAAGAGCTTTCTGGGTTGCAAGGACTTGGTGGAAGTACAGGCCGAAGCTCCCTTACACGTACTTTATGGCCAAAGTGGAAAATTTTGAGGTGATTTCGTCATGAGTTGTCCTCCTTTCAACCTTTCGGGGTGACATGGAACTCAATACTAAAATGCAGTTGGAACTTTCCTCGGCTGGATGGCCATCATAAGCTAAAGTTAAGAATGTGGTCTTGTCTTCAAGTGAACTCACATGCTTCTACTGCTGCTACGAATAGGTGGAGTCAGCAGTTTATACCGAGGACATGAAGAAGCTGTACATCACAATGAAGGACGGGTTTCCTTCAGAGTTTGTGGTGCGTTGTTTTTTCGGAAGAAACCAAATCTGATGATGCTTTCATCACGTATAGAGAGTCGCTAAATACCGTTGATTTTGAATTCCAAAAGAGACTACCCTTAGATTCCTCTTTGTTTGCTGATCAGGGTTGAGATTTTCATAAAGGGTGACATGCCTCGTCAAGATTACACCTTTCGCATAAGTATTTCATCAGTGCGATCATTTCTGGCACTAATTTTTTTCGAACTTTATTTTGCAGGTTGATATTCCTGTTGATCCTTACTTGTACGAAGTGCTAAAAAAGTGTGGTGTGGAAACTGACGTCCTTCATAAGAGCAATCTTTCATACTATGGTCGTGTTTTGCTGTCCTTGGCGCCAAGCATAATAATCATTTTGTACATTCGAGCTTTCCAATATCGAGCTCGCGAGAAAGCGAGTGAAAAGATCTATGATCTTTTGAAAATGAATCGAGATCACCTAATTCTAGTGAGTATACAAGCTCTCGATGTTCTTATATACTTCACATATACTCGAGAAGGAAATCTGTGCAATATGAAGCGATAAGTATCATGCTATATCGTTTTTTGCATTTTCGGCTGATGAAGCAAGAACTGTACGCATATTATAATTCACTATCTGATACTGCTCGTTTTATGCTAAAGCCGGAGGATGCAGCAGACAAAGCCAAGTCACAGTACAAGGACGTTATTGTTGGAGGAGATATCTGGCAAGTTATTGACGAGATAATGATTTACATGCGTAATCCATTGAAGTACTTTGATAAGCGGGTCAAGCTTCCGAGGGTAAGTTTTTTACAAAACTGCTGTCTGTGCAATCACTTTCATCAGTTCAAGTGAGTGCTGTAAGAGATAGTTTGGCCTCTCAATTTAGATGTGGGGGTTTGAGCCATGAGTTGATATTTATTCTGTGAACAGTCGAGTTCATATTCTGAGCATTAGGCTGTATTAACTCCGTAGTGGATTAATCTTATGGGAAGCTGCATCACCTCTCTTGTTCCGACTGATATGGCTAGCCTCTTCTTACCTCTCAAACTAACTATCAGTTTCTGTTATCAGGGAATATTGATAAGTGGACCTCCCGGAACTGGCAAAACTCTTCTTGCCCGGGCAATTGCCAGGGAAAGTGGGCTACCTTTTGTGTTCGCTTCTGGTGCAGAGTTTGTCGAGTCAAGCACGGGCAACGGTTCGGATAAGATTTTTGATATTTTCTTCACAGCAAGAGCAAATGTAAGAACCATGCCACCCTCATCTTCGTGTTTTTTCAGGATTTTGTATCAACTTACACACGTGCAAGGAAGAATGATGCTGCTGTACTCTCTGCTGGTTTAAAATGTTGTGTATCTCTTTGCAATCACAGGCACCAGCTTTCATCTTTATAGATGAGATTGATGCCCTGGCTGGGAAGAACGTGAATGATGACGCGGAGCGCCGTGCTACGTTCGAGCAGCTTCTAGCAGAGCTGGATGGCGAGTACGTTTTTTAAGTCCAACTACATTCTGCTTTGGAAATTCAGCTAATATCAAGCTGCTAAGTGACCTTGACGGTAGAATCATTGTGAATGCATCGAGTTGTCGTCCCAGATTTGTCTTCGGAATTAGTTTAAATGTCTATGTCTTTTAGTTTTTAACCTTCTCGTCCTTTTATGGTCGTTGCAGACCCGAGGATACTGATGTGGATCGGTATTCGCTTCGCCAAGCAGTTATATTGATATGTGCAACAAATCGGCCAGACGAGTTAGATGAGCAGTTTATGCGGCCAGGGCGAATCGACCGTGAAATTCACATTGGTCTTCCTGGAGAAGAGGAACGTATTGCCATTTTTGGTGTTCACAGTCAAGGCAAGCGTTTAGCGGAAGACGTTGACTTTCCCAAGGTACTTGCCTGTCCAATGATTTCCAGCGTTTGTCAAATAAAGTGGTTCCTTTTCACTCGGATGTGTAAATAGCGGATCATGCAGAAAAATATACAAAGCATTCTACTCGAATTTAACAAGCTAGCTTTTGACATAAGGATAATGTAACTAGTGGAAGCGGACCAATTTGTTGTTACCTCAGGGTACCTCAGGGTATTGAAGATAAGAGAAGATAGGATTGGAAGTTTAGAGTTTTCACTCAGCAGATTAATCTCCGTTGTGTATTGGTACTATGCTGTAGGTGTGATAGTAATATTGCTGATAGGTTCTTTTGGAGGAAAAGTTGTAATTGTTTTCCCACAGAATTTTTTCTCCAAGACAGTACATCACCTCAACAAATTCCCTTCTCGTATAATGTGTGATGCAGCTTGTCTTTCGAACTATCGGCTATTCAGGCGCGGATATCAGGAATCTGATCAACGAAGCAGGAATCATGGCAGTAAGATCTCGACCGCATCTGTAGCATTCTTCAGTAAGACTGTTGATCAGTGTTGAATCTAACTAATATAAAGCTCTATACTATCAGGTCAGGAAAGGTCACGAACAAATCTGTCAGCAAGATTTGATCGACGTGCTCGATAAACAGCTTTTTGAAGGCATGGGTGTTGTCCTTATGGACGATGAGCAAAAGCGAGTTGAGGAGAAGGTAAGGCTTCCTTAAGCAGCACGAAAATATACTGGCGAAATTTTCACTCTTTGTCGGCATGATGAGTTTAGATTAGTGAAGATTCGGATTTTACAAGGATCAATAATATTATACTTCCTAGCTTTCAAGTATATACTAACGTTAGCGATTCTGTGTTATGCTAGTTTGTCATGTGCCAGTACTTTTACATTTTTTACTTTTATGCATCATGTTTGCAGATACCGATGGATAGCAAGAAATTACTGGCCGTTCATGAAGCGGGCCATGTTCTTTTGGCGCACCTCTTCCCGAGTTTTGATTGGCATGCTTTTAGTCATTTGCTTCCAGGAGGCGCGGTAAGGAACTGCTGACTCTTTTTGGATTGCATGTCAATCTTCTGCACCATGGATGTTTGGGTTCATGTTCATACTATCGAACCATGACTTCTGTGTGTCGTGCATATCCAGATAATCTTGTAGTGTTCAGCGGCCGTGCATGTGATACTTGCTTTGTTCTGTTCTTAACCCTTATGTCAACATCCTTCTGCAGCAAGCTGCCCTCTCTGTCTTTTTCCCAAGACAAGAGATGCTTCAACTGGGGTACACAACTGTTGGATATGTGAAGATGCAAATGGTGGTTGCCCATGGTGGACGATGTGCAGAACGCCTCGTTTACGGCGAAAATATCAGCGATGGTGGACAAGATGACCTTGCAAGAATATCGGCGGTAATATTTTTGTTTGAAATAGCAGCAATAGTGTACGCAGCTATGTAATAGGAGATGAGAGAGCATTTTGGGTCATAAAGTTCTTTGTCTCAGATAACTCTTTTGATCAAACAAGAACATAACCTTGAATCAAGTTCAATGAATGGGATCTATATTGTGCACTGTTTTGTAATTGTGCAGATGGCCCGGGAGTTGACCATCAGCAATACAAATAATCGACTAGGACTGCTGCCTATGAAATGGCAGGACACTCTCGATGCACCTAAACTTCCCGGTGAAGTTGACCTAGTGCCCAACGAGGTATGTGCAGTCGTAAATACTGCACCTCTGCAACAATCTGTAATCTATATTAAGTTTATTGCTACGTCTGGGTAGCCATAAGTTTTAGAGGAAGTTTTGAGTTGGTGCATCATATCTGTTACCAAAGACACAAGCTGGGTTCTACGTTTTGAAGTTTCAATGCTCTTGTCGTTCACCTGTAGTTTTCCTCATATGGGTCTTGAGTTCCTCCGTATATTGTTAACTAGTGAAACCAGACATAAAATTTGTACATTTGTATACTGCAGTGGGACAAACCCGGCTCTCAAATCGCGAATATGACTGTAGAACTTTCGGAGTTATTTACGCGTGAAGTCACAAAGGTATTTGCTCCAAACTCTAAGTTAAAAAATCAGGTCTTTTAGCTTGTATAGCGCTTGATACTTAGGGATATGTAGAGGCTTACACGAGGGGAAGACCTTCGATCCCTTAGGCGAAGAGGTGTTCGGAACACCAGGACAAGATACAACTAGATCTCTTGAGAATTGTGCACGCTTGTATTTATTTATTCCTATGATATTGTATTCAGTTCTTTCGGCAAAGGGTAGCTATAGTCTTAGAAAGAGCTATAGCCTCTGCGGTTTAGCCGAAAAGAGCGGTAGTTAGCGATCACTCTCTCCGGACCAAGTATCACCTCGTACTCACGATTAGCATGGAAGGGACCTTAGAGTTGGTCTACCACCTGGAGACCTAATATAGAGAAAAGGATGTTTGAAGCTCTTTTACATCTAGAAGTCATGACCTGATTCGTAGGAGCATATACTCTGCGAAGTTCACACGCTTTAATGAAAACTTCATTTTAGAAGAGACTGTATAATCTGGGAACATATGATCACTAATGAGCAAACACTGGTTCAATCTTTCCATGGAGATGTCGGGAGAATTACTCGGAGCTTGATTATTACCATATGTTGTCGATGTGTTCTGCGACTACAGTATGCAGACGAGACGGAGGACATGGCTATGGAAGCTTTAGCAAAAAACCGGCACATTTTGGACAAGCTTACGGAAGTTCTTCTCGCGAAGACTAAATTGAGTGGTTTTGTACGTTTCTGCTTATTATTCATTTCTGCTTTGCTCTGCTCTGTTTATGCAGCCATTAGGGTAGCCTTGAAAACACTGGTGTGCAGAAGAATAAAACTGGAAACGTTCAGTGGACATCAGGTTCAGAAGCATACTTTCTATTTATGCACGTTTTTGCAATATTACACAAAATTGGCATGTACTCACCACGGTAAAAATTCTCATCATGACAGGAAGCGGAAGATATTGTTAGATCAATGAATCCTGTATATTTGCCTGATTTCATGAAGGACAACGAGAATGTCGACATGCAATCTTTCGAGGTATGTTTCTGATAGATTGTTCTATTTTGAAGTTTTATTTTTAACATATTTTTTGATCATGTTTACTTTGGAAGTTAGACGTGGTTGATCTTTGCGAGTATAAGACTTTCATATCTCGAGGAGAAATGTAAGGGAAACAATATGGTATTGTTGAGTTGGAGAGAAGGTGGCTTTATCCATAAGCGGGAACAGATCTGTTCTCTATTTTGAGGTTTCGAAGCTAAATTTGTGTCCTAGACTCGGTATCGTGATATCTTCCTTTCTTTATTTCATTAACCTTTCTGCCTGTGATGCATAGGATCAATCTTGGGTCTTTCTTTCTTGAGCAGGAAGTTATTAACCTACATATATGTTACTCATGTTGATACGAATATGTTATGTTACTGTACTGGCTAAAATGACAAATTTTGGGTCTACTTTCGAGTCGGACGCGTGGTGCTGCTGCGATTTGATATGATAAGACCTTGAATTGAAGTTGGTATCTTTGGTCTAGGTTCTGTCTCTTTTCACACGTTTCTCTAGCTATCATAAATTATCTGATCAAGTCATTCTTTTTCTACGAGTTGAAATCACCCGTGATCACGTAAATCACAGCGGATGTTTGTTAAAAGTTATAGGGAATACTGAGTGTAAAGGTGCCTTAGTAAACAATTCTACGCCCTCAAAACATATATTTTACTCATATGAAACAAAATGTTAAGCTCACATAAGAAGATCTTAAGACTACTTAGATGTTTCTTCTGAGCATCGGAAGTTCGCAACAATATCTAGTGAATTTTCTGATTATTCTGTGATGTGTGTAATAAACGTGTGGGCGAACATGTATAATACATTATATATGCATCAACACTTTCTGAAATCGGACTGTACAAGGCATTGATTGGGCCGACCATCCCATTGGGCAAGTTATGCATTAAGAGTTCTGAACTATCTCATTGCGATGTAATAGAAGGCATGCCTGTAGGCATGCCTTCTATTACAATCTGTTTTGCATTTGGTGAGAGTTATGCAAGGTTGACTTTTTCCGCTTTCTGGCTTGCATTGAAACGCAATGCCTCCGGACGCTTGACAAGAGAAGCTCAAACTGAAGCCACAATTGTTGTGTTATTGTTGATCTGTTTCATGTCCTTGTAATGCTTAAATAGGCAACTCTCCATCTTCAGGGTAAATGGTAGAAGGTAAAACTTGACTGGAGTGAATGAAAACAAATCCCATGCACACATTTACGTCTTTTACGTTTCTTTGGATTAGAACAACAGTATATTTAAATACTTATTTTGAATATATTGTAACGGACAGTTTGAGACTTGCAGCAGATCTTATGTTTGAAAATAATCCTAGGTTGCTCCACCTCAAGCAACCTAGTATTAACAACCTAGGTGCGCCTTCAGAGATACTGATGCTGATCCACCTAGGTTGTCAACTTGGCTGACTTCTGCGGGGAAACGCCCATATCTACCTGCTACTGTTTATGTGATCTATCCATTTTTGTTCTTCGTTATCCAAAGATAATATCTGCAGCTTGAAGGAGAAGATTAACATAACTGTCGATAATGTGGTCAAAACCAATGAGCTCCAGCATTGGGAGTATCTTCCGTTAGTAGCCAAGGAAGTAAGGGAGAAACATGCTGAGTTGTACCAAGAACAAAGTCAAGAAAATGAATGCAGGGTTGTTTTCTTCTCTCGTTAAACTCTGTACATGATCTCACCTGGAATGCCCGTGTTGGACCTTCTTGATTCTTGTTCTCGCAGTAATTTTGTTTTCAGCCCGGAGACTGGATCCACTGCCGATTGCTTTCATGTTTAGATTCATGACTCAATGGTGACTAGTGTCACGGATCTTGAGAAATTTTCCAGTGGACGTTGAAGACGTTGAAACACAAATGTTCATCTTTTACCATCCGAGTCTTAAATCTACAGAGCAATTCAAGAAACACTAACTGAAGATGTTAATTCGATTTACCTCGTACACCTCCTCTCTTTGCATTTAGACTTGCAGTCAATCAGTCAATTATGTAGTCCTATTGTACAGTAGGACTGACCTCATGTTAGTACTATCCGTGTTGAGGGTCACATCCTGTAACGACCATATGGGAGAGATTCAGGAGTTTCTATTTAAATGTAGAGAAGATAGAATCTTGGAGACACGATGAAATCTTCTCAACTTTTGAATTATAACTAACTGAAAGTAGTCGAGAATGAGTATTTGCTGAACTCTTGAAGTTTGCATTCTTTGATGAGCTGACGAGAGCTATTTCTGCATGAAGCAGAATGGAAACAACATTTCTAATTGTCATATTTGACCTATTGCCCTTCTTTAGTGTCAAGATTTGGGTTCTAAATGGAGGACGACTGAGGAACCGTCTCTCCATCATATCTAATGTCTTCTCTGTTCGTAAACTGCAGGAGAGTGTTGCTCCTCCAAATATGGCAGGTCGATTTCAGGAGCTGAACATCTATCAAGCTCCTCAACATCAAGGTTGAGTGGTCTACATCGAATTACAAATTTGTATCAAAGAGACCCGCCTGTATATTGAGCCAGATATGAGCACATATCGACATGTCGTCACTTTGTCAAAATTATGAGCGAGGAGTACTCTACGGATATATTCGAAGTATTACCTCTAGAGATAACTTCAGCAGTTTTGACTCATTTTCTTGTTACATACTGAGTGATTAAAGCCCATTTCATATAGATCAGGGGCTGAACTCGAAAGATAAGGATAGATCAGCTTCGGTCAGCACTGTAAGGGAAGCCTTTTTTTGTCACTCATCAACGGAAGCCGAATTACGTGATTTCTCATAGAATGAATGGATCACACGCAGGTCTGTAATCTGAGGAAGGTCTCAGCAAAAATGGCTGGTTCAGTTCTTTGGGAAAATTGAGGTGCTGACTTTCACAAATACAAATCACTTTTACCAGATGAAAACTTCAGGGCTCATTGCACCTGCCACGAAACTTGGAAATTTATCATATTGAAAGCTACTCAGGAGGATGCATGTTCCACATAGACTAAGTGTACCAATACTCCTCATGTGCACACGGCAGCATGAAGATCATTCATACCAACACATTTATAGTTGGCAGTTGGCTAAACTGCAAATCAGACAGAGACAAGGCTAATGTTCAATACTCAAATGAGATTATAAGTTGATAACAGTGATGTAACCGCAGCTATACCTAGTGATAACGAAACCGACCGACCTCTAATGATTGAGATGCAATATTTATTGACATTACATTTCAACCTCTAATAACAAGCCTGCTGTTTCGTTGCTGTCATAAGCTCCGCCAGTGTTATCGTCCAGTGATTCCGTTCCTGATACCCATGATCGTGGTAATTACCACAATGGTCCTGCCGTTGTAAGTCCACGATTATACTGAAACGCAATCTCGTGCTCAGTACTACAGTTGGATGTCCTTAATCATACTTACACAGATACAGCTCGTCTTAAGTCTAGTGTCTCGTGCACTGCACACATTTTTAATTTCATTTGATAATAGTGCATCGATAAAGAAAATGTAAGTCTATGTAAATTCACTGAAAAAATTACAGATGCATGTTGTATGTTAATATATCTGTAGTAAAACTCAACTTGAAGATATAGTAGTATTCCTCCCCTGTTTATTGAAGGTAAAAATGCAGAAAACTGTAATTATGTAGCAGTTTCTTGTTATTGAACATAAAATTTGTGGTTGAATGTGCACCACTATTATTAACTTAGTACTTATTTTGAGACAGCATAACAAAAGCTTGAAAGTGATCCTTCTATACCAGTTCTCACAAGATGGTGAGACATACTTTGAAACAAACTACTTAAATCAATCATTGTTTCAGATTGAATGTGTAGGTAGGTTTTCGGTAAATAATGGTGATGAATTGTTACATAATATACCTGGGTGGATAATTTAGAAAAGGGGCGGCTATTTATCCCTCACTTAGAGTTAATTACCCTCACTCTAGTTAGGCTCTTCTCTCATTCTCTCATTGGTAGATGCAAGGTTATAGGTTACTCGAAGAGTAGCAATCAGGGTAGAGTATTTGACCAATCAGAGAATTGCGTATACTAGGGTGAAGGTTAATTGGACCTAAGTGAGGTATAACTAGCCTCCCCTGGAAAGATATGATTTCAACACTATAAATTAGATCATTAGAAAAATACAATTTATATATATTATTATATACATTATATATTATTTTCTTTGATATACAATATATATATATATATATATATGGTCTAGACTTGTTAACCATTATGTGAAAGTTTGGATTGCCTTTTTTTTGGTTGTATGTTTGCACTCATAGATAGTTTTCAATGACATTAATCTAACTAGAATTCTAGACTTTTTTGTTTCTATGTAGAATTCACAGCATGTCATTGAAAACATTAAGCCTCTTGAATCTCAATTTATCATTGATTCATCATTCCACTTAGTTTAACCAATCAAATCATTATATTTATATCAACCAATCAAAGGTTTAATGTAATCAGAGCGTTTTTTTTGAAATTTAATCTTTACTAGAAAATAAAACAGTGATGATTGTAAACAATTTTGAGAAGAATTGAAATAATTCTGGCAAGCATAGACTTCATACCTAAATTTAATCATGACTAGAATTTTAGTTTAGATTAAATTAAAATAATTAGATTTTTAGTTAATTGACATGAAATAAATCCATATAACTCTATGTATCTTATCAGGCAATCTTGATTGCAAGGATGATCAATTTTGTAACATAAGTTTTTTTCAAGCTTTAGTCATTAAAGATTTTCGTCCAAATTTCAACACCAAGAAGTAATTTACAGATTTCTGTAGTTTATAATATCAAGATTTCGAATTGACTCTAATTTTAGATTACAGCAGGCTTCACCTCATGAAAGCTATCATAAAACATAAATGGTCAAATTTTTTATCAAATTCTTGATGTAGCTATTCTACACCAGAATATTATTTTCAAAGTGTGAAATTACAGTGTTTAAAACTGCCGACCTAGGGTCTCTCATTCGAACCATATCCCTTGATCTCATAGCAAACTATGCGGGTTTTTCTTGCATTTTTAAATGCAAGAAATTTTGAAATGCGGCTAAATGCAGAAATGATGTATCTATACTATACATGTGCATCATCATAACTAGTATGTAGCTAAAGAAATGGACAGCGCGAAATGCGGGATATATTTTACAAATTTGTGTTGCTGATTACTTTTTAAGGTCTAATAGCTTGTACACTTGAGTGAGTTATAATCGTTTCGTTTGCAGCTGCCACTAACCGGATCGGCTACTTCTGCAACTATTTAAGAAGTTTTTGGAAACAATACATTCGTCACGGGTATTTAAGGAAATAGTATCTGCGTACGGTTGCTGGCATTTGCATAGCATTCTATAGTATATCCTTTGGGTGGTATAGCAAGTATATTCTTCACAATATGCTCTGAAGGCCCTTAGAATTAAAGAAGACCCTTCATTCTACTCAAAACCTACAGCAAGCTAACAAACAAGTCAGCAGCCAATCGAAATCCGACACATCCCTCTTCTTACCAGTTCTCATGATTGGTGGGGCCCCCCATCCAGGCCTGACAAAGACCCGAGCGCAAGTAGCCTTCCTTTACGACAGCCGGCCTCGCTGCAAGATTAATCTTAACGTTCCCAAGTTAAGATGAAAGCTTCAGCTCTGAGTACAGTCAAGCTCACCAAACTCCAAGCGTGATTAGGAAGAAACCAACAACATCCCTCAACAGGCGCACTAGGTCTCTAGCAACTTCTCCTTCTTAAAGTATTTTCTTCCACGGGCCGAGCAGGGTTCTCTAAGTCTAAGTACAATCAGATGTGACAAGCTACGATGCAAGCGAATCTTGAGTGGAGCACTGCCCTCAAAAGCATTGACTACTTCATATACCGCATGAAAATAATATTAAGGATTAGCCTTCTTTATCGTAATTGAGAAATGTTAGACGAAAAATATAGGAGTGAAGACAATGCAAGAATACTACGCGATTCTTGATTTGATATAAACAACGCAATTAAGCTTTTAGATGGAGCATTGAGCGTAGCAAGCAAGTTGTCTATCCGCAGTGATACTTAATTGAGGTGAGTCAAATATTCTTTCGGGAGGAGAAAAGGTCAGTCCCTAGCACGGAAGAATGGCAGTCCTGACCGAGCAAAGGGCGGTCCTGACCTGCGGCGGAGGGCAGGTAGAATTATTGGGCGCCCACCGAAGCTGACCAGATTCACCCGAAGCGCGGGCGGGAGAGCACGCGAAGAGCACGGACGTGGACGGGAGGACGGACCGCCGGAAAGCGGCGAGCGCTCGATGGTCCGGTGGGCAGGGCAGGGGCGGGGGCCGGGGCGGGCTGGGCTGGGCTCGATGCTCGTTGCGGGACTGTGGCATGACGATGCGGGGCAGGGCTGGGGTGGATGGATGTTCCGTCGAATGCTGACTTGTGAAATCGGGTGGAGAAACGGGGATCGAATTTTCGGAGGAATTGCGAGGGAGGGCGGGCGGGAGGAGGGAAATCGAGCCACGGAGGAGCGGCAATTGGAGCGGGCGAGGAGGGCGCGATCGCACTGTAGGGCGGACGTGAATGGGGCCTTTACCCTAAGTTGTTGAGAAATTTGAGGTTGAGCGCTTCATTTGCCCCTGTCCTTTATTTTTCAACCGGTGCGACGAGAGGAGGAGGAGGAGGAGGAAGAGGAAGCGAGGGAGAGAGCGGCCAATTGATCGATTGGAGGGAGCTGTGGCGCCTTGGAGGAGGCGTGGAGGCGGAGGAGGTCGGGAGCAAGGGCGACGGTGGCTGTTTGCAGAATAGGTTTGCGATTGCCCACGACGGTGGCAGGTCTGGCGCGAATTCGAGGCCTGGAAGACCGAGGCAGCGGCGTGCAGTGGCGGAAGTGGGGCTGGGCGAGCGCACGGCGAAGAACTTCTTAAGCTTTTCATGTCCAGCGCGCCAGCCTCGCTACCATCCTCTGCCGCGTCCCCTGAACCGTTTGCGCAGCCACCGTCTGTGAATCATGGAGTTTCAGACCGCCTACCCTCAGGCCTTTTCCAAACCCTGCAACTTGACAGGGACCGGAGCGATCATGTGGATCACTCACGACGGGACGGACAGAAGCGAGAGAGACACAATCGCCGAAATGGACAAAACTCTCTCAATCCCCTCGCCCAGGAGTTCGTACCGGGAGGACCCTCTGTCCCAGGTACTGCTCGTCTTGAACATTGTGTCTTTTGTGTCTGTCCCAGTGGTGAAGAATTTGATCGGGACTCTCAACCATTAGCAAGTACAAGCGAGTAATCTGGAAATGCCAGGCCTGTTTGGTGGTCATCGCAATGTCCATCGCGTGGACGTTGCTGTTGGAAGTGCCCATGAATGTCCAGTCGGAGTGGTTACCGAACATTCGTTTTGTTGCCGGATTACAACTCTATCCGAGACTTTGAAGCTCTGGAACTTAGTGCTAGATTCAAGAGTGGTTCTTCTGAATTTTCACGTCCTTACTGCATTTGCCTGAGTTCATTTCTTTTCCTGTCTTGTTTAGCTGTTATTAACCTGCTACGCGTTGTTTATCGTGCAGGTCGTTCGCCCCCCGATAATTATGAGTTGCAAGTTAGGCAGGATGGTGGACGCCGCAAGGTGAGCTGCATTTACCAGCTTTTGTATATTGTAGTGTCAGAATTAATGGATTTTGGGTGCCATAACAACAGTAGAGATTTGACGAATTGCCCAGCCCTAGTATGGACCCGTTGGTGCATGATCAGCGACGACTGCTGCTTTCATAGGAAGCCACTGTGTCGTCTTCGAAGTGAAATATCAGCTCCTTTTTTGGATGTTTTTTCCGAATGTTCCCGAGTGTGCCCTCTCATTCGTGGTCGAAGAGGAAGTCGGGATCTTCTCTCTTCTGCTCTATAGCTTCTCCCTCTGTGTCTGATTGCCGTTTGTCGTTGTTCACATGTTGCATCTGTTTCCGAGGTTCTTTTTCTTAGCCTCTTGCATCTCAAGTTGGGTGAAGTTTTCTAAAATAGCGGAAGACACAGTGAGGTATCATTTTCTGCTTACAGCGTTGTTGTGAGTAAAAGGTTTGATGTTAAGCACAGGAAATTCGTCTCGCATATGGTAGGAACTTACATAAACTTTGCGAAGAATTTAACTTGTTTAGACCTGTATTCATGCGGGGGACATGCCTGCTCACGATACGGGAAGTCCAGTAGCTCATATTTACTAGCCTCGCGAGTGTGTATTACGAATTTGATCGTCTGGCGTTTTTTGTGACCTATTTTATATATGTAACTTGAGCAGGGAGCAAATAATGGATCGTCATGGCGGTCCAATGGGAGCCAAGATGGTACCCACAACCTCAGTGTGATTTCCAGGGATGAGGTGAGGAGAAGCATTTCTGCCCACAGCACTGCCGGAACCTCAATGGCTGGTTCAAATGGGCCCCTAAGCACCGCCCCAAAGAAAGGGGGTGGCGGTCGGCAAAATCAGAGGTCGTCTGGTGCAACAAGAGGCGGTTATTCAGACACAGTATCGTCTGCAATTAGAATTCACGCCGGACAGGGGTCCACCAGCAATGCACTCTCGAATACAGGCTCTACACCTCCAGGAAATCGGAAAGGTCAGGGGTTCAACGCCAACCACTTACTGAATTTCCAGTATGATCCCATACCCCGACCGCCGCCACGAGCACCTCCAGTCCGCAGACATCGGAAAATACAACCGTATAACAAAGAGCTTTTCCTGCAGGCAAATTTCCGATTTTTAGTCTCTGACTTGGGGGATTATATGCTGAATACTTCTGATCCGGATAAAATGCTCCAGTGGGAGGACGTTGCAGCTGTAGATGTCGCAGCTCCAGTGCCGGTTCAGTGTCCCATTTGCTTAGACTGTCCACCTCTTTGCCCCCAAATTACCACTTGTGGGCACATATTCTGTTTTCCATGCATTCTGCGCTACTTGCTGATGGGGGATCTTGATGTGCGTGGTGATCACTGGAAAAAATGCCCTCTATGCTTTGCGATGATATGTTGTAAGGATCTACGAACGGTGTTGATAGATGATTTAGAGCCGAAGAGTGTTGGAGATTCTGTTAAATTTACCCTTCTTATGCGGGCCAAAGGAAGTATTATTCCTTTTGAAAGGACAGAGGTTGCAAGAGGGCCTCTCGCACACAGCAAAGACGGGCATTGCCATCTGTTTTCGAAGTTTACACTTACGTCAGATGCCGAGCCAACGACGAACAGGGCAGTGAACGAGCTTACGACATGGGCGCAAAGAGTACAAATAGAAGGAGGCGAGGACCTCGACCTCCTGCCATATGTTTTCGTTGCCGTTGACCAGCTTCAGCAGAGAAAGACTGCATGGACAGAGCACAGGACTACGCAATTCTTATCAAGCAGCCCTCCTGTAAGGCAGAGAATCATGGCACAAGCAAAAGTTGGGGTTGTGAAGCAGACTTCACAAAAGTCCAGCACCACAGAAAGGATCGGAGACGTGGAGGGTCTAAAACCTCTGAGTAGAGCAGGTTCTCAGGGAAAGTTTGAACAGGACAAAGTGGAAGACGTAGTTGCCCAGACGGAAATTGCGATGGCGGAGCTGAAAGAACGGGCCGGTTGGGTTTACGAAAGTGCGTTTTCTGATGATGAGGATGACGATGAGACTACAGAGAAGGTGAAGAGTAAGGCTTCAGAGAAGATAGGAACTAGTGCGCAGAGAAAGGAAAAGATGATTGCATACTCTGGAGACAAAGCATCTGATGTTGGGGAAGAGTCACCTGAAGATCCAGATAGTGAATGTGCGAATACTACCGACGACGGGGCTAAGAAGGATTCAGATAGTAAGAGAGAGATTGAGGAGCGAGACTCGTATACTTTTTATCAGGTAGAACGGACTCGTTACATTAGAGTGGCCCAGGCTTTCTGGATTAGTGGATGCCGTTGTTGCTTCATTGTCCAAATATCGTCCTTTTGTCACTTGAAACTTGTCTTTAAGTCGCCCATCTGACGGAGAACTGTATTTCGCAGTCCGCTGACGGACAGACTCTCATACTGCACCCTCTGAATGTTAAATGTTTACTCCACCATTACGGAAGCTACGAAGCCCTTCCAGACAGGTATGCAGCACAGTGGATGCTGATTCTTTCAAATATTATTCAGGTTATTTATGGTACATTGTGCTTTGTGTTGGTATCTGGGAGTACATACGAAATTTATATTAAGATAAATCACACCCTTCTAACAAGATTAACTGTATACAATCTAGTTGTTACCTGACATGGTTTGAAGACCATAACGCCTTGCTGAGTGGTGCTAGTGGCACTGGGATAATTATGATAATTATATGTGATGGGTACGACAGAGTAGGAAAAAGAGAGAAGAAAAGAGGGTCTGTCAGTAGGATCTGTCCCCATGGAAGAGACAGGTGCTAAGTTCTACGGTATAGTTTCAGCCAGGATTATTTACACTGACCCTTCCACCTCTGGTCTCAGGAGCGGTATGTTTGGGCTTAAATTTGAAAATGAGGACTTTTGATTGCACTCTTGGCACGATCAGCTTCGAGTTTGAGTAGATACTAAATTTTTTCCATGGTTAAGCTTTTCAGAACTTCGTTCAAACCTACATGCATGGTCGAGTTTAGTTTTTCTCTTCCTTCTAAGCTTCTTTCTTTCTCTCTTCATAGACGCAGCGATCCTGATCCTGTAGCGAAACTGTTGTCATGCCCTGCTGTCGGAGTCCAAGCTGTTACGGAAATCCGTAGCCTTCATCCATAGTTAAAAGCATTCAAACTCCTGGAGTCATAACTACTGGTGCTTTTGTGACAGTCGGTGGTGATGAGTTAGTAAAGGATCTCTCGGGTGATACCTGGTAATCTTGAACTAATGGTGCTTATGAAAATGGTTCCCACTTTAAGAAAAACTCTTCACTTTTCCAGTAGTCAGCCGTTTATCTCGCCTTCTCCCGCCATCAGGACTCTTTACGTTCTCACAGTTTGACCATATCGAGGATTGGTCTACAGGTTTTGACATGTTTATACAAATAAGCGCAGTTTGTAGACGCAGCTTAATGAAACTCAGTACTTGTACGTTTTACTACTGCTTTTTCAAAGTTCATTAGTCTGTATCTCGTGGATCTCATCTGCAGCTCGTGGTTATGCAGCTTGGAGGCAGAGATCGTTGAGTTGGAGACTGTTACTCAGACTGAAGCAACAAGAAAGCGTTATCGTTATCTTAGTCATCTGCCTCTGACAGCTGTGTTCCAGGTACAATCCGAAAAGATACAAATTTTGGTTGAGTTTTCTCTAGCTTGACTTGCTCATTACCATCTTTCATGTCTTCTTATGCTGCCTGGAGGGTCATCTTGAAGGCAGCTATCGGGTGAACATTTTGCAATTTATCATGTTCTAGATGCAACATTGGAGTCTTGGTAATGCTTTTGAAACCTTGAGGTCGTCTTTACTGGTGTAACAGCCTGTTGTCATTGAAGAAAGCTTGTGCTTACACCACTGATTGATCCTCTGAACTGCAGCTTTGTGAGGTAGATTTAAGCGACTGTCTACCCAGCATTTCACTCAGTCCGTTTGTTGAAGAGCTTCGCAACCGGGACATGCGTCGGCGCCGCATAATCAAACAGGTTGTTGAAGTGCACTCAACGCATCTTGCTTTTTTAACTATTCAAGTAAAGGACAGTCTGGAATCTGTAAGGTTTCTCCAGAGGTGCAAGGTGCAGCCTTTATAATCGAGTTGTCTACTTCAGGAGATGGAGCAAAAGGAGTTAGAAGAGAGATCAGCAGCCGCAGAAGTTGCTGCCAGATATGCTCCTCCTTCACCTGCCGATTTTGCGGCCGTATTGACAGCTCTAGAAGTCGATGAAGGGTTCACAAGTGCTGACTTCGAAGGTGCGCCTGTGCTTACACCCCGAAGTTCGTATCAGTATTCTAGACGATTGGGTTTTATGCTCTGCTGGTACTTTATATCCTGTCTTGATTTTGATGGGTATTTTTATGAATTACCGCACTTAGTTTCAACGTGTTGATGTTTTCGAAGCTTCCCCACAAGATTGAGGCAAGCTCAAATGTTAGACCTACGATGACTTATGTTTAACTCGACTTGTGATTGTCTTTACTTCAGATTCGTTGGCAAACTCACCGGTCACGTCATGTAGTCCGCCTGAATACGAGGATCGCAGACTCTTCTCACGAGTTGCGAAGTTGGGTTTTGCTGCTGGTTATGATGCTCCTGTTCTCAAGGGTAGAAAATCGACAGCAAGTACCTCTTCTTCAGCATCGCCGAGTACTGCTTCAGCTCGAACTTCGACAGGAACAGGTTCAGCAGAAGCCGGTAGGTTTGATTTTAAGTTTAGGTTGTTCAATCCTGGTCGCATTCTGTAAAAGCTTCGAGGATGACAGAACTTGTGAACGTATGAATAGTGAACAACATTGCTGCTTACTGTGGTATGGCAATAACGTCAATCTATGTGGACTTTCGCAATGTTATGGGCGAACTTCAGCAATTTTTTATTCAAGATCACCAGGACTTAGCAAATCCGGGTGTTTTCACTTTTGATGTTTTCTGTGATAGTATTTTAATTTTTAAATGATCATGGACTGGAGGCTAAGCAATTTAGAGTACGCAGGATCAGCCTCTGGCCAGGGAGTTACATTCGCGAATATCATACAAGCACAGGCAGCGAAAGCCGCCCAAGAAGAGATGTCGAATGGAGGCAACCGTGGTGGTGTAAAGAAGGGTAAGAAAGCCTCCAAGGTTCTTATGTCCACTGCAGGAGGTCGACGTTATTAGATTTGTTGGCTGCTCCAAGTATAAAATGTATATGCCACAGAAACCTTAGTTCTCTCTAAAGAGTTTGTATGATCTTTCAGCCACATGGTTATTAATTTTGATAAGAAGGTAGGGTAAGCTGGGTGTGATCCCACTGCCCTGATCATTCACCACCGAGAAGTCATGAATATCTCATGTAAAGTTTTCTCGCGACAAGAATCAGTATTTGATATGATTGGGTCTTACAGTGATGAAGAAGATCTGGAGTAACCGTTTCCTAAGAGTTTACCAGAGTCGCTAGTTAGTTAACCTAACCAACATTTTCCAGTGACCACAGTAGCGACGTCAGGAGATATCGGTCTCCCCTTCCATATCTCGCAAACTCAATAGGAAGTGTAATTTATCCCAAAAAATGCCTTGAAGAACTTCTTAAATGCCCTCAAGAACTTCTTAAGGAGGAGAGCATGCGCCGAAATTCCTTGAGGTAGTTTCCATACTGAAGCCATACCCTCTGGATGTTGTCGATTGATTCTAGCGGGAAGTTTTGGGACAATTACACCTAATAAAGGGTCAGAAGCTAATAGTTTAGAATGGATTGTGGTTTTTATGATCCAGTAACCTGCAAGCTTTCTTATTCCGCTATCCTTTCTGTTCCGTATATGAGTTCCGTATGTTCCGTACATGTTCCTATCAAAAAAATCTCGCAGACACTATTGATGTCCTCCGTACCAGTTGCAGACCAAGTTTCTCTAAATATACTCGATTTGGTTCACCACGATTCTCAAGGCTGGAAGTACATATTACTCATCAATCTATTAGGTCATTAGCACTTTCGATGAGTGTCCGCGATAGTTTCAGTAATAACTAGGATTTAAACCTGATTGCTCTCGCCCTTACGAGTTCGTAGAGATCTCAGTTTGTTGTTGGTGGAAATTGCCTTCGTCAGTTGCCTGTCTTGTGTGGCAAAATCATATTAAGCTGAAGAACTTGTTTGGAGGTTGATGATTCTGATCTCATATCATTGACTTCTAGCGTAGTATGTCTGGTTGGTGCGGCTGACTTGTGTTTGACTTTCGCGGAGTGTGTGTCACATTTCCGAGGGATGTTTCGAAAAGGTTGTCTATTGGATCGGTGAACAGACCAGACCGTACACGAAAAAAAGAAAGTAAAACATATGGAGCACACCAGGTGGACGAAACACGTGAGACTTGTGTCAAAGAGCATCGCATCCAAGATGTTAAAATTTGCCCGATAGAACAGTCCATGTTTTACAGTTCATTTGAAGAAATATCATCGCGATTGCCGGTGGAGGGATTATATTGCCAAGTCTTTCGGTGTATAACAATTATGTACTGTATTTTTTAGATACTGCAAACAGTCACGCAGTATTCCAAAGAAGTTATTTTTTAATGTAAATTTACAAAAACTTTCAGTTGTTTTAATTTGAACTTAACAGAACAAAGGCGTAAATAGAAGATTTACATATGTACTGATATACAGTCCACGTGGACTTGACTTGTACACGAATGAACTGACCTTGCTTCAGATAGAATTAGCCTTGAAATTTTGAATGTTGATCCCTTGATGAATTGGAGGTTTCAGATTGCTTAGCAACACTATAGAACGTCCAGCAACACCTAGCATTTGTATATGCATTTGTACAAATACATTGCTGTATTCCGACTCGTCCAGGAAAGTACTTTTTAAACATTATATTCAGACTTCCTCCTAACACAACTATTGTCGTGAACACAATTATAAGAAACTGATTTTACGTATTAACATATTCGTGATAAACACACTAGTCTACGATTTATGTAACTGCTTTGTACATTCAAATAGTTACAGGTTCAAGGAGTGATTGTGCATGTTATATTTTATTCTCTAGAACTAAAGTTCAATTAACTAATCCTGAGATCGGTTTTAACTGAGAACGATTTTGACATAGTGTACAACTTACTTGAGTCTCGAATATGGGATATGAATCTTGGCCGAATTCAGATTATAATTTGTAGTTTCCATGCATGTAATTTTCTGAATCTGAAGATCTATTGATTTACTAAAGTTCTGTTCGCAAAATTCTTAAAATTTTAGAAAACAAAATTGATTTTATATTAGTTCATAATCTATTCTAATCTCCAATATGGGATATGAATATTGGTCAAATTGAGTTCACTTCTACTGTGTTCTATTCCAACTAAAAGATATTCTCTCGAATTAAAGTCTTATCTTATGTTGTAGATCAGCAAAAAATATAATAGAAATATATTTACTCTTTTTTAAACATTCAATTACTCAATTTTTAAAAACTTAGCATATACAATTTTCAAATGTGAACTTCAAATATAAGTATGAAATTATGTATAAGTTTAGAAATTAATTTTAACAAAGAGTTACTATATTGTATTTCTTAAATTTTCGGTACAGTATACATTTGGCAAAAAGAAGAGTAATTTATCAAATCATAAAATTTTATGGATCTGTATGTAGAGCCATAAATTTAAGTTTCTATTTCACAACTTTTCCTCATTTTTATCAATATATCATTTGTTCTAACAAGCGAAGTGTATTCCGTGCATGGTTATTATTTTCTTTACAAACTCAATAATTTTAAGTAGAATGATGTAAATGTTATTCATTTGAAATAAAAATATCACATAAGTTTTCATATCAAGTGTTTTATATATCATAGGCATATGAAAGAAAAATAACATTTGCATTATATATTCAATTTTTCTCAATATATTAGTTTTCATATATCAGTTTTGAGTGTATAACACTCTAGAGGAGCTGTGTTTTTAATGCACGAGTGTTTATATAAACTTTAAATAAAAATTTTAATTTTAGGATGTATTTGTGAAATAAAAATAAAAATAAAAATAAAATTATTTACATTAATTTGAATAATTCTATCTATTTATGATGATCTTAATTACTATTACGTTGTAAAGATTGTAAATTTTTTTAATTCCCATTTCTCATCTAATGATGAAGTTTCCATAATTTTCTTTTTAAAATAATAACGTAAAGTTGAATTTAACAAAATGGAAATTATTTATCAAAGATAACAAAAATTGTTAATCTTAGTTTTAACAAAAATATGAACATTCTGTAATTATGAGATTTATTGCCAAACAACTAACTTTGTAATTATACATCTGTATGGAAAAAAACAACAATAAGTATCTCTAGGTGTAACATTAGGTGTAATTCTCTTTAGATTCAGCAAAACTTTTAATTAATTTCAGTAAGTTGAACAAGATATCTAGCGCTATATTAGAGTAATAAAGCAGGAAAGAATTTAGAGTTTCAATTAATGATAATAAATGTCTATCTATAACAATTCTATGTATATCAACTACGTAACTTTTTGACTTGATTTCTTTAAAATGATCATAATTTCATATGAAACAATGATGATCAATATTTATTAGTCAAAGCTTTGACTATTAATATTGATCATCATAAAACCCCCAAAATTTTCATAATTATTTGAATCTTTTGAAAACTTAAATCATTCAATGGGTCACTAAACAAAATTTTAGATGCAAATACAGAGAAAATTGTAATCCAAATTTTGATTTGATATAAATGATTTTTTTCTTCAATAAATCTGGATAAAATAATTATTTTCTTTAATTTTTTCCAAATCTTTATATTTGTAAGGATCATTAGAAATTTAAACTTAATGTTTTGTTTTTTCATTTAATTCCAATAAAAATCTCAATGTAAAAAATTCCACTTTCATGAAAACTGTACTTCAGGTTACTCATAAATACAGATAGAGCTTCCAAGGTCGTATAAAGTCTAGAGTTGAATCCTGACATTGGGTCTTGACTTGATCTATGCAGAAGATTCTCCAGTGAACGTGTTTGATGCTTGTATGATAGATGAAACATACACATGGATTGTTGTGCATTTGAAATATAGAATATAACTACACATGATGTTATTAGCCACGAGATATTTATTTTGACACAAGAGTATGTATATCTCTCATGAAACTAACGTAAATCCTAAACCATGTGTGGGTTGCAGACGAGATGTACTCTAGGTTTGGAAGATCAAGGTACTAAAAAGAAAGTTGTGTTTTCAGTTTTATTAAGTGGTTGATTCTAGATCTTCTTAGATGTACATTGATTGGAATGGCAACTTCCAAGACAATCCAAGTGTATGGATCTATTTGAAACCTTGATAGGGATGAAGTCAATCTTTCCACGCAGGGGCAGGTTAAGCCATGGGAGAAAATCTATCATTTCTTCTGCTAACATAAAAGTCCTGTGGAACTATGGACACAATGATGAGAATGCGATATCGGACTCCATATGTACGAGTGTATGTGATGTGTATGTTTCGTGTATAATGTACCTTATTAAAATGAGAAGATGTACATCGATCTAGAGAGCAATTAATTGGTGATGCATTCATGTTTGGTGGGGAATATTATGATATTCCGGCATTGCTTAGACAAGTCTATTTCATTGTCCTCGTATCGGATGGAGAATGACATATATTACCCAAAGTAGTGATCGTGCCGGCGTAGCCCCCATCATCTGTGCACGACTCGATGGGTCTTGCCCTCCCCCTTTGCTTTCTCTCTCGCGCCTCGAGGCTCGAGGTCTACGTCGACAAAGGGGCAGAGATTTTCGAAACCGAGGTCCAATGAGCGACCGAAGGGCAGAAAAGGGGCTAAAGAGAGAGAGAGAGAGAGAGGGGGGGGAGAGATCCTGCAAGCCCGAGAATCTGGTGCGGAACATCTGCCAGTCGAGGACTTTACCACCGGTACGAAGGCGTACGGATGGATGCATGGATGACGGAACACATCTACGGTATTATTTACAGCATGAACGGTACAGTACAAGAGGGAGTCGAGCGGGGTCGAGGGGTTGGGGTTGGGGTTGGGGCTGGGGCTCGAGTCGTCGAGGAGCGAGAAAGAAGCGCTGACTTTGGAGTGGAACGGGTCAAAAGCCGGAAGTTTCCGAGCTCGCGGCGACGAGAAAATGGCAGCGGCGAGCTTGGCGGGAGGGGAAGGGGTAAGGAGAAGGAGGGGGGAAGGGCAAGCGAAGGGGGCTCGGCTACATCGACGCGGAGCAAATGCGCGTTCGCATTCTCGGTGGCCAGTGAGCGACGGCAGTTATCAGCAGCGGCGCTAAATCTGGAGGAGGGCCTGCTTATTTAAGGCGGGCAGCATCGTTTGCTTCACTGCCAAGCCTGGTGTCAGATCGGGCGCTCAGAAATTCAGGTGCTGCAGTTGTTCGCCTTGCTAAAGTGGATTCCACCCATTTAATTGGTGCTCGCCCGATCCTCCCTCTTTGAATCCACATTCCTTGCTGCTCTGAACCTTGCGACTCAAGTCTCTCTGTCAATGAACTGCAGTTAGCTTGAGTTGAGTTGAGTTAGTATTGGCCGCCGGCTGCCATCGAGCCCGACAACCCACGTCCTAATCTGGTCCTCCTCACTCGGCGATGACCAATTCCAGGAAATCGCTGCACTCCGACGACGAATTCCTTCGCCTCCTGTCAATCAGTACGCTCGCTCGCTGCTGTTGTTGGAGAGTGGAGCTGGGCAGAGGCTTTTCGAAGCTGCTGCTGATTGAGCAGTAGACGAACAGATCTTTTGGGTCTCATGCTGCTGTGGCTGCTACAGCCGTCACGTCAGTCAGAGGGTCAGTAATATTATTTGTGTCCGGAGTGGTCCAATTTGCAAAGATCTTGGCACCCTGTCCTCTGCCCTGCGGCCGCCCTGCTCCGAGAAGAAGTGGAAGTTACAGAAGCGTTCGAGCCTCCACTTTCCGGAGCAGCACTGGCCAGCTGCTACTGATCATTCGACTCGAGTCAGTCCCTCAGTCCCTCAGTCACTCAGTCACTCGCTCAGTCTGATCAAAGATGGGAAGTCCATCAACTCGGACAGCCAGCTGTTGATGCATCACTTTAAAGAACCATCTCGCCATCTCGCCCCAGTCCCGTCCATTCATTGAGTGCGAATATGACCAGTGTGCGAGAGGACAGCCAAGCCTCCACCTCCCTCTAGAAGCAGACTTGGATGAAAAGCAGCAAATCCAGAGTCGGTTGACTTTCTGGTTCCACCAACGGTGAGACCTGCATCATCCTAATAAATGATAGCCCCCCCCCCCCCCCCCCCCCCCTCCTTCTCCAGTACACTCCCCTCGCAGACAAAATGGAATACAGCACCATCTCCCAGCCATGCCAAGCTAACGCTTCTTGGACGGATGGGTCACTTCACTTCCTTCCAACGAACTGGAAAGAACCAAAATAACACACGATTCGGATTCCACACAACCAAAAGAGTACTCCCCTCGCGAAGCCAAGTCAAAGCTAATGTCACCGCCCACTAATAAATTCCAGTGCTGTAGTTTACTGCTAGCCCCCGGAAGTACAGTAATGAGCTTTGTTTGTTTGCTTGCAGCGTTTTCACTCCGAGGGAGAGAGTTGTGAGAACGAGCGAGCCGGTACCTTCGTGGGGGCTACTGGATGGGGGGTGGGGTTAAGGTGGGGGTAAGGGGGGGAACTTGGGATGGTGACGGCAAAAATAGCGAGCGAGCAACGGCTAGAGAAGGTGAGGGAAGGGGGGCAAGGCGGCGGGGCCCACAGGACAGAGACAGAGTGAGAGAGAGAGAGCGAGAGCGAGAGCAGAGCGAGAAGTGTGCCGAGCGTCCACGAGGCCATTGGACGGGAGCTGGGGCGAAACATGGGCGACGACTGCCGCAGCCTGTCGTCAATCCTCGTTAGACCTCGCGGGCTCTCTCGCGTCTGCTGCCTTTATAAGTAGGTCGCAGCGATCCGTTCATGGAATCAGTCGCACTTTCGCACAACCCGCTGCGGTATATATAAAACTCTGAGCATCCATCGACCCCACACTCTTCGTCCTCACCCACATTCTCTCGCACAGGCGCAGCAGCAGGCACAGCAGACACACGCGCTCTCACGATCGTCTCCTTCGAGCGAGGGAGAGAGAGAGAGTAAGAGAGAGAGAGCTGAGGCGTTGGGAGTGGGAGGATTAGATTTTCTCCACTGTAGTTGTTGTTGTTGCGGCCGCAGCCAGGGCAGAGGACAGTGCAAGGATTCGCAATGGCGGCCGGACGAACCTCCATGCTGGCTGTCATGCTCATCGCAGGGCTCCTGCAGAGCGCCTCCGCTGCCACTTACACTGTGGGAGGCGCTCAGGGCTGGACATTCGCCGCCTCGCCCACATTCTACGACGAGTGGGCTCAGCAGCAGACATTCGTCGTCGGCGACGAGCTTCGTAAGTCCACTCTCCCCCACTATTCCACTGTCGTCGTTTCGCATCTTATCTCATCTGCTCGTCCATCTGTCTGCGTCTTCCTCTATTCAGTCATTGCGCTGTGGATACAATTCTTAAACCATTCTCTTCAGCTCTTCTTCACTGCTGCAATTTTGTAGACTTCACTCTCCGTTCCAGTAGTCCTCACGTCAGCTGGGCTTCGTCGAGCGTAGATTGAATTCTCGACGCCGGCTTGGGAACCAATGCCGTAGAGACAATGCTTTCTTAGCATGAATAGTAGACTGAAGACTGAGCATTGGTCTCGCTGCTGTGAAGCGTAGTCGACATTCCATTGGCGCAGAGAGACTGAGGGTTGCATTCGTCGAGATTAGATTTGATCCCTCGTGGCTTTCAGCAATGTTATGTTCTGTTGAGGATATGGTGCTTGCAATTTGCTCTGGTTTTGACCAAATCGGTTGCATTCTGCTTGTGGAGCGCAGTGTTCCCGTACCTCGACGGCACGCACGATGTGATGGAAGTGAGCCAAGCTGATGTGACGAGCTGCAGCATTGCCACCCCGATCCAGCACTGGACTCAGGCCAATGCCGTCGTCACGCTCACCACCGCCGGGTACCATGGCTACATCTGCAGCCTGCCCGGCCACTGCACCGGCAACATGAAGATGAACCTGCAGGTGACAGCCGCGCCCACCGTTGCCCCCGTCGTTGCCCCCGTCGCCTCCCCACCCGGCGTGCCTCCCACCGTCGCTCCCGTCGTCGCCCCCGTGTTGGCCCCCGTCGCCGTTCCCGGCGCTGCCCCGACTCTTGCCCCCGTCGTTGCCCCGGTGTTGGCCCCCGTCGCTGTCCCCGGCTCTGCCCCAGTCCTTGCCCCCGTCGTTGCCCCGGTGTTGGCCCCCGTCGCTGTCCCCGGCTCTGCCCCAGTCCTTGCCCCCGTCGTTGCCCCCGTCGCCTCTCCCCCCGGCGTTCCCCCCACCGTTGCCCCCGTCGTGGCCCCGGTCGTGGCTCCCGTCGTGGCGCCTGTCGTTGCCCCCGTTCCCATGACCCCCGAGGTGTCACCCACCATGGCTCCCCCAGCCCCCTTCTTCCCCGTCGCCGACGAGCCCAGCGAGCCACCAGCTGATTCTCCCTCAAGCGCCTTCGGTCTCCAAATCAGTGCAGCTGCGATCGTGACCCTGGCAGCCGCTGTTGCTCTCGTCATGTAAATCTAAACTGGTTCTTCTCGTTGACCTGCTTGATCTCTGGTGAGTGTCCGAAGAAATTCTTACTTCGGTTTGACAGTCAGTGTGCAAGACTGTCGTGTAGGGGGGAAGCTGTGGTCTTTCTTTTGTGTGTAAATGGGCCAGGTGTAGAGAGACACGAGAGTGAGAGGAGGGGATTGGCCGCTGGATATGAGCTCGGTTCCTCTCTTGCAGCTGTTTGATCAGGCAGGTCTTGATAGAAATTCTTTGGAAGCGTTTGTAGACAATCTTGTAGTGATTAGCAAGTGCGCTGCTATTACCTCTAGATGGTTCGTAGAAGAGACATACAGACTATTATTTGAGTACACCTTACCCAGTGTATTTCAACCAATTCTTTTGTGAGTGTTGCACGCTTGCACATCGTCAGTAGCCTTTTTTGTCGATGTGAAGCTGGCCATCACAGCAGCAGCTATACTCAAACCAACCATGATTGTTAGGTTAGTGCCTCTTCAGTGTAAAATTTAGTTATGTTACGTGATGCTCCGCCGGATGGTTTCGTTCATCCTGGACCTGGAGAGAAGTAGGCACGGTTCATGGAGTTGTTGTGGAGCTCTTAGTCCGAGATTATGTTTTTAATAAATAATGTGGTTACATGTCACTCAGTTTTCGCACCTTTTGAATCTTCACTGAAGAGTGTGACTACATGCCACTCTCAGTTTTTCGCACCTTTTGAATTTCTAATGTATGTCAACGGTTATCATCCTTCTGATGAGAGGAGGTGATCATGTGCCATCAAACGCTGCTTGGAAATGTCGAGTAATTTGGCGTCCACATCCACATGGTATTTGGGAATATTAATTATAAACAAGTAGATGACTCTCAATTATATCCGTTTTTCACATGAGTTGAATTGAGAATTTTTCCCGAAAATGGAAATGATCGAAGTCGTTAATGTACCCAAAACTTAATATTCGCCGGATCTCAGCCGCAATGAAAACTTTCGAAGAGGCAGTACCTTTGATGAGAGTAACGATATTTTACAATGAGAAATTCATCTAGACTGTCAATTTTTCTGATCTTTTTTTTTTAACATAGCTGAATAAAACAGATAAACGTCAAAAGTAGAGAGAGAAAAATGACAATGATGTGAAGGTGGAAAAACCTGTGCGGATTAAATTCGTAATCATGATAAAATTACTCTTGTCACTCAATTGATCGATAAACAGAACAATGTTGATAAATGTGCACATAGTTAACATTCGTTAGAGGAAGAAAACTTGCACACACTTGCAGATAGTAGGCGAAAAGACAAACATACTTCTGGAGAATGTAGCGATTTCGAAAGTTCCGTTGGAAACTATCAGTCAGTACCTTCAAATCTCCGAATCAATTCAATTTTGGAGAACCAAATGATCCTGGAAAGTTGTGTACACACTACCAAAAAAAGAGAAAATGGCTATTTATATCCAACGATCCGAGAATCGTTAGAAGGAGTCGAAGCGAGGCGACCATGGTCGACAAAGTGGAGCTTTTCCCGCAAGGAAGTACGTGCTGCGAACACAGCCAAAAAGCCAGTGGCAACGAAGGTTCCGCAGTGTGAGCCGAGCCTCGACTTCAATGGCGGTTGGTAGAAGTGACGCGAACACGGCATTCGCATGTCCTTCGGGCCCTGCAGCGACGGACGTGCGGCGACGCATCGGCCGACGGATTGGTCCAGCGTCAGTGTCACTGGACGGTAGTGCGGCATACGGATAATGGACGGACGGACGGACGGACGGATGGACGGAGACAGGCAGGCAGGCAGGCAGGCAGCGCACGAACCCAAGGTGCCATAATCATGATGCCTGTCTGGAGCGGCATGCGCTGTCAGCGTCCGAAGTGGCAAGTCAATCGACCCGGTGTCCACGTCGGAGACAACTGTCGGCTTTCAACGGACTCAGCGCCGATTGCGAACGTTGGTCATGTGACGTTGCGCCTCTGGCGAGTGACCGCTCGGCCCCACCAACCGGCCGGCGTACGACTGCGCGGTGGGCTCCGATGCCACACATTGCCGCACCACGATGCCCGACGCGGTAAGGCGCGTCGACCTGCAGTAACCACTCCAGCATCCGGCCAAACACTCCCTCGTACCTTGAGTTCGAAGAATTTTTCCGAGCCTGTTCCCCGTTTAATTATACTCATGAAATGTCACATCGACGTCAAGTTGATACGATTACCAAAAACGTATTTGCTCGAGCGATTTCCCGAAACTTTCATTTATCGTACATGTATCACAATATACATAGTACAAAGATGGCGTCTTTTCCAAATTCATTTGTAATAATCTGATAGTGATTGTTAATCTGTTTATCATTCTTTCATGTCTTTAAAGACGAATATTATTATATCTTTAATGAAATTTTGGATTAAGTGACAACCATATTCTTTTCAAGTATGGGACATGAAGATCCGTTGTGTACATACAGCCTTGCATCTTAATGATGAAATATATTAACTCTATGTCACTATTTTTATCAATTGAATATTTTGTTTTTCTTTTCAATTTGTAATTGCCAGCATCTATATCGTTAAGATGTATAAAAAGACCTGTATATAAATTGATATAATTGTAATAAATTAAAATTTTACTACTTAAAATCATTCTATATAAGATGTATGACATGAACTGATATATTTTCACTCCTTTCTTACTTACTCCATAAGAAATTCGTTGGAATGTTCCAAGTTTTTTAAGATATGACATATTCTAGTGAATCCATTCATGCTCTAGTAAAATGCAGTTCATGTATCTTGATGTGACCATGCATTAAGGCTGTTTGATTTCCACAATAAATTAAATTATAACAACATCATTATAACATAATTTAATCCATTTGTCCAAACAATCATTTCTCAAATATAAATGTGATACAAAAGCACTAAAAAATTGTTGTTCTCCATTCAAAATTATTTTTTTATCCATCATTCATTTTTGCTTGAAATGCAACAAGTATCAAATTGATGAAATTTCAATCCATTTTTAAAAAATTGAACCAACCTATTGTTTAGTTGAAAATACTATTTTGCAATACTATTATAAAATTATGCAAACAATGTTTGAGATAATCTTATATGTCTTGCAATTGGGATTGTGATAGATTTGTAGTTGGTTCAAGACCAAAATAATATTGTAAAAGTGATAAGTTATTTTTCTATGCATAAATTTATAACAATAGAGATTATTATCATCTTCTTGAATGATCGGTGAATGGAGGAAAGCTTTCATATCACAAGGATCTTTGGAGTAATGACCTCTTTGATACCGTAGAAATTTGTATGACGCATGACAATGAATACCTCACTGAGTAACAACTCAAATAGGGAATATATATACTTGATTTGAAAAGGTAAGGTTATCATCATATACCTTTTACTAGTTTCACATGAATATTAAATGTGGTGGTTTCATGAGTGCACATAATCTTCCCCTCCCTGACTAAACCTCTCTTAAATAAATTCTCCCTTATCTGGACGATGGATAACTTACATGTTCATTCAATTCAATGCATATCATTCCAATTCTGATGCCAGTAATAATAAGTTTGAGGTTGAACCTCAACAATTTAGTAGACACAACTGCGTTCTCACACACCTGTCTAAAGTCACCAAGTTCGATATGTTCCTCACAACACTGTTTTAGTGGATGCAGGTCACTGTAGCCTTTGGAATAAACGTCTATGGCAATTCACAAGTCACAATCCACACCAACCTTTTGTGGATATCGAGGTACAAGAGAGTCTTTTAGTGAACATTGGAATATGAGAGTCTTTCTCTGCTCCCTGCTGTTTATCACACTTATCATGTTTCCTTCGGTCGCCGCCCTCAATGAGAGTAGTGAATACAAACAAGGCAGGTTCACTCATATACATCTTCCAAAGAGCTAAAGCATGCTATTCGATTATCAATTGAAAAGAATTGAGAGAGACAGGTGTCTTATTGTTATCCATGTACTTTATAGACCTACTAAGAGCATGGAAATATCTTACAATAGATAATGTAATCATAAGCTCTTTGTATACAGAGTTCAGCCAAAGCATGAACCATGAATAACCTCTCAAAATAGCTGCAATTATAGATATGAAGAACTGTATGCTAGACTTCTAATTATCATTAGATCTATGATTCATATGCTTGAGAATCAAACAAGATTTTTTTCCACAATATTCACTTTCCTCGTGAGAGTGATTGACCCCTCTTTGCTTACTTATGACTCTGGCATGGCTCCCCCGCTTTGTGTTTTTTGCTCGTGTTTCTAAAACCCTAAACCCCAAGTTTCTCCTCGTGGACGCTTCTGCAAGCGGTGAAAGTAATATAACCAAAAGGATGGGAAGCCCATTCGGCGGTGGACTTTTTCCTTCATTCATTCACAGCATCCATGACTGGTACTCACAACGAGGGTACTGTAATTAAGCATGTCCTCCTCGTTGCACCTCGATTGTACAGAATGTGTAGTCATGAGATATTACGCAATTGACTTTACCGTAACCCTAAGCCTGAACCGGAAACTACCATGAACGTGCAGCAAGTCCGGCAATGACTGAGGAAGGGCCCAGCACATGTCTAATCCATGGTGAGGGTTTCTCACAGGTTGACTGCAGTGCTCGAGGAATATTGTAAACAAATCTGAAAAGTGTGACTCGAAAGGGTGACTTTGTCTGCAATCGAATGAACAGAAACCAGTTAATGGTGAGCTGAAAGGCCGATTTGAGCTGCATGGATAAATCGACCGAAAACATGTGGTGAGAGACGACGTACTGATCTCGTGATTCAGTGTCAAACATCTGGGTCGTTTCATGATGATTACGGCGAGAATCACACTACATTTTTCTCCATAATCAGGGTGAAAACCCAGCAAGTGTGGATGTTGTGGTCCATACTGTATCAATTCTGCAGATGGAGGTAGCCAAGCACACAATTGAAGGTTGAAGAAAGTTTTGAGTCTCGTCTAACATCCCATCTCACAAGATTATGTAACACCAGGTGCACTCCCCTCTCAGGCAGAATTTAGCGATTCATCATGGTATCCAACATTGGAATTTTTGCTCAACTTGATACTCAAAATCAAACTGCTAGTGCTGAGGCTGGTGCGATGTAGGCTTATGTTGAAACAAGCGTGTCAGAAAGTAAGAACAACGTAAAAGGAAAAGGGTACATTATTGGAGAGAGAGATGCAGATTAGAAGGATTGATCAACAAGACAACAAGAGATAATTTTCAAAGCATTTTTTGAGGTACCAAAAAGTACTTAAAATTGTGAAGTTGAGATTTTGGCCAAAATTTAGATCTCATTTGATTGAATATGATTTGAATCCATTGTCATGGAACTTTAGTTATCAACGTAAAGATGTTGGTGAAGGCTGCATCTGAACAACAATATATCTTGCAAAATTATCATGTAACGATTTAACTATGTAATATGTTAAGTATGGTTGAAGTTGTGAATATTGTGATCAATATGAGCAAAGTGGAAATAAAAATTTACGCTTCTCCATGATGTTTTATGAATTGATACAATCATGAGGTGTAGTTGAAAGTACTAGAAATCATCAGAAATACTACATCCTATTAAATTAATCATTTTCAAAATGACAGATTTTATATCATTTGTGATGTTTATAAA